ATTGTGTATATGAACTTGTTATTTGCTAAAACCTTTTTAACCTCACATTCTTATAATTTCATCTGGTAGATTTTTTTTTATTGAGGAGTAGGGCTTGGCTGGCTGGAATGGTCCAGGGGTTGATCTTTCCGCTGTATTGCATTGTTGCTCCTAGACCATTATAGTGTAATTATGTCTAATACATGTAGTAAATATTTTAAGGCCAAAAAAATAGTTCTCCTATTTTGACATCCCCTACCCTATTTTTTTTTGGGGGGGGGGGGGGAGGGGGGGGGGGAATCGGGAAACAAAACCTTAAACCATCAATTACTACCTTTACCCTTGACTACCGTGACATGCAGACACCTCCATATGATCGTACACGAAAAAAATGCCCCAAAAAATCCTCACCTACCTACCCTATTTTAAAATGCCATGTAATCGGAAGCAGACAAATTTGTTGGGTGCCTAAGGTTTCTTTTTGACTAACTATTGTGACTACCTTTTAAACTAACTAACTTTTAAACCAACTAATTTTTAAACCTTTTCAATGAGCTGGCTGTCAGTAAACTGGGCTTAAATTAAGTGAAGAGTCGCCTTACACGGGAGACTTGAATAAGTTCAGATAATCCCCCCCCCCCCCAAAAAAAAATAATAATGTCCTTGCAATAATTATTTCAATGTCAAAATGTTTTCTTCCCATTAATTTTTTTTTCTAATAATTTTGGGAATTTTTTTACACTTTTTTCAAGTCTCCCACGTTAGGCAACCCTTCACTATTTAGACCAATAAACAGACACCTCGTTTTCCCCGTTTTCGTTAGCTGAGCTAAATATCACAACGTTATCATTGTTTAAATGATTTTACACATAAGGTTTTAATAGGGTTACTGTGCCAGTAAGCAACTTGGTGAATTTCAAGCTCATCAATACTGAGTTTTTGCAAGACTTCGTGAAGTTACACAGAAAACATGCAGTGAGTGACTCAATATTGTTACGAACCCAGAATGCTTGATTATGGAAATCTAGCGCCCTCTAGATTCACTCCGTCCATGAAGTACACAATCTTATTGTTGTCTTTTGCTGTTCCCTTATTTTACCCATTTATCGTAAATTCACAGGGTCTATGCTCTTACCAAGCCCAGCGCATGATGCAATACCACGCGCGCTACTGTATGCATTATTCATGTTGCGATGTACATGTACATGTGCGCGACTGACCACACCTCCCTTCGCCCCAGCGAGCTAAGTTCCTTTCCCCATAGCATGCGTGCTTTGGCGTTCTCCGAGAGACTGCTCAGCGGCACGGAGCATTTCTCTCCCCCGTGTGTTACCCATGAACACTAACTGGAGTTCTCGGTCCAGTTTTCTAGTCCCGTACTTAGCTCGAGGGAATGGAATGTTAATCTTGCGTGGCCGCGTAGCTGGGCGTGGTAAGACATCCTGCGGTGTCAATAACCTGTGACAGTAACCTTTTAGCTTGTCACTCACTCCATCAAGGTTGCTCGAGATGTTGTGTAAACACTTTTGCACTCTGGTCTACTATTTGCACACATCTCTCTCTGTATTTGCACACTTGTCTCTCCATGTTTTCCCTTGTGTAAATGCACACGTTTCTAGTCTCTTGCACTAGGCACTCTTAGTAAATCATGTGATTAGTCATGTGACCCTTAGACATGGAAGATTACTATTGGTTAATTCCTAAATCAGTGCTCATGCATTATTTAATCCAGAGACTTCTACTGCCTATAAATACCGGAGGTTGTCCTCACTTTCGGCAGTGCGGCGAACCACGAACCCAATGTAGTGCGAACGAACCCTAAACCCAAAGTTGTGCGGTGAACTTATATGTTGTGCGGTAACTCGTATGATGTGCGGCGAACTCGAATCTGACAGACCAATTGTTGTGCGACTCTAGTCACTACGAAGCATCGGCCTCCCTCGGTGGTTGAGGCGCGGTGAAGTAAAAGTGCAATCACTAGTACTAGTGTTATTACGAAGCATCCTTCTCCTAGATCCCTCGAGGAGTGTGTAGAAGCTGGTGAAATAGTAATACACTAGTTCCAATGGTGCTGTGCGGTTTCGAATGGCCATTGGACTGTTAGTCTTAGCTTGAACATGTTGTGCGGTTGTCTGGTGTTCTAGCCCAGCCAGAGCTAGTTCATCCCCGTCACCACAGCGGATCGCTCCCGCTGTGGCCAGCCGGCTCCCCGTAGCCATTCCCCCGTAGTTCAGCTATGCTAGCCCGGTCTTGTCATAAACACTATCCTTGGTGCATAGAGCCTCGATTGACCTTGGATACCCGATACGCCCAAGGGCGGATCCAGAACACAATTTGGGGGGGGGGGGGCCAAAAAAAATTTTGGTTCCCCCCAAAAAGTGGGTCAAAAAAATTACAGCGTGGGGTTCGGGGCCCGCTTAAGGGCCCCGAAAAAAAATTGGATTCTAGATGCTCTGTGGTGTGATCTGAGGCGATTTCTGACCACTTTAACCAATTTTTTTTTTTGAGGAAAAGATGGTGGTGTATTCATTGCCTGCCTTTATTGCGATGTCAAAAAGTGGGTCCAAAAATTTACGGCGTGGGGTTCGGGGCCCGCTTAAGGGCCCCGAATTTTTTTTTGGATTCTAGATGCTCTGTGGTGCGATCTGAGGCAATTTCTGACCACTTTAACCAATTTTTTTTTTGAGGAAAAGATGGTGGTGTACTCATTGCCTGCCTTTATTGCGATGTCAAAAAGTGGGTCAAAAAAATTACGGCGTGGGGTTCGGGGCCCGCTTAAGGGCCCCGAAAATTTTTTGGATTCTAGATGCTCTGTGGTGCGATCTGAGGCAATTTCTGACCACTTTAACCAATTTTTTTTTTTGAGGAAAAGATGGTGGTGTACTCATTGCCTGCCGTTATTGCGATGTCACATAAAAAAAAAAAATTGATTTCGTTTTTGGGGGGGGGGGGGCATGGCCCCCTTTGGCCCCCCCCCCCCCTGGATCCGCCCTTGGATACGCCACATGCACACTTTGGTTCGAACTGTAGTGCGGCCTGGTACACTTGCTGGCCCCGTCCAGTTGCCGTTGCCTCCCCGGTCACCGTAGCGGACCGCTCCCGCTTTGGTCTGACCGTCGATAACCCGTACCGTGCCGGTGCCCACTCGGTTCGTATTGGTTGACATGGTTTTGCCACTGAGTACATAGTACATGTATAGACTTTGTAGACACCATACCAACCTGTTATCTCTATAACGCTACCAAAGACTAACCAAAAAGAGAAACCCTATAGGTTGATGAAATCTAGCAAAGTTATGTAAAGTGAAGAGATGAATAAATCAGTGTATTGACATGTGTGACTGTCACCCCAAAGCTCTGTTTCCCTCCAACTTATTGAATTATTGTTGACTCTAATAAATGTTTCATGAACTGCTATTAGGGAACGCGACAATATCGTAATAATTGAGTCATTTTGTCCGTGTAGTGAGACACTTTGAGCCAACATGTGTCACTGTCGAATTTCTCACTTTCTGTTTTCTGTGTATCTGGAGACAAGGTAAATGCTCGCAACTGTTGGGTATACTAGTAGCCTTTTTGGATCGTTACTTTGTCATCATACACGTTCAGTCACTTATATGCTTTAGAAAATGTTATTGAAGTAAGTTGTGTGAGTATAGAATGTCTAAAAATATGGGGAAAATATTTTACACGGCAGGTATTAACGATTTAGTCAAATTAGGTTTATTTAGGGTACACATTAACGATGGCGTCCACCCACATGTTGTTTCGTATGGTTCAAAGAATTGATCTAGCATGGATGCCAGCTAATGACAAAAATGAGGTGAAATTATTTTCTAGATAACTTTTCCCACATTTGGCTGGCCTGCTATAAAGCCTGGCTATCATTCAATCCACTCCTTATTACCCCATTCCATTTGGGTCCCTAGATCCAGAAATACAATCTATTAAGTGAAAAGGTGTAAATGTTACGTGGGACACTCTCACCTGGACATGCTGAATCAGAAAATAGTCAGGCTTCAATGTAATATATAATTTTATTGAAGAAAACAAACATTAAAAATTTGTAATTATTGTTTTCTGAATGTTGCACTTTTTGCCACACTTTCTGCATACTTAGTAGCCTATTTCAACATGTAAGCAAAGAAACAGCAAAAAGAAACAGTTTTAGAAAAGTGTTCAATAGAGCGTGTAAGTTGGCCCCAAGACCTTCCAGATTTTAGGAGAATACATCACCTATTCCTTACACTACCCAATTTTCTTCGGGGCTGGATGTAAAATGTCTTCCATTTGTAAGTTGTTATTTCAACACAAATACATGTATGTAATTTGCTTTAACTTTTTGTTTATGTTGACTTGAGTAACAAATACCACGTAAAAACATATCCAGTAATTTTAAGCTAAATTATCTGTCAATCGGTTTGCATCCCCAAAATAAAAACAAAACGTAAAATGACGGCACGGCGTATTTATATATCACGACAATTTTGTTACATTTGGGTGTACCTTATTTGTAAAATTAGCAGCTCAAGTTTTATCTTTTCACATCAATGTATGGAATTTTAATCGCAAATCAGTTCATTTCTCAAAAATTAAGTGCAAACGGTGTCAAACCACCATATTTATGGTGTTACCATCTTCAATAAAAGTCGGGTCGATTATATGATTGCACTCGGGAAAAAGAATCACCAAAAAAAATTGTAGACCCCTGGATCAAAGAGTCACACATTTTTATATATTTTTATTTTTTATATATTTTTATTTTTTGTATGCAAATCGCAAGGCCAAAGGCCACTAAATGTGTGGGCTTCAGAGGAAAGTGTGGAAGAAGATAGTCTAATCTCTTCACACTATGAATAGGGTTGGGAATGGATAACTAGTCCATAGCACGGCATTAATAATGACTCTACCCGTATTAGGCGTAGAAGTGGCATAGCCCGGGCTGGGCTCGAACCCACACAACCTGCAGAATTACCCGCAGACCACAAATTCAATGTACCTTTATATGCCTTCGACTCAACCATGTTGCAGCTGCATCCTTCGAAATTCAGCTTCTCAGCTGCAAGTAAGGATGATTAGCCCCCCCCAAAAAAAAAAAAAAAAAAAAAATGAAAATCAAATTAAGTTTTCACTGTCTTTCGAACAAGATTCAACTGTGCCTTATTGTCAAACTGAAGCTTATTCATTTGTTTTTCATTGTATTGGCAATGTCTGACCATCGTAATGAAATACTTGGTGAAAAAGTGGTATTAGTCTCTATCGAATTTTCATGCAGTTTATTCGTGAAATATGTCGGCTCATTCCCCAATTCCATCACGCAAGAAATCGTATGAAACTGCGGCACGTGCAAATTACTTTCTTTCTGCCAACTTTCTTACACACCCTTTTTACTCCTATTTGCAGAAATTCAACATGTAGCCATCGCAGGAAATGCATCAACCCGAATTATTTCACCCAACTTCCCGTTCCCCTATCCGAACTATGTCAACAAGACGTGGATCATCAGCACTGAGGAGAACCACAAGATTGCCATCAAATTCTTTGAGTTCAGGGTCGATACGCGGTATGACGGCGACTTCCTCCAGATTGGCGACGGTACGGACGTCACTGCGAACCAGTTCTTTCAGGAGAATGGGTTCACGCTCCCGCCCAAACTGCTGTCCAATGGGAATGAGATGTGGATGCGATTCATTACCGACTACTGGCGGGCTGCTGCTGGATTTGTGCTGGCGGCTGCCAGTGTTCCCGTGACAGGTATGCAATGTTACAGACACTGTCTGTTGATCCCACTTATCCTCTTTGTGTGGACTACATGAATGTTTAATTGTAATTTTAATTCCACAGATTAAACACATTCCTAAACCACATCTCTAAGCACATAGTCGTGAATTTCTATACGCCCAAGGACAATGCTTTGTCTTTCCCACGTGTTTAGATTTGTGGAAGTTACTTAAGCTACATCATGTCCTCTCTAATTATTTTTCTCTTTCTCGTTTATCACCAAATGTTAAAATATGAACTCCAAATTTTTCCCACATGTGAACGAGTGGGTACACATTTCTTTTTTAAGTAATCATTGTTGTAGTGCTAGTGTTGGTGAAACCATATCTGTGGAAACCACATTTTTAGTGGGAAAACAAATCAATTTTATAGCAACAGTTCTCCGAGCAAGATCATTGGGAATGGGTGTTTTTTTTAACAAGAGTCCATTTCCATTTTAATGACACAAAATCCTGTCTGCGTAATTCTTAAAGACAGATTTGATTAATGATCTATTAATGAGTTGTGCAACTGCATTTTCAGGTTTAGGCCAACTACTTTTTCATAAGTTCCAAAAGCCAAATTCCTCTGTGAGACAACTTCCACTTGTGCCAAAAACATTTCTGGCATCTTTATAAAAAAAACCGGCTGTGCTTTTCAAAATAGCTTTATGAAGCTACCACCAGGCCTGGATTATCCGATAGGCACAGTAGGCACTGTGCCAAGGGCCTACGAAAAATTCGAGGGCCTACGAAAATACCGCAGTTGTGCCATAAAACATACATGCCTACCCACACACACACCCACACACATAAAAACTTTTGAGAGAGACCCTAAAACATTTTAAAGAAAGTTTTAGGGTCTCTCTCAAATTTTTCGATTTCACTAACTTGTGATGTACAATATACATCATGTAGGTAGGCATTGATGTAGGCCCTACATATACAATTTACGGCTATCTGAAGCACGGTGCCAACCATGGCCGTCGGTTGGTAGGGGACGTACGACAAAAACAAAAAACAAAACAAAAACAAAAACAAACAAACTTGCAAGCACAAACAAACAACCCAATAAACACCCCAACATACGAAAAAAAGTTTGTAGCCTACATTTGATTCGATAGCTCAGAATAGCTGATTCAATGCCTCCAAACTCGAACGAAAATGATATTTCAATGATGATCTTTTGCCCAAAAAGATTGTTTAAAGTGGTCAGAAATTGCCTCAGATTGCACCACAGAGCATCTAGAGTCCCATATTTTCCCCGGGGCCCTTAAGCGGGCCTCGAACGCCACGCCGTTTAGCCTTCGCACTCGCATTAGTTCTGATCAACATACACATGTATGTACCAACCCCACTTTTGAGAACCGATTGACGCCCTTGGTGCCAACAGGCTTTTAGAGCTAGGACCTATACCAGTATGGCTTGGCTGGATTTGTATAGCGCTTTGTTTTCTTTAATAGCATCAACAGGAATTTGGTGTCGGTGCCTAGGGCGGAGTAGGGCAGGATCACTGATTTCACGAATGAAACACTTAATCCGGTTCTGGTTGCCACAAGTCATTGACCTTGCCCACGTTGTCACGTTTTCTGCCTTGCTTTATTTTTCAGAAATGTTGACCTGTTCTCGTACTGAATTAGACTGTGGACATTACTGCATCCGTGGCACCCTGCAGTGTGACCGTGTAAATGACTGCTTTGAAGGAACGGATGAACTAAATTGCGGTAATGAAGAGTCAGATAATGTAAACGTAAAGCGTTCATGACATGAATTTTACACTGGAAAAAAGTTTGTGCAAATGTTTCATTCCTGTGGTGTGAACACTTTTTTGATGTCATCTCTTGTTTAACCTTTTCAGTGCTCTTTAAAATGTTCATTTAATATTTTTCCTTTATAAAACCAAGGGTGCTGTTGATGTTACGTCATTTAAGGCACACTCTCTTTAGTGTAGGGGTTGCATGTTTGTTTATTGTGGACCTAAATATGCTCATATTTTGTTTGTAAAGTTTGTTACTGACCTACTGTCATGTAGTGAAACAACAATAAATCACCAAATACAGAAAATTTACAACATTACCGAACTTAAATTCCGGGCAACCATTTGCGCTGAAGTAGCTGTAATAGGACCTGAAGCTGTCTGTAGTGATATCACAGCATTGCTCTTTAAATGTTGAAAGTTGCATATACAAACTAAAAACACACCAAAACACCATTACAAACAACACTATGAAGATCTTTTTTTTTTAATCAAAATGTGACTTTATAAGTACAGGATGTATGAATAAATCTAAACGTACTTTGTACATGGCCTACTTAGAGCACCGGACTCATGCTCTGGTGTTAGAGGCAACAGTGGCGTGGGTTTGAGCATACACTTGTGCCCTTAAGCGAGGCACTTAACCGTTATTGGTTCGTCCGTTGGATGGGACGTTAAGCCGGAGGTCCCGTGTGTTTTAAAGGCCTAACGCAGGTAAAAGAACCCAATAACACTTATCGCTAAGAGAATGGGTTTGCCCGGTGTTTCTGGCCTCCTAGTTATACTCCCTTGTTGGTTCATTTCTTTAGGAGAAGAACCAACCAAGTACCAAGTAGAGCAAAAGTGTGATGTCATTTCAGACAGAAACCTTAATGTTACAGCTATTTCAGATTTTGTGGATACTTTGCTGTCGTAAATTTCCTTTTCGGTGGTGATTTGTTGTTGTTTCAGTACATGACACAAGGCCACTGACCAAAGTTTTCTCGTAACTGTTTTCAATGAGAAAATTGTGGGTTCACAATTTTAACAGAAAACCCCTAAAATGAACAGTGTCTTCTTGAAATGACATCCTAGCAACAGCGCCCTCATTTGTCAGAAAAAAAACAATGAAAACGTTTGTAATGTTTAAAAAAGTGCACTTTTCAATAAGATTAACTAAAAAGGGATGTCAAATAGTTTCATATATTTAAGAGGAGTAGAAATTTGTACAAAAATGGGATCTTTAGTAATTGAGCTCACAATACGCATGTGCATGTGTGTTGGTTGCGCGGGCCTCGCTTTTCCATGACTGCAGGGGTACAAGTAGTGTATCAACGAAAACCTGATGAACCATCCATTCAGATGTGGCGTATGTCTGCACCATTGTGATTTTTCTGAATAGAACTATGTCTGCAAGAAGAAAAAAAGGGAAAATTGCGCTCAAACATATGTTTTTCTCTCTAAACATTTCCTTTGAATGTTAATACGCAGACGAGGACCGCATCGTTTACATTGGGGCAAACGACACAGTTGAGCTTGCCTCGACTAGATACCCGGACTATTACGTCAACGACATCCAGATAACTTGGATCATCCAAACCGAAGAAGCTCGCAGGATCCGCATTTCCTTTACCCGGTTTTCTACTGAGTATTGGTATGACGTCTTCCAGGCCGGTGATGGTGACAGTAGCGCCCACAATATGTTCTTCCAGTGGAGTTGGTACAGAAACCCGCCCGATCTGCTGTCAGCTGGAAATACCATGTGGCTTCGGTTCACTGCTGACGAAAGTTACCAACGACAAGGGTTTCTGCTGACGGCATCAAGCGTACCTGCCTCTGGTAAGCTCTTGTGGAAATTTCAAACAGATTTATGATCTGACTTTTTCATGCGACTCCTTGTCAACTCACCTGCAGAGGGTAGGGTATGTGACTGCGACTCTAGCTTCTTGAGGTCCATCTTGTAGCTAGCCAAACAATGAGGTTACAATTTCTAAACAGAGGTTTTCGCCTTTTTGTCATGTTATAATTTAATAATCCACTCAGGCATCTTAAACATGAAGCGATTTTTGCCTTTTAAAACCCGGGGTATACAGGGGGAGTGGACTGTGAGCCGAGTCGGGGCGGATTTTTGCAGGGGGGGGGGTGTTCATAAGCGAATCAGTGCTGACATGCAGGTAGGGTTTTTCTCCGGATGCTTCGTCTCCGTAAAATCATTAGGTGGGGTTGGGGAGGGATGGGGTGGAGTGGGGGGGGGGGGGTTGGAGGTGGGGTGGTGGGGGTTGGGGGCTCGTAGCACACTTTGGGGCGCTGTTCAAATCCGACGATCTTTAACACTATATTACAGAATAGTTTGCAAATACCCCCCTAACTCAGCTGGGTCTGACCGAATTGTGTGCACAGGCTGTAATTATAATTGTCAGATTTTTTTTTTTTTTTTTTTTTTGGGGGGGGTGTAAGAGCAGGGGGGGGGGGGGGCGTTTCACATTATTTTGAATGTTTTTCTAATAATAAAAAAAATGTTGAGTCCGACTTGGGGGGGGGGTCCCCCACCCCGATCCGCGCCTGCGAGTGCATACGATGGCCTGCCTGTGTGTCTCTTCTGCATCACACACATATACGCTGCACATACACCCCAATGCATAATGTGCACAGGCCCACAATTCAGGATTTCCATTATTTGTGCACCAATTGTAACGATACATCAAAAGGAAAAACAAATTAAAGTTCAATTACTGGACATATAAACAAATCTTATACTTTTGATGTGTTCAGGCCGCTGGTTGTTCTTTTCTCCATGGTTCGGGCAGATCTAACGTCGTTCAGTCAAGTGAATTATTTTCTGTTGTTGATGGTAGTTCATCCAATTACAAACTGCCCCAAGGAGATAAAATTTTGAGGTATAGAGAGAGCTGAAAGCGGCACGCTTGAAGGGAACAATAAGAGTCCTCATTAGTCCAGTAAACCCAGACGGTGGGGGCATTTTGCCAAATTTCATGTGAGCCTATCATTTTGAAATGTGTACACGACGATTCTGTCACTAAAATGTATCCTTTCATTTCACCCATTTGTCCTAGACAATTTGACATGTTCCCCTAACCAGTTTGACTGTGGGCATTCTGTGTGTATCGCCTCTTCCTGGCAGTGTGATGACGTGTCAGACTGTTTTGATGGACGGGATGAACTAAGCTGTGGTAAGGCCCCCTTCTTTTTTTTATGGAATTCGTCATCAATTCGTCAGTGACACCACTAAGTAGCACTCTATAAATTTGTGTTTTACGAAGTAGTACGCTTCAATGTATTACAACAACACTACTTGAGTGCTACTTCGTGAAAACTAGGTTAGCGCGCGCCCAGACAAGGAGAGTGCTACTTTGTGAAAACTTTTTTTTCTTCTCATTTTAGCACAGAACGCACCATGCATTACAATGCTAATTATAACTGGAACTAGAGTACTACTTCATCACTTTCGCACAAAATTTGCCATAAATAATTAGCGTATTTATTAAAGTAAAGCTCTTGAAGCTTTGAAACTTCATGCAGTGGTACGCCTTAATGAATAATGTTTAAAAATATTTTAAAAAACCTGAAAATCGAAAAAAAAAATAGGGTTTAACACGCGGAGTGCTACTTCGTGGTGTCGGTCACGAATTGGCAGTGGCGTAGCTATACCTCCCGGCTCGGGGTGCCCCCCAGTTAGTTGACCTCAGTTACATTGCTGTCAACTAAGCCCGGTGCACACCTTCCCGATTTAACCTGTAATTTCCGGATCGCCCCATCACTGGATACGAGTTTTTTTCACCGCTGTGTTAGACCGCAACGTTATTTTCCACACACATGCCCGATTCAGTCCTTTAATCGGTCACATGATGATCAGTCACATGATGACCAGTCCCATGATGACAACCACGTGGCTTTCTTCGTGAATCTGATTGGTTAACATAAATATTGCGTCCAGTGAAATCGGATGCGAAAAAAAAACCAAACATATTTGATTTCATCCGGTCGCCAGCTATAAGGTCAGATCGGTCCGAATCGTCATCGCACACTGGCCCGATGATCTTGTGAACCGGCAAAATCGGAAAGGTGGCTGCGGGCTTGAGCCGGTATCGTGTGGTGTGAAGCAAGCATCCCCCTCCTCTTTTTGAATTTCCACGGCCGGGCAATTTTTGTATTAAGTCATCCCTCATCCCCCAGTACCCGGTACAGATTTACGCCACTGTCGCCGGTAGGCCTACACCTCCTATACTTAGGCCTAATTACGTGGCGGGGGATGGTCCATATGCCATGGGAGCGCAAATGTGCAGGCATTTTGTGACATAAATTGCAAATGGCAAAAGGTGACTGTAATTCACAGTGACTTTACATGACACGTTTTGTGACAGTCAGATTGGCTTTCTCTTTTGTAGTGAGGTTTATGGATGGCATTCACGTTGTAATCTGAATTCGTGATCATAAGTCAGCTACAGCAATGTTTTATTCACATACATGTATTGGGCCGGTGTACATATAGTAAATTACACGTCATAGCCATTCACTTGAAATTTGGACCTTTCCTTTTTCCCATTTTTTTGACAGGTACTCATGAAATATTCCTCAGTGCCAATGAAACAGCCGCCATATCAATTTCATCCATTCACATTAACTCCATGTGGCTCATTCAGACTGTGGAAGACCGGAAGGTTCTCATCACTTATCCCACCGGTTACTTCTCTTTGAGTGGATCCTTCGTATTGCGAGCCGGTGATGGTGACGATAGTACCAACAACACAAGTGTCTTTTTTGAATGGAGGAGAAGGTCTAGGTATAGGTCCCCAGACCTGCTGTCAGACGGGAATAAGTTGTGGATAACCTTCGAGCGCGGAAAGTCGTTTAGCTCATACAACTTCGACATACTGGCTACGAGCGTCCCGTTAACTGGTAGGCATATATCTGTGGATCATTCTATAAATTGTGGGTCCACGTTTTCCTGTTCCTGTTACATCTGGCAAATATGATGTTGTAATTCTGGGTGCGCTCTTTAATGTAGCGGTGTTATTCCTCCAAAACTGGAAAAATCATCCTCAACGAATATAAACAAATCTAGTCAACTTTAATAAGGGAATAAATGTGTGTTTGAGAGGTGTTAAACACTCTGTTTAAGACTGGTTGGAGTCTGGAATGCTTATAATTACCCGAGGCGAAGCCGATGGTAGTTATCTGATAATTACCCTTGTTGTAACATCTGTGACATCTTTTTATAGGTTCAATATTTACAGCCTTATAACTATAGAACTATTTAACTGATTGATCTCAAATTTGGTAGGTATACAGACAGAGAAGTCGTATAGATAAAAATGGATATGTCAAGGTCACGTGACCTTCACTTCCGGGTTTACCGGTAATGGTAATTTTAGACCCCTATATCATATCTTAAGAATTATTAATCTGATTGGGTTGAAACTTCACATAAATGCAAAGCTATATTGACAGATAATTATATTGCATTATTATTACTGTGCACTTAATGATGGTCATGTTATGACGTCATGAAAATTTAATGAGGCAATCTTTACATTCTTATAACTATAGAACCATTTGACCAATTGATCACAAACCTGGCCGGCATACAAACGTGGAAGTGTTATACATAAACATTGGTATGTCCGGGTCATGTGACCTCCACTTCCGGTGTTACCGGAAGTGTTAATTTAAGACCCTAACTAGCATATCTAATGAATTATAAATTTGATTGGGTTGACAGCTTATAGTAGTATTAAGCAACATTAAATGATAAATATGTAGCATTATTATTAATGGGCAGTTTAAAGTTTTTGTGTTATGAAGTCATAAATATTTAATGAAGCAATCTTTTTAGTCCATTAGCTTTAATACTAATTGACTGATTGATCTCAAACTTGGTTAATATATAAACAGAAGAGTGTCATAAATGAAAATGTGCATGACAAGGTCATGTGACCCTTACTTCCGGTTGTACCGGAAGTGCAATTTTTAAAAGTAATAATTTCAATATTATTAGTTTCTTTTTTTTTTAAATCATTAAATCATTTTGTTTTTGGTCCAATGGGTAAACAAAACTGGGAACAGCTCTGTGGTTTTTCACAACCACAACCTCTAGTTTTCATTGATTTTCTTTGCTTTGATTTTCAGAAGCTCTGACCTGTTCTTTGGGTGACGTGGAATGCGGACATTCGGTCTGCCTCATTAACGCCTTGCAGTGTGATACCATCATAGACTGCGTAGATGGCACTGATGAGCTGGACTGTGGTAATGATAAAAGTATTGTTTCGGTGAAGCAAATTTCTGAGAGAAATTGGTGAGAAAAAAAAATCAGATTTAGCATATTCAGGACAGAAAGTAAGCGATTGTTTTTGGTTTTCTTTTCAGATAAAGAACGTTTGCTGTTGATTCCGGCCAATGAGACAGCCCACATTACTTCGACGTCATATCCAAGCAGCTACCCCAGCAACCTTAATATCACTTGGATTGTCCAAACCGAAATGGGTTGGAAGATTCGCATTAAATTCTCCAGCTTTTCAACTTCTACTTACACGTACTACAGTGGTGATGATCTCCATGCAGGAGATGGTAGCATTGCAGCCAACTCTCAGTTTTTTAAGTGGCGTGGGTACAGAACGCCTCCCGATCTTCTATCCACTGGCAGCGACATGTGGCTTCGATTCACCTCTGACGAGTATTACAGCGGCTCTGGATTTTCGTTAGAGGCTTCTTCTGTACCTTCTTCAGGTAAGACAATGAACCGGGACGTACATGTACTTTGTTGTAAATTTCTATTGCAAGTTGTCGAATACAACCTCTTCGGTTATCCTGAAAATGGAAACAACTACGTGAGCTGACCTACATCTTTCTCACTCAATGTATGACAAATTATGTGATCATGTGACTATTCACGTGGGATTGTAAATTAACGCTGATACGTTTTTGTCAGGCTAAATGACAAGCTTTTGATGCCAAGATTTGAGGTTAGAAATATTAACATTAACTTATAACGTCAATGACAAATGATTCTTTGGCCGTTTCTTTTAAATTGTCTGTGATGTAACCGAGATCGGTGAATTAACAGACGTCTGATATCGTTGCAGAAATCTTAACGTCGTGCTCCCCAAGTGACTTTGACTGTGGTCATCACTCTGTCTGCATCCCTGACATTTGGAAGTGTGACGGCTTTGTTGATTGCTTGTTAGTTGCAGAGGGTGACGAGCATAACTGTGGTAAATGATTCATTTGACATTGATCATGTCTTGAGTAAAGTTGTATTATTTTTGTCAAACAAAAATCGTATCTGGTCGGCGCTCACCATGGTGTTATTTTTGTTTTCTATTTTCTTGTATTATTCATTTATATACATTTTGTTATACAGTAATACACAGAAATCCTGATATAGGCAAATGTGTTCAAAATGACTTGTGTATGAACATTTTGCCCGAAGCCTCTGTATTTCAGAGGTTTTTTTTCTCCTTCTTTTGGCCAAAAAAAAGTAGAAATATTAAAAAGAGGACGTAGAAGCAGGCGATATGCCTCATTTGCTTTCAAATTTTACATTCTAACCATTTAAGAATGCACAGCTACAAACGGGCTTTATCAAGCTACTTAAAGACCTATAAATCTGTTTCTACAGACAAAGATCGTGTTGTGTTCCTTGGGGCATTGGAAACAGCCGAGCTAGGGTCTACAGTCTATCCCAACTATCCCAACAACATTGAGATAACATGGATCATCCACACCGAAGAAGACCGCAAGATTCGCGTCAATTTCTCCGACTTCCAAACCGAGCATCTGACTGACTTTGTCCAGGCAGGAGACGGCAACAGGAGCACAGACAACGCCTTCTTCCGATGGAGTTGGGACAGGTTTCCACCTGATCTGCTGTCCAGCGGTCCGATGATGTGGCTTACTTTCAAATCAGATAGCAGTATCAATGATCGCGGATTTTTCTTGTCTGTTGCCAGCGTGCCAGCTACAGGTATTACAAGCAGCAGCAGGAACCAAAAAATGCTGTTCTTATGATGATAACAGTATGTGCTAACAACTCTAGCAAAAACAATCTTGTTGAGTCTTTCGCTAATGGTAATCAGAGCCGGGAATTCGACCCTTGATTTCGTATAAACATGTACGCCACGTAAAGAATTTACTGAAAGCAATTTCGTTTTTGATACAGCTGTTAGCACATAGCCAAATCCAGTTCTGGAAACTTGCAATTATCCAAATAAAAGTATGTAAATTGACTTTTTGAGAAGATGTGTTAGATGCTTGCTTTATTCAGAATGTTAGCACACTGGTTACTGGTTACCTTTATTATTACCTTAACTGTTGTGGTGTAGCCTTCATCATGCAACTGGTTAACTTGTATCCGGTCACTGTTATTTTCTTGTCTTACAGAGGAATTGACATGTTCTCCTGGTGAGTTTGACTGTGGGCATTCAGTCTGCATAAGTAATTCTTCGAAGTGTGACTCAATAACTGATTGCTTGGATGGAAGTGATGAATTCGATTGTGACAGTAAGAACTTTATTGCCGTGCTATTGAGAAAAAAAGAGTAATATTATAGCTACACAACTAAAACAATACTTATTCACGTTTTCATGTCAACTAAATTGTGTAGAAGTTATGACAAAAAGAAACGACTTTTAAACAAGTGAAAGTAAGAAATGTAGTGCTTTGACACCGATAGTGTTTTGTCAACAACCATCACATTTTTTTTTTTTTTTTTTTTTTTTTTTGGGGGGGGGTTACAATGTGATTGGTGACTCCAAAAAGATTAACCAGGAATCGTTAGTGTTGATTTTTCATCATATTGACCTGATTCAAAACAGATTAATGTTATATATTTGATTCTAATTGAAAAATAAAAGAATACTTCTTTTTATTTATTGGTATTTGTTAGGTGTCATAAATTATGTCAGCATGGAAGGCACAAGTTTCAAAAATATGTTGAAGGAGTATTTTGTTTTCTATTTTCTTTGTCGTCAGATCGCACGATATTTCTCGATGCGAACGAAGTTGCCCGGATTACATCTCCGTTTTATCTCAGCCGCTACCCGAGAAACCTGGAAACAACCTGGACCATACAGACAGAGGCGAATCGAAGGGTTCTAGTCACTTTCCACGATTTCTCAGTTTCTTCTCAGCGCGGCATATTCAAGGCAGGTGACAGCGGCGCTAACGACACGTTCTATGTTTCAAACTGGTGGAGGTTTCCACCAAATCTACTCTCCAATGACCGGACGATGTGGCTCAGTTTGGATTCTGACAAGAATTGGGTCGGAGGGTTTGACTTGACTGCTTCTAGTGTACCATCAACTTGTAAGCACCCTTGCTTTCTGTACATGTTTGGCTTTACGATAGAGGACAGGCACACAAAGGGATAACCAAAAGATCCTTTCAGTCTTCGAGTGTTGGTTCTTTTGTTGAAAACGGTCCTCGATCGTATACGGTTATGTGCTTAGTCTAAGGGAGTGTCATATTACAGGGACAAAGGGAAACACAAACCATTGTCCTCGGTCGTACAGAAATTCACGACTGTGTGTCTGTATACGTGTTTGTGCATTTCTGCATTCTTGAAGAGATAAAGTATCTCATGCAGCGTACCCTCCAGCGTACCCTCCAGTTTTCAACGAAGTGACAAATCGACCTGCACATTAGCAAAACAGAGTTTGGAGAATATCACGTTTAAAGACAACCGATTTTCTAATCAAGATGGAAAATATATATCTGATGTGACCAGTCCAATTTTTGAATAATCCTATAAAAGCTTAAAGAGTATGGAATTGAAGAAAATTACATTTGCAGCATAGAACACAGATTTGTGAATAGGCGACTGTACCAAACAAATCAGGATTTGTCACTTCGTCAAAACCAAAACCGAGTTACCACACACATATACTTCATGTACTTAGTATAATTAACAAAGGGTACAGAGGATATAATGAAATGTTGGGCAATACAAAAGATATCCAAATTGCTTTTAAAAAAAGTTTCGACAAACTAGAGGGAGTGGTTTGATTAATAAGACGTCTAATTTTGCAACAGAATATTTCCCCAAAAAATGTATTAATACTTTATTAGTAATGAATTTTGAACAACATTATCGTTAGGATTAGCTCTTGCTATTCGACCCAAAATTGCAGTAAAATATATTGTGTGTTCCTTTCTTTATTCAAGACACCCTACCATGCTCGTGGCGCAACTTTGACTGTGGTCACTCGGTCTGCATTGATGGCAGTTGGCGATGTGACGGTCGACTGGACTGTTTTGACGACAAGGACGAACAAAATTGCGGTAGGCCTGTGTTAAGTAGAAATCACATGGGTGCTATTTTTAATTGAAAAGATCGTTTAAATTCAGATCAATAAGGTTCAAAGAGATAAAGTAAGGACAAAAACAATAAAAAATGAACGTGATTTTTGTCGGGATTTCTTAATTATTCTGTGTGTCACTTTTAACCAAAATGACAATCAGTAACAGTTTAAACAAACTTAAAGTTTGAATGAAAACTGAGTATGTAGTCCACACATCTATTTGTAGACAATGAGTATTGAAAGACAGAAATTATTGCCGAAGTTGGGTCTTCTTATGCAGCATCCATTGATATATTTAAAAGTTTTTCGAAAAATGATTCTACTGGTAAATTTAGACGATTATGCCCCAACATAGTTGTCTTCTTTTCCTTCTTATATAGATAGCTGTGTCGGTCGGTGCTTTTTGGACGGTCCTCGGACCGGAGATTGTTGGTGCGACGCTGCTTGCGAAATGACCGGAGACTGCTGTTCAGACTACATTGAGCATTGTCAGGGAGCACAGATGCCAACTACTACCGTACAACCAGGTCAGAGGCAGTTGGCTTTTTTTGGAGACACATTGATAAAAAAAATGCACATGTATGCAAATATTAAAAAAAAGAAAAAAGTCTTAACAATACAACTTCGAACTCGTTTTACCTTAAACGAGGCCAAGGGAACAGTTGGGGTTTGATGGAGTTAAAATATGCCAGATGGCTTTCTGATGGTGTCAACCACGTCCGCATAGAGTGCGTCGATTAACACCCTCCTTTCTTCTCCCTCTTCTCAGGGGTGTACTAGACAAGTATCTGGGTAATTAGTACACCGACTGTGCTGTCTGTCAGACGGCCCACTTGCGAGAGGCGCACTCTATGTGGACGTGGTTGAACCAATCAACACGGCTATCCAGCAGATTAAACAAACTCTAGCAAAACAAAAATGTGGTATATATAACCACCTTATGAAACACTTCTCACTACTTTTAGGCGTACGGCGGCTTTGTTTTAACATTTTAATTTCTTTGCCCATATATATGTGTCCAAAACATCAAGTTTTTGCTTCCTAATGGTTACAGTGTAAAGATATTTAGTGGAAGGAGTATTACAATTTGGTCTGATGTTTCATACATCCTGTAGATGTCGATGAATGTAACCCGGATGCGCCGTTGCACAACTGCGACGACAATGCAATCTGCAATGATACCTTCGAGAGCTTCACATGCACCTGTAGATCTGGATATGCAGGCAACGGCGAGTATTGCACAGGTAACTTGAAAACCATGTCCCACAATCGCATGGTTTATATGGAAATAGGTATTTGTGAATAAACAAGAATATATTATTAAGAAGGAATTTGCGTCGGGGTAATGTAAATCAATATTAGGCTTTGCCTTCACCGACATGTGAACACTGTATACTCGGTGTGTTTCCTCCCGATTGAAACTTGGGGGAAAAATTAGTCGGGTGGGACTCGAACTCACGACCTCCTGCTTTCTAGTGCAGATGTTGGTACCGCTCGAGCTTGCGGGATCGGTTAGCTTAAATATATTATTGTCAAAATTGCTTGCAGTCTGAAGATAGGGTGGGGGAATATCAACCTCCAGTAACATTCTGTCATGCAGGCATTGATAATTACAGTCACTAATAAAATCAGTTAATAAATCAATGTGTTTGTACAAAAATATGATTAATGGTATACATTAATTCACCTCCTACTTACTATAACTAAAATTGTAGATAAGGAAACCGACCTTACGAAAATCTTTCAAAACGTGCACAGTGTATGCATAACTTGTTTCTTTTTTAATTATTTAAAGTTCAACTGTATTATTATCTTTTTTAAAATGCATAAAACCGCTACAACTAGCTACTGACTGAATTTACTCGATGTAAAAATGTGAAAAGCAGTAGTCCACTAGATGGACAAATGCTTCTAATCTGGCTGTTTGGGCAAAAAAAGACAAATTTTCAGCAAATTTTGATTTGTACGGTCATTCCTAGATGTGGAACCGCCCAGCATCACTTGCCCTGCCGACTTCACAGTCTACACAGACTGCAGAAAGAGCTACTCAACGGTCTCCTTGCCAGACGTCCAGTCTGCATCCGACAACTCCGGCCAGTATGCCATCAGCATAAACATTGGCGGCTCGATATATGAGGTTGGCGACACAACAACTCTCAGTCTGGGAGCATCTCCTCACATGGTGCGCTACACCGCTACTGACAATTCCTACGCTGCAGACTGTGATACAAACGTGACGGTGGCAGAAGTTTCCGGTAGGTGCAGCTTGACGTGTAAAATAATTCATACTATGTAATAATATAGTACCCAAATTCTTGAAAGGAGTTAAAAACCTTCAAATGCAATGTCATCGCTTCTGAAAAGGGACTGTTCCCGTCACTCTCTTTCCCAAAAGACAATCCCAGAATGGAACCTGCTTGATCTTCACACAAGAAGTGCAACGGATGTCAATACATTCAAAAGTAGGATAGATACCATCAATATAAGAAATATCCATGCAAAAGCCCGTCATTAACCTATTTTGAGACTTTCACACGCCCCGACCAACGTAAGTGCGACAACCAGAAGATGGTGTTTGTACGTGGCCGAACAGATACAGATACAGAAAAGTCCCGAGAGCAATGTTAGAGTTACAAGACCATAGAGTCTCGTGAGTTTTAAGAAGAGTGTACTTGCCCGGACAATATCGATTCAGTGATAAAAGGAATGACGAGGCCTTAAAAGCAATTAGAAACATTGGTAATCACCCGAAAAAAAAACACCTATCGATATAATAAGCAAAACTAATAGCTCCAAGTGAAGATAGGGTTTTGTCCCAACTACCCTTTGAAAATATTTTTGTCCCGAAAATGGTGCCCATTATACACATACCAACGCCAAAATTGTTAACAGAGTGTACATGTGAACGTTTTGTTTATTTTATTACAACAGATGGAACATTCTGTGAAGAAACCGGATCCCCACCAAACTGCATCTGTAAGTCAAACGAAGGGCTCGACTGCACTTGTTTCTACAAAAACTGCGGCCATGACTGTTCTCGTAAGTTAAAAAACACATGGAACTCAATAATCCAAACAAGATGAATACTATTACAAAAAAATATGAAGGAAAGATCAGACACAAAAAATAGTTTCGTGGAAAGCTTGTCTAAGTCAGGGTTGCTCCACACTGTGAAAGTCTTGGAAAACATTTGTGTGTAGATTGAAAAATTGAAGATAGATTTCAGGTAGTCAGGATAACGTCCGTACTGTCATGGCTGACCACAAGACACTCAATAATAAAGCAACATTTTATACTCACTGATGGCGTTTGTTACATCAACAGAGATATGCTTAAAAAAGGCAACAAAAAGGCACAGGTGTTCGTAAACTGTTACACTAAAGGTCATATGAAGTAATATGAATTTGGCCAAGGAAGCTATATGTCACAGATCCTTTCCCCCAAAACAATGTTTTTAAATGTTTACGTGTCTGCACTGCCATGGTTATTGTATATGTTATGCAAACAGAATCCGCTGAGGGAGTTGAGTGCACAGGACCAGGCGTACCATATCCAAACTGCACAGATGTCGACCGTTGCGATCCTGGGCACTCTGGGCCACGCTGTGACAGTGGTAAGCTTATTGTGTCCAAATCTGATAGAAAACTAAGAATGCCTTAGAAGATGCATCATTAATTTAGACAAGTCCATTCAGTACAATCTTTACATACAATCAACCTCTTTCAATTAATAAAATCCTTGTAAACATTAAACTTTTCTTCCACGTGCCCTCCATACATTTGTATACCGGCTACAAAATCAGTCAGACCACATTTTTTGTTAACACTGTGACTAGTCAAATGCAATCTACATACAATGGAGGTCTGCTGGGGCATGCATCTGGCATATTAATCATGCATAAAAGCATGACTATATCAAAGTAACCAGGGAATTCTTAACTGTTAGAAAGAGTTTATTGATTGATTTATTTTGACTGTTGTAATGGCGTAGCTACAGTTGTAAGAGAGAGAAGGAGGTTCATCAGTTTTTTTTATGTTTATTCTTCAGACAGTAACACTCTGCAGTGTCCTGAAGTGGACAACCGCTGTCTTGCCGACGGACTGTCGTCCGCGCAGATTAGTTGGACGCTCGGCCCCTCGGGTTCTAGCTCCAACGTAACTTGCACAGATTCCTTGGACGGAGCCACTGTGGGGACTACCGGGGGTGTGTTTGGTGTTGGGACGCACCATGTGGTCTGCTCCTCGGCAACTAATGCCTTCCCAGACTGCCTAACTTCATTTAGCATTTCAGGTAATTTTGTTGTGCTTTTCTTTGTTTAATTTGAGCTCATCTACCAACATTTTTGGCCATACCATTTGATCAACTTTTCATTCAGATTAAGAACATTTCCAACTTACTTAAGTGGATAAGTCATTTTCTGTCTTAAAAAAAATCGACGGTATTATCTAATAATCATTACGATCATAATGATTGTCGTGATCTGCTTCGTCATCTTGTCATCATCAATATTAATTAATGTTAACATACACACAACCACCGACATCATCATAGTCCGATTAATGCCGCTGTGCGTGCTCAGTGCCTATTGCTCTTTTCATGTGATTTTTGATTACCCACCAGCGATGTTTGTCATGATGGGCCGTAGCTAGCGGGATCGCGTTGCGTAAAAACACAAAAAAGGCTGTCTTTTCGCCTGTGTCAGCCCGAGTAGAGCGGTGCTATTTTCAGGGTGTGAACAAACTGGGACTAGTAGTTGACAATTCAAACTTCCTTAAGTGCATAAGGCGCATTATTTTCTTTCCATTTAATAATAATCAACGGCATTATCATAATTTTCAACACGATCATAATGATTGTCACGATCTTCTTCGTCATCTTGTCATTAACAATATTAATGTTAAAATCATCACAATCACCGACATCGTCATCATCACTGTCATCATTATTATCTCAATCATCATACACACCAACATTACCAAGGGCACCATGATCAGTTCCACTACTTTACCCGTATAATGCAAAGTCAACATATTATAAGCATGTTCATAGTCTTTTGTGTAAGTTTTCAGACTTGTACATCAAACAGGTTACCATTTAATGAATTAATGTAATGATATCATTTGCTGTTGTCCAAAATGGCAAGAACAATCGATTTTCGACATTTTTGCTTTAAACAGTTACAAACATATTTTGTTTTGGTGGATTCAATTTAAATTGTTGAAATAATTGCCAAAATCTGAAGTAGTTAAAATAATGGTTTGGAAATGCTTGAGAACGCCAGTTTCAATTTCAATGTTATGCAGCTAAAGCTACAACTTTGATCATTTGTTTCCTTATAGAATTCCCGTCTGTGATAGTACCAGCAGTCGGTGATCAGTGCACGGATCCAGGCCTGAACACATCTACAGTGACATGGACCGAGGTTCATGCCGTTGACGCTGGTGAAGTCACCATCGATTGCACAGATTCTGGTGATGGCGTTGGTGTCGGTGTTGCAGGAGGTGTATTTGGTGTAGGGCCACATACCATCACATGCCGTGCTGTCAATGATGTTGGGTGTGCGGAGTCAAAGAACTTCACGTTCATTGTGATGGGTAAGGCAGTGTTCTCCCCGAGGGATTTTTGGAAGGCGGGCTACCCTGCTATAGGTTTTGCGGCTAGTACCAACTTTAAAATTGTGAATATTTCAGATACTAATTGTGTGATGCTGATGTAGCGCGATCTGATCTCGATTAACACTGACACTCGGTTATTCTCCTTAGTGTAAAGAGATGCACATAGTTAAGTGTCTTGCCATGGACACAAGCATCACCAAGTGGCTGAAGATATAATTTAAAACTAGAAATGAATAGAAGCAGGAGCAAGATTGCAACAGATCGAGACCTCAAATGAACCCCAAATTATTTTTTGCCCAAATCAGCCCATGAATTTGAGATTTGCACAAAAGGGATAATGTGAAAATATGTCATGGCAATCATAGCAGTCATCAAAAGCTAGGTTTTGGGACACAAATTATTCTTCAATGTACTCACACATTTGCAGCTCATCCGAAAAGAACGGTCGTGCACATGAAATTCATTCCAAGATGGCTAATCACACATAGATTAATGCGATGCATATAACCCCTCTTTCTGTACTATAATTGTTCAACAAAAGTCTCCCTAACAATTACAGGATAAATTCTCACAAGAAGTTGTTGTTTATACATACATCAGTGAATCAGGGATTAATGCGTCCAAACTGTTTCAAATGGTTACTTTTCCTCTATTTGCGTTACATGTGGATGAATAGCGGTGACATGTTGCTATACGTTATACATATAAATTATGGAAACCTGGTTTCATATAAAGACTACGGAGTCTTTCAAACGAGACGGACCCCTTCAATAACGTATGGGTTCGAAACCATAATTATGTTGTCGCAAAATGAATTTATTGACAATCACCTTGAGCCAGAATGGTCTACGCTCTTGGGACAGGACAGTCACTATACATTGGGTATATTATTTTCAGATTTTCATTGTTATTGTTTTTGTATAGAGGGCAATCTCGTCCCCTTTGGAGAAGAAATTGGAGACACCCTGTTGTCAAGTGAACCGCAAGGGGTATGTTTTGAGTTGCACGTTTGAAATAAAAAAAAGCCTGACACAATTCTTGGTTCTTGGTTCTTGGTTCTTGGTTTGTTCTTCTCCCAAATACTCCGCGTGGGAGTTTATACAGGAGGCCAGAAACACCGGGGCAAACCCCTTCTCTCAGCGATAAGTGTCACGTGGTTCTTTTACGTGCATTGCATTACACAACACACGGGACCTACGGCTTTACGTCCAATCTGAAAGCCGAAGCAAATGGTTAAGTGCCTTGCTTATAAGGCATGAGCGTCCACCCGGCGGGCTCGAACTCACGCCACTGTTGCCTCTGAAACACTTAAGAGTCCGGTGCTCTTAACCGCTAGGCCATGACACTCCAATTCTCCGGGTATTAACGTGGAATGTTGTAAGCACGAAAGTAAAGAAGTATACCTGCTGTAAATTTTTCAAGCTTAACTTTGTTGTCTTTGTTTTAAAAAGTGTGATTGCTGTTGACTGCATATACCAGTATTGTGTGATTCCTGCGGAAAGTAACTTGCTATGACATGTAACCTGTAACTTGCCAGTACATAAGGATGTTATCCAACCCTCTGAGCTGTAATCAAGTCAAGCACAGGTCAACAGAAATCAAATCACAATTCAGGTCACAATTAATAGGCAGGAGAATTCCCTCGTCCCAGTCCACGGACTTGATGACTTGTGATTGACGTATGATGACTTGTAATTGACTTATGATGACAACAGCTCTGCCAACCAAATAGATTGAATCAATCTTGTGCATATTGGAACCTACCCGCCTTCGTGCACATCAACGTGGCTTTATTTTGATTTGGCATCAGCTCTTTGTGTTTTTCTCCTGCAGCCACACTCTGTAAAGGATCTGATATCACGTACCTTCTATCCACCAAACTTCTTTCCCTTCGGCAGCAAGCTTTATGAAAAGATCTACGTGAGTAGGCCATTTTTGCAACCCCTAGGCAATCTTTTTGTCACACGAACTGTTTACCTCATTGTTTGATGTAATCTCATTTAATCCTCTGATGAGGGTTTCAAACCTATGCCCTCAGGACAACACTCTCGGTTTCCGTCTAGAAAGTTCAACAATTCGAATCTTGGAGTACCGTACTGGTGCTATATCAAACGAGTATGCAGCCCTATGTTGGCGGTTCCCCCTTTAGTGAATCTCTTTGTTCAAGGGCGCTAGCCAGAAGCCACAAACCCTTACTCCAGTCAGTATCTTTGTTATTATCTCATCTGCACCATTTCACCAATAACAACATTTCACGTCAATCTCCGCAAAAATTCAAAGAATTTCACGGTTGTTGAATGACCCTTACATTTTGCTACTGACCAGGTAATTTGAAGGAGTTCAAGAGAATTTGAAAACCTCATTACGGTGGAGTGGATAATGCAGACGTTTGCTGTAAATAATTCAACATTTTTAACTTCAATTCATGACATATAAGCCTATGGCACGGCAGCCATCTTGAATCTGCAGTAGTTCTGTTTCACGTTGAGGGCACATGTTTATCTTTTGCGTATTCATTGTTACCAATTAAAAAATAAAAAACACACCTCAAACATGGCTACTTCCTTAACATAACTTCTAGTTGTTTTCTTTCTTTCTTAATGTCTATGAATCATTTTATCCTTTATTTTTGTAGTTTACAGACAATGGTGTGATTGTTCTGTCCAACGACCAAAACCTTGATAAACGAGCGTTCCCCAGTCCGCAGGGTGTAACTTTCCCCAGTAACAGGATGATGATAGCGCCGTTTTGGGCGGATGTCAAAGCCAACGCCTTCACTGCCACAGATAATGTGTTTTGGCAGGTACGTCTCCCACTATAGTTTTGTATATTCAACGGCGGATTCGGGGGGGGGGGGGGGGGCAACGGGGGCCAACGGCATGCCCAACCCCTCCCCCAAAAAATAAAAAAAATACGAACCCATTTTTATAAAGTGACGTCGCAAAAAAGAAGCCACTGTGTTCACCACTGTGTTTTCCTAAAACATTTTTTTTTTTAGAATTGCCTTGGACCGCACAACAGTGCATCTATAATCAAGCAATATTCTTGGGTACTTTTCGGGCCCTTAACCCCTGCGCTGTAAATTTTTGAATCAAGGTTTTTTTCGTGGAACACATATATTTTTGTCCCCTCCCCAAAATTGCGCTCTGGATCTGCCCTTGTGTATATTGCGCTGAATTCCAATTGCCACACTGGTTTGTTGAATGGTTTAGTTTAATAATTAAAAGTGAATTTATTGGAGCTGTATTGAACATGTTTTTTTTTAATATGCACTTCCAGAGAAAGGTCTGGGTAAAAAATAAATCCACGTAACATCTTACATTTACAGAGAAAATGTTGAAAAGCCAGTTTGCACCCATCTGATCCAGGAGACATGTTTGCCTTGCCGACACGTAAATACCCCAATACCATGTTCATACTTAAGTAATAAGTGTCCACAGGGAGAAATGGCTTTAAGGGAAATAAATAAGTTATCATGTTCATACTGCACCCATGTTTATATGTGAATGTTTTTGTGTTGGTCAGGTGCACGATCAGTATGATCCAAATGTCAACCAGAACATGCTGGATGTTGCTAGTCTCATAGTTTCAGCCAACTACAGTGGTTTCTCAGCAAACTGGGCTCTATCTATCACCTGGAGAAATGTGAAAGCCATATCACCTTCAGAAGTAAGTCTTCCAACGTATAAGAAATTTATTATTTGAATCACGTTTAATGATGCATAATGGAAGAGGATTGACGCCTTGAAGACGTTTTGCCTTAGAAAATTAAGGACCTGTTATTCTTGTGCATGAGTACCATGAAGTGTTTGAGCACCAACCATGGTGGAGTTTTTACTTTTGTAATTTTCAATAATCATATGCAGGAAAGGGTTTATCCAAGCAAAGGAAATGATAGCATCTCTTTTATGGTTGAAGACTTGTTACATTTTTGGCGAGCTGCGAAGCAGATGCGAGCCTATGTAATACCAATTTCCGTCCGTCTGTCCGGGCGCCCCTCTGTCCGTTCTGACCATACCACCCTTGTGGGGTGATGTTCCTTTCAGGACACATCACCCCACTTTTTTCACAAAAGAAAAACATCACCCCAGAAGGGAATCTTTAGAAAAAGGGATAATGGGAACACAATGCTATCACCCCACAATTCCGTCTGGCTGGAACGTCCGTCCGTCCGTCCGTCAGTGCGGCCGTCCGCGTTCAGATAAAAATGTTGAAGTTTTTGGTTCTAGTTAACTTGGGGGAAAAAAATTAAATGCAGTTGTCATGTATCATCTCTAGGCCTATAACTTCAGTTAGGTTCATATCATTGCAGTAAATTTTATGATTTTATTGAGGAACTTTAATTCAAGGAAATGTTAACGTTTTTAATTGTTACATGTACATGTATACTGGTATAACATGTACATGTGTGTACACCGGTATAACATGTACATTATGCATTTTGGGGATGTGCATGAGCTTCTGGTTTGATCTTTTAGTTTATGGGGTGGGAGTAGGGATGGGGTAGGGGAGGGTGGGGTGGGGTGGGTTGGGGGATAGGGGTTGGAGTTAGGGTTTGTGTGATTACAAATGTAGGATGAGTAGGGGAGCTAGGATGGGTGGGGCGGGGTGGGTTGGGGCGGGGTGGGGTGGGGAGAGGGGTTGGAATACTGGGTTTGGGTGGGGTGGGGATTTGTAGGGATGGGGTGGGAACAGGTAGGGAGAGACAGGTAGGGGAGACAGGTAGGGAGAGGATGGGCATGGATGTAGGGGTTGGGTTAGGAGGGGGTTGGGCAGGGGGCGGAATATAGGATCGGAGTAGGAATTGGGTTGGGGATGTGTAGGGATGGGTTGTTGTAGGGGTTGGATAAGGGAAGGGGGCAGTATATAGGGATCAGAGTAGGGGTTGCATGGGGTCAGGTGGGGATGTATGAGTGGGGGAATGGGGTGGGCGGGATATTGGAATTCGAGTAAGGGTTAGGGTGGGGATGTGTAGGGTGGGTAAGGACAGATAGGGGAAGATCGGGTAGGTGGGTGTAGGGGGTTGGGGTAGGGGAGGGTACAGGTCAGGGGAGGGGGAAGGAGGTAGGGATTGGAGTTTGGGTGGAGTTGGGATGTGTAGGTGATAGGGTGGGGATGGTTAGGGGAGGATGGAATGAGTGTGGGTAGGGGGTTGGGTGGGGGAGGGGGAGGGGGCGGGTTGGGGATGGGGTAAGGTTTTTGGATGGGGTAAGGTTTGGGGGAGGTGGTGATGGTGCTGTGTCTACATGTACATGTATACCCATTCTTGTCATGCATTTGTGGCGACTACTCAAGAGTTTTCCCATGGTAATACAAGTATGGGGAGCAGAAGACACTGTTGGGGCTGCAAAAATCCACAACTGGGTCCTAATTACCCTAACAATGGAAAACTCCCCATAATACAGTGACGGCTAACCTATATACACATGTATTTATTAGGTAATCTGTTGACTTTTTATGTTGACATTTAAAAACTGACCCCTACACCTAGGCACATCAACAAGAATCCTGATCCCCTTCCATCATGCCCATCCCCAACCCTACCTTCAGCCTCCCTTCCTGCCTTGGACAGCGAGGCATGGCGGCTTCTCCGTTCTAGTCAATTGACATTTTACGATGGGTTTTGGTTACATTGAAGATCTGTCATGAAACTGAGTTTTGCTTCTAAACCCAAGGTTAAAAAAGGTTGATTTTTAAGTGCGATATATACGTTATGTTCAATAGGAGACAAATACCTTCCAAGCTTTGCTTGTGACTGACGGAGTCCGCGCTTTCGTCGTCTTCAATTACGATCCCTGCGGCATGAACTGGGACGCCAGTTTGTTACTCAACAATAACGTCATCCAGGGCTTCACCTCCGGACTCTTTGGCCCAACAGTGTATGTAGACATACCCGATGGATCACGGTTTCGTCCAGGTGGCATAGTGGGCAATACAGGGAAGACAGGACGCTGGGTCTACCGACTCGACAGCCTCCCGGACGGCTTTGTCAATCCACGTTTGTCCTGCCACGATTGGTACCACCGCCAGGAACCGTACCCACTATTTGCCATCCACTATCCTCCGTTCGCAGACACGTGCCCATGCAGTCTGTGGAACGCCAGATTTGATTGGAGATACACTGAGGTCTCGCGATCGGTCGTCTTGCCCGCTGATGGGAATTCAGGATATCGTAAGTTGCCTATTTGTCAAATTGAATCTTACTTTTCAAGTCTTGTAAGCGAAGCAAGCGAGCATCACATGACATTCGCATTAACAACTATTGCTCCAACCGCATATTTTGAGGACCAAATTGTTTTATATCCCCAGATTCATGTGCCCAGTAATTACGCACAAACCGTACGTTTTCATGGAAAATTTGTGTGAACATTTAGTTAAAAAAATTCAGAGCCGCTTCATGGTTTCTTATGCCTCAACATCTTTATTGGATGTGCACAGACACAGAAGAAATGGATCATTATATCAAGTTCATGTTCTTGAATCCTCCGTGTATAATCTACAATACCAGTTTATGTAATTGCCCCCGACTTGGGACGGGCAACGATGGGTTAAGCGATCAAGCCCCGGGGATTCTCACTCTCCAGCTGCCTTCAAGTCGTTGTCCACTAACTCCCAACTGCCAAACATCTTGTTGCTTCTAGCCAACCAGATTCTGTAGGTGGCTTTTAACGCTCTTTTGAGAAATCATCTACTGCCTCCCTCATTTTGTGTTAATTGTAATTTCAAACCGCAAAGGGTTCAATATTTCAAGATGCTCCTGTAATATAATAATTTCTTTGGAAAATCACTCCTGTGTGCAGCCGCCGTTTGCTACGTCAGGCTCTTCCAGGTTTCTTGGATCCCCGGTCCACGGTGCTGCTATAATCTGTTCAGCCGGAATCTTGTGTACGACGTGCAAAGTGCCAGGGTCGCGTCTGTCTTTGAGAGGTATCCGCTCGGGCCTATATTTTACAGGGCCAACTCTGTCAACCAGTGGAAAAGTAAGTTTTTAAAAAATCTCAGCATGAAATACCACAGTTTTTCAAGTAAAATAAAACCCCAAAATTAATGCCTCTACTTTTTTACACCCAACCACTAATGAACATGGAGATCTTGAAGAATGTTTTTATTATTATTATACTTTTTTTCAAATTGAACAGATGAAGAGGCACTTCCACGCTATTATTGTTGTGAGAAGTCTACTCTTTGCGACCTGTACAGAACATGGCGACCTCTAATGACTTGCAGTTGGTACAGGCCCCCAGTTTGGGGTGAGTCACGAACACTAAAGCTTTATATATGACAGCAATATTCACATGGATATGATTCTGCTAACCGCACTTCAATGAATTAAAGGGACATTACTTGAATGTCCCTTGAATTTGATGAGCTTACAGTTAAAGTTTGGTGGCTTAGCCTGATAGCAACGACGAAGTCAAGTGTATACAACTGTTGTGTTACATTATCCAACCTTTTCTTTTGGAAATAGTTTTTCCCACTTCACTGACAGAATGGAATCTGTGGCGTGATATGAACCACATTAAACTATGACATGGTATTAGACGCTCACAAAAAATATAGCTAAGAAGAGTGACCTTCGTGCAATGAAGTGATTTCTTTCAAGAAAACTGAAACAGAAATCTCCGACATTGTTTGTTTTCTCTATTTATAAAACATAATCAGTGAGGTGCAAAACCTTTCTCTGATGCAGTGTCCTGCATACAAGCTATTGATTGTAGGATAGCACTGGCTGTTGAAAGAAGATTTTAGCTGACCAGCGGACCCTTGCAAGCGCGTTGGTTGAGCGAGCACCAGAAAGCAGGTGGTCGAGGGTTCAAGTCCTAATCATAAGTTATGATTTACAGTGCCTATAAGACTACTTTGTTGAAGACCAAACCGAGAATTAAATTTGACTGATGCAGTTCTGTTTTTTTCTCAATAGTGTGGGGCTGGGGAGACCCCCATATCGTAACGCTTGATGGACTGGAGTACACTTTCAATGGTCTGGGGGAATACACACTAGCACTCATCAAAGATGACGATGGACAACGAGTCTTTGAACTGCAGGGTCGCACACGACAGGCCGTGGATACTGAGACAGGGGAACTTAGCCAGGCTACAGTCTACTCTGGATTCGCTGCGGTGTACACAGACGAAGCAAAGGTCTGTATGTAGACACAGATGAAGTATTTAAACAAAGTGGCTTTCCAAAGATGCTTTTGACTTGATTTCCATGATTTGCATTCCATTTTGATCGATTTACATTGCTGCGATCCCGAACAAATATTTTGCACGTCGGCATAACAACTTCTTTATTTTCGTAGTAGTTGTTTTTATAGTTTTTGCTTCTAGATTTGATGTCTTAAAGTCTGGTTTGTCATACCAAGTCCCTAAAATTTCCATGACATACATGCAATAATGTTTGTATCTTTTAAACTAATAGTTATATATATTCGCTTTTCACATTTATTTGTTAATCGATGTTTCCTTAATAAGATTGGTCTTTCTATTTCATATTCCGTCAGTTTTAACCTCATATTTAAATGTATAAAGAAGTTGATATTCCTAATATTCAATTAATATGTTTCTTTTAATTTTGTTTTAGTAGGCCCCACTTGCGTTTTAATCTTGACTTTTTATCTTGAATATGTATAGTTTAATACTGATTTTTTTAATTGTCGTTTTCAATTTTACTGGAATCCATTCAGTACAAGTGGAGTCCACTGAATGGGCCATCAAGTTAAAACAGCAAATAAAATAAATGAATAAATACGTGTGCTGATAGAATCTGATAAAAAAATATACAGTACTCTTCATGTGATCAGCTGCCCAGTTATAAATTGTAAATTTTCAAAGTTCTGATCAGATGTAGGAATTTCAAACGCTTTAACAGTTTGCTGGTTTTGTTTGTCATTCAATACAGATTGAGATCAAGTTGAGTGATAATGCCATGGATTTGGTAACGACTGTCAATGGGACCGTTGTCACACCCACTGCCGAAGGTAAGATCCGGCACTGATTTCACATTGCCTTAAAAAAAATCCCTCTAGCGGATGTACAGAATTCTCGTAATATATAAAGAGCATTTCAAATTCAATTATAGAATTGATGGGCCCATACACTTTTTGTTATTGTGTGAAGTTTGTGTTGGAATCGGCTCAGTGGTTTTGAATCAAAGGCCATTAATGTACCATCATTCCAAGTTTGACAATACATACCCCACGTTTCAAAAAAAGTCCTACTTTTGATCCTTAATAACTCTGTTGTTGGAATTAAAGTAAAGATCATGTACGCTAGGTACTGCAAATGTTATGGATCGAGTTTCATCAGATTCGTACTAGAGGGTGAGATTTAAACGTCATACGAAAAAAAAAAATCACTTTCAGAATTTGCCACTGAAGCCACGTTCTGAAGTTTGAAGCTTCTGGATGAATGCAGGATCACTCCTGATGTCCTTGCAAATGATCGAGAACGATTGAGGAGGTGAGCAATGACATCAGGGGTGGTCCTGTATTCCTTCAGAAGCTTCCGGTCGCAGCGCGTGGCTTAAACCGGCCTCAGGTCGACATTGCGACAACACAGATCAGCCGGCGACTGACTTTTCAGGATCAAGCTGTGCCTGAGCTACGACCGTCGGGAACAACTCAGTCGCCGATTTTGTGCGACCTGAGTGTAACTGCGACGATATTAAAACGGTCGGCATCAGTTAGCGCTAAAAAAAATAACAGTCGCAAGCGTAGAAACATTTCAACTTCAGCGACGCGTTCCGTGACATTCACACGATTTCTCAGTTTTGTGAGCTGAGCATCATATTTCTGCTTGATGCCGACGGTTCCGTCGTGGCACAAGCAAATCGTGGGTCGACTTTAGACCGGCTTCAAGCCCTGTCTCCAGCGCTGTATCGACATTGGAGGACGTCAAGTCTAAAGTGGTAGATTCTGAAAGTGAGTATTTCGTATACCAATTTTTCTGGACGCCCAGATGGTGATCTGTTGGTAACTTTTTCCACCTGTGCGTAGGAACCATTTGAACTGAGCTGAGGGCTCTGGTGCTTCTTTCATTCCCGTCTTCCTTAAATGGATGCGAATATGTACCTACCATTTTTTTAAATTAAGTTCTATGTTATTATTTTTTCTGGTAGGATTGCAGTTTGCTAATCTTCAGGTAACGAGGGCGGAGAACCCAATCAAAGTGAGCGTCATGTATTCTGATTACATCACCTTTTCCGTCGGGGTGAACAACAGCATGGCCGACATCACAGTCCTTTTCAACGAGGACTTCAAAGGCAAAACGAAAGGAATTCTAGGTATGGTTCTGTATGCTACCACGACAGATTTTTGTTCATCCCATTTTTGTTATAATGCCACTTGATCGTAATTATCACTGAATAACTTGTAGGTTAGTCAATTGAGAAGACATTATGTAGTTATTAAGTGACAGTCCCAAAATCTTCCCGAATTTTAATATGGTTTTTCGCGTACCCTAGGGAGTTATGTTTAAGGTGCAAACCAATTGCTAAATTTCACCGATTTGTTAAATCTGCTCAGGTGTTTGGGATGACGACCCAAGCAATGATGTTTTGACGCGTAATGGCACTCTGCAAATGGGCTCCGGACAAAATGGGACGCTGGTGGAGAGGGACTACTTCGAATTTGGCGAAACATGTAAGAAAACATCCAAACCCCTCTTGAATTATGTTGCGTAATTGTAAATGTGGACGGCTTGTCACTGTATTGGGTTTTTCTTAACCCTGCAGTTCCTCCTTTCCTCCTTCATAGAGAAATCATTGCAATTGTGGTGTGAAATTTCAGGGCGAGTTGTGGAGGAAGACTCTCTCTTCTTCTACCAGTCTCCTGCTGAAAGCTACGACTCCTTGAACGACCCCAACTTCACTCCAGACTTCCTGCAAGATTTGATCGACAAGGCACCGCCAGGCAAATACAACGAGGCCAAAGCGGTCTGCGGATCAAGCAAAGTGTGCCTGTACGACTCCTTGGCTCTGAATGATACCAGCATCGGTATGGCTACATTAGCGTTCAATGAGATGAACATGGAAAACATGGCAATCGCGAGTAAGTAAATACACCGCACTTGATTGAAGTATTAACCAGTTTAATTGAGTTCCACCTGTTTGCAGGTCCCAGAGGGCCAGCCAACAGTCCTCGTTACACCTGTCTCACTGACGCACTGACTGACTCATGTCACTTGTGAATTATACCTGTTTGAGTGTCAATTGCGCAAGCATTTGACTGAGATGACTATACGTGTTTTTTTCTTTGCTATGGTGTTTACGCAAACGTTCTCTGTATTAAAGCGGAAAAAACTGATACGATGGGGTTGCCTGAAATGTCAAATTTGACACTGTGAAGAAAAGGCTTTCTGTGGAATATTTATCGAGAAAAATGTGGGTTTTTTTTGGCAGTGCATAAGAATCTGCAGTTTAAATTGCTGAAAAATATGTCACAATAGTAATTTGATTTTTTATTGATTATTCTGGTTTATTTGATTAAAACAACCACCAAGTCGACATCCACTAAATGTGGCTGATGAGACCGGCGAACAATAAGTTTAACATTACAAATAATACGCATAAATAACAGACGATTCGATAACAAGTAGAATAAACCGTGTATTAAACATATAATTATATAATCATTTAAAATACAGTTGGTCACCAAGTGTTTGTCTGCAAAATACAACTGTTCAACTTCACTCCCACTTCTCAACTTCACCATTGACATCCTGCATATATTATCCATACTATTCAACCGTTCTTCAGTGTCATGCTTGGAACCATGCAAATACAAATGCATTTTGAAGTCTTTTAAATGAAGTCATCTTTAATCAGTCATCATCAAGCAAAAGAAATACAATCATTTTTTGCATACAAAAAAACCTAGTTCTCTGCTGGGAATGGCTTACTGCATTGTACTTGCTCCTAATTTGGACAGGGTTCCCTCCCACTGTGGACATCAGGGAAACCTTCAAAATTAGTTTCCATTTCCCCAATCAGGTAAAAACTCAGGGAATTTGGAGAAAAATATCAACAAATCAGGGAAAACTAAGGGAATTTGGCAGAGACCCAGAAGGGATAGGTTCTTTGCCAATTCGTATTATGTGCGAATTGTGTCGTCTATTGACTGGCTGGCTATGGTGGTTTTTTAGTGTTTGTGCAGTGTGAATATTGCACACCTCTCCAGAAGATAACAATTGGCTGTGCTACATCACCTGACTTCCCAGGAACGTTAATAAAATAAAAATATCTCTCATGTAATTTTGGAAAATTTGAGGGAAACATCGGGGAGAACTCAGGAAATCGAAATAAAGTGCTGAGATCCCTGTTGTAGCATTTATATGCAAAATGCTTTTCTTTTCCAGCCAATTTACCCCCAAACATAACGCTTGTGGACTCCATCGAAGTTATTGTGGGCAAGAACTTCATCCTGCAACTGGAAGCAGTGGATCCTGACGGCGATGACGTCACTTTCGACTTACTTGAGATTGTAGCAGGGGCAGCCATAACAGCCTCAGGTTTGTAAACAGGCAACGTATTGATGTCATTTTGAAGCCCGTATTTAGTTTTAGCAATTCCGTATAAATTCCCTCTAGTCCAACATACCCCAACATATCATTGGTGATTAGATGTGGTGCCCACTGCCATATCAGATTCGAACCAAGCAACAGACCCCGGTAAGGCCAAAAAAAAATAAGTCGGTCTCTGGTCAGCGCGCACGTCGATTTTAATCATGTGCGTCGATCTTTTTTTTTTCAAAAATGTTCTGCGGTAGCTCCAACAGCGCCCTCTATTTCCGCACCTCCTCATTTTTTTTTTACCAAAAGGCAACAAGGAATGGGAAATTGCACCAAGGCGAATGATCGAAAGCACCAAGGCAAATTATTGAGGACACCAATGTACATGAGGACACCAAAAAAGCAGAATATTACCCACCTTGTCTGTACAATCCAAGCTTGAAGAAAAAAAAAAAGAAAAGAAAAAAAAAGAAAAAAAAAAGCCGCGTGGCCGCGTCAATTCCGGAACTTTGGTCTGACCAGAGACCGAATATTTTTTTTTGGCCTAAGCTCAGTGGTTGAGGGTAAGACTGCACTAGTAAGCCGGTCGTGTAATTTTTTAACATCAATGAAGAGCAAAACCCAATCAACTGAATTAAGTCGAACCTACTAATTCTGTTTTTTGCTTGTCAGCATTTATCGGTACAAAACAAAGCCATAGTCAAAGTCAAGTGAAGACAAAAAACAAAATCATGATCCGTATTTCAAAATTTGCAGCATTTTTACTTTAACAGAACCGTGTGATTGAAACAAATGACACAACTTTTCATGATTAGAATGCATGATCGTGTACGATGTCATGCTGCATCCATAAATCTTTACATATTTTGAATGACAACATGACATCTTAAACGTTTAAATCTTTACTTTGTTTTGCTTACTTTGCTTTCATGTAAAACTATTGCAATGAGTTTTGCTAAGCAACATGGTTATCATTCACATTTCTAGCATGTTGCAGTTGCTTGAAGAGTGTATAAAACTATACAACTGTAATTAAGACAATGTTCCTCATGAAGGGCTTAAAAGCAAAACAAAATTTAAAGAGGTCAAGGAACATTCGAAGGACAGAGACCAAAAATCAAACAAATACACAATATATATTCTTCAGTTTTAGAATTTGCCCTGTATTTCTCTACCCGCCATTACTCATTGTACCTTTTTCACAATTTATTTCAAAGGTCGATTTTCCTGGACACCAGAGGACAAGACCAAGGTGAAGATAGGTTTCCTGGCAACAGATGGAAAAGCAAATGCCACCCTGGAACCAATCGTGAAGCTCTGTGACTGTCAGAATGACGGCACGTGCCTGTTTGATCAGTACGCTAGTGGAGTGAACATCGTTCAGGACCGATTTGGGGTAAGTTTTGTTTATATAAAGGTACATTGGGGATATTTTGGTAACAGTTAACACCACTGTCCAAAATAGACTGAGCCATTTAGCCCCGCCCACTACGCACGTGGGCAACAGCACATGCGCTAAACTGCATGCGCGCACACTTGCACGCATGTCGAACATTCATCACAACGTTTATAGAAATGCGTTTATGGGTAACCAGGTCGACATTCCCATAGACTTGTGACAAGTTTGTTTCCAACTTTAATGAGCCCTTGCCCCAATTTTACCTTATCCTACCTCCATCTAGCCTATTTGTGACACTAATATTTGCATCATTAATAGAGGCTGAATCATTAGAGCACATTGAAAGTAATGTCTCCCTAAAACTGCCAATGTCTGCCAAGGTATAACTTATGACGCTAAAAGTGTTTTTTTTTTGGGGGGGGGGGTCAAAGCATCATTAGGTAGGGCTTATTGGATCTGTGTAGTGTCACATCTTCGTGAAATGCCTAAAAAGCATAAATCTGCGTCTTGTGAATAAAGGGCGATGCTGTCTTTTGGTATATACATGACGTAAAACGGTTCAGTTGTCAGTGAGCCCATTGAGTTGAACTGTGTTGGTTTTTTTTATTTGTAGGTGGTGCTATGCCAATGTGAACCTGGCTGGTCGGGAGAGTTCTGTGAAGAGAACTACGACGCGTGCGCAGACAACCCGTGTTTCCTGAATGTTGATTGCGTGGATGAGGATCCACCCTCGTTGAACAGCACCTGCGGACCTTGTCCAGCGGGACTTGAGGGGGACGGGAAATCGTGTCAAGGTCAGTCAGGAATGCATACAGTTTTACCAAAGTCACGGGCGTGGCCGGGAGGGAGGCGGGGGTTGAGGAGTGACACCATTGATTTTTTTTTTGTCAAAATCGTTGTATGATCAGCAAAATCTCGTGCAAGTCGGCAATGTGCGGCCGCAATGAAGAGCGCCATCTATTTCCCGAAAGTGTTAAAGATTGTCTGTTTCGAACAACACCTCCAAATAGTCAGATTGTTTTCAGCACTATCACGCCCCAACCTCCACAAAAACACACACAAAATGACAACCCCTCGGCAAACTCCGTTCTTGTGATCATTCAAAACGTGAATGGGATTTCGAATTCGCGCAAGGTTAAAATACGACTGTGTGTGCGTTTGTTTTTGGTGTAAATCGAGGACACACACGTGCAACATCATCGGTGAACCGAGGACAGAAACCAAATCGAGGACGACCTCGATTAGAAAACGTGTACAAAACCTATGAGAGCTGTTGCGATAAAGTTAGTACAAGCAAAGGAAAAGGGAAGAGGAACAAAAGAAAATCCTCAATTTACACCATAAACAAACGTGTGTGCTTGCATGCGTGTCAGGCTCTGTCAGCAATGAGTTCGAATGTCCCTTTCTGTGGTCTTCTCCCTCGACTCATAATGAGGGGGTATTTGTACGCCGAGTCCATTGAGTGGCAAATTATACCGCATTAATAGTTTCAAATGCAAGTGGAACGTCGTTATTTAATTCCTTTTTTGTTGGCACCTGTCTGCAGACATTGATGAGTGCGAGCTGTACAAAGACCAGCCAGCTAGCGGTGGTGGACTGGGCTGCGACCAGAACTGTCACAACATCCTCATGAACTTCACGTGTAGCTGCAATGCTGGATACTTGCATGAGGATGGGAAGCGATGCATTGGTAAGATTAATTTAGAACACCTTTCAACGTTGTTTTAGAACTGCATGATGATTTTTTGGTTCTATTACAGATGGTACTTGTGGAGTTCTCACACACAGGCAACAAAAATACTCCCGGTAGTCGGTCATTGATTGGCTTTTACTTCATATGGTTTATTTTAAATAAGTTGCATAACAGGAGGATACTGTAATTCCCCTTAATATCCAAGAACGACGTGGTGTGCGTTTGCAGTTATTTTTGTGTTTATATAAAGAGGCAGCGACCATTGCTTCCCAAGTTCATATATTCCAACTAGTCCTCATCGCAGCTCAACTGCGTTTTCTGATCTTATTTTGTTTAACACAATTAGTGTTAAGACCTGGTATCGTTCAAGTTGTTGTTGATTACGAAGGACCTAATTCAGTGTTTATTCCCTCGCAAAAAAAAAATACTCCATGAACATAACGACCCCCCCCCCCTTCCCAAGAAAATAAAAATAATAGTAATAATAATAATAATGAATTACTTCGGGCCTGACCATGGCCGCTTGCGCACCGGAGGAATTGTTCTGGTTTGAAGCAAGGGTAGTGGTGTGATGAGTACATAAGAATTCCAAAACGTTGGACTATACCATGTTGTCTGAGTGAAATGGTATACAAATAGGTTCTTGAGGTGGCATATGGAATGTAGTATTCTCTCCATTGCAAAGTAAAACATCCATTAAATGTATTTGTTATGCACCTGTGTCCTACTATCGGGGACGAGCTAAAGTCTGTTAGGGATAATATTTCCCTTTTGTGCTCCGCCAAAATCGTACAAATTGAAAGCACGCAGAGTGAACGCGTATTCACTAACCCACTGAAAACATCACAATATGAGCCCCGTGGATTGAAGACAAATCAGCGACTGCAGGCGCGGTTTTAGAGCCAATATTTAGGGGGCGAGCAAGGTGAATCCAGAAATGTTTTTCAGGGAGGCGTGCTGAAATGTAGACCGGTTATTTTCTCTGGACACTTAGGTACGGAAGCGTTAAAGGGACATACTAAAAAAAAAAAGTCATAATTATGACCTATTATTAAGTCATAATTATGAGTTATATCTCATAATAATGACTTATTATTAAGTCATAATATGACTGTATAATAAGTCATAATCATGACTTATATCTCATAATTATGACTTATATCTTATAATTATGACTTATTATTAAGTAATAATTACGACTTATATCTCATAATTATGAGTTAATATTAAGTCATAATTGTGACTTATATCTTATAATTATGGCTTATTATTAAGTAATAATTACGACTTATATGTCATAATTATGACTTATTATTAAGTCAAAATTATGACATATCTTATAATAACGACTTAGTATTAAGTCGTAATTACGATATCTCATAATTATGACTTAATAATAAGTCATAATAATGAGATATAAGTCGTAATTAGGACCTAATACTAAGTCATAATTATGAGATATAAGTCGTTATTATGACTTAATAATTAGTCATAATTATGAGATATAAGTCATAATTATGAGGTATAAGTCATAATTATGAGGTATAAGTCATAATTATGACTAACTTCTTTTTTTTTAGTTTGTATTATGTCCCTTTAACGCTTCCGTACTTAGGCCTCTGAAAATCAATACGTGGAGGGGAGGCTCGTGTCATATTTGTTAGGGGGAGCGTTCGCTCGTACCCCCCCCCCCCTCTCCAAACAGGACGCTGGGAAGGGCTGACGATTCAACGTTCTGATTGGATAGATTTTGCGTGACCTGTGACCGGAAAGGCGTCATGGCCAAGACCCTGCAAGGTTTGAAACGGCCATTAAAACTGAGTCATTCGTCACTCTTTTATTCTCATTCATAAATGCGGTTCCCTTTTTTGCTTGAAAAGCATAATAATGTAGGAAATGATCTGTAAAACTGTAAAATTTGTTTCTAATTCACGAAAGGTCGAAATGCATATCATTCGACGCTCAAAATGTGTCCACAATGAAAAAGAAATCACATCCGGTATGGTGTGTATGCATTTCTATGGCAAACTTTTCGGATAGTATTTGTGCGCATTGGCTAACCGCGGTCTACAGCTGCAGCCAGATGCTTTATACAAAGGTCGTAATAAATTACCCAGAATGCCATCTCCACTTCCTTCACAAGATCCTGTGAAGCTCATCTGCCCTTCCAAGCGCCCTGTTTGTAGGGCGGGGGGGGGGGGGGCGAGCGAATGGGGAGCGCTGATAAAATCCTACAATCGAGCACACGTATTATTAACTAAAAGTGTACGTAAAATTCTGACATTTTGCTAGTGCATTTTTTTATGGATTTTTAATTTTTTTAGGGGGGGGGCTAGACACAATTTCTGGGGGCCCCATAGCCCCCCCTCCCCCCCCCCCCCCCCCCCCCCCCGTAGAATCGCGCCTGACCGACTGACACGCAGTCGGGTGTGGGCAAAACAACTTTTATTGAAAGGAATGAAACTGGTTTGGAGAAAATAAGAAAGATAATTTCCAGATAATCTTTGCTGGTATAGATTTTGAGATAGCAAATACGATTGTTATGTTAAGTCTGAATTGGTAGATCGAATAATTGACAACATTTAAGAGTACAAGTCCAGGCTCTTCGACACGAGAATCGTTTCATAACACAATAAATGCATATTAATTTGAAACAATTGAATCGACCCCTTTTGCATTCTTGTTTCTGAAGTGAACCAGCTCCCACGTCAATTAAGGGGGAAGGAAGGAGGAACGGTCCTCTAATTAAAGCGGACGAGTGTTCAAACAAAATTTACAATTATGATGAAATGACGACTATAATTTCCTGAACTACAATAAATGTATTCTTACATTACAACACTTCAAGCATTCAAGCTCATATGCACAATATAATGTCAAAGTAAATACAATGTGAACGTCAAAGTTCAACACATGGCTGGACATTGAATGTGTACATACGCTACACACGGGTACAAAACTACAATGCAACGAATCATATTTGTCTCACTGTCACGAAAATACCACAATTCGTCACCGTTTTCACGAAGAGCCACATATGTCGATTTTGAAGAAAAAGCTTTTTCGGGATTATCGCAAAAGAAGTTTCTCCCATTTTAAAACTGCAAAAAATACCACTTTGCAACAACTTTGTGAAGCAAGAAAAACATCACACTATTCTGTGTGAGCTGAATGTTTACATGAACCCAGTAATAAGACTTAATTCAGCAGTTAATTAGTGAAAATTAATCAGTAAAGATACGTGGCTCTTCGTGAAAACGCAAATTCAGGTGTCTGACATATTGGCCCTTTCTGTTCAATGTGTATTTCCATAGGCGCGCGTAAGTACGCGCGCGCAGCTGAAAATGTAACAAAGATATGTGGCTCTTCGTGAAAACGCAAATCTCATTTGACCTACTTTTACGTATTTCCGTGCAATGGGTTTTGTACGCGTTCAAAGGGCCAAAATGTATGTGGCTCTTCGTGAAAACGCAAAATTCATTTATCGAGATTTTGGCCCCTTGCAACATTAATGTAACTTGGAAATTAATGATGTTTTGCTTATAGAAACATGTCAACATGGTTAAGTACACTGCTTTAAAGCAAAATATTGAAAAAAATCAAAATCGAACAAATGGTAATTTTTGACATATGTGGCTCTTCGTAAAAACGTTGACGAATTTATCTCACAAAACGACCATACGACACAGCAATACTCAATGGGAAGTTTCTTTAAGATCACCCTCCCACAGTGACATACCTCAGGAGCGTGGCAGGAGCTATGCTTCCTACAAAAACGAGAGAATTTTCTAGAACAACATATATGTTGGTCTTCTCTGTTCGTAGCCCACATGAGAAAACTTGTTAAAAGTTGTCTTTGAGCGGGAAGTACAAAGGTCACACTATGCAAATCACTTTGCCAAACTTTCGGACGAACAACAACTTTGGTGGGATTGATGTCAGAAGAACTCAATAAACACAAATTATTGCTGACACACACAAAAACTGGCACAAAAAAACCCCACCCACTAGATACGCCACTGGTTATAACAAAGTATTGGTATTATAAAGTGATATTATGACAAATCAACGACTCTCACGCAGTCTGGTGAAAAAAATAGTTTTGAGGAAACAAGAAAGAGAAAATAAGACTGAAAGAGAAAAAGAACCATTCTAGCTGTTACAAATTCCATCTCTCGGCAATCTGTTACGATCTGATCGATCTTCTACTTTTCCATACAATTGGCAACTTTCCAGAAAATCACTCTTTTAATTTCGGAGTACGGCAAGTGAGCTATTTGTTAATTGTGGATCCAATAATTGACAAAATCCAAGAGTAAAAGTCCGGGTTTTTCGCCAACCCGAATCGTTTCTGACTTGTCAACGAAATCCAATGTTGTGTTCACGTCTTGTCGACCTTCAGCAAACACACACCGTTCTCACAGACCTGGCTATACCTATACATAATTTATGCCAAACTACAGGGTGAGTAAAAAGAAAAAGAAAAGAAAAAAAACCCAAAAAACAAATGCCGCGACCATTATTTTAGAGAAGTTCTATGATATGAAAGGCCAATTCAAAAGCTGTTTTTTTAGTGCAAGAATTGTTCAAATCACTTATGTACTTTTCAAGTTAAAGAATTTAACAAAACCACAGTTTTACAGTTCTGTCTACGGATCACAAGACGGTAGGTGTTCTTTCAGCAAAACGAAAACAAATCACGTAGGGATGTGCATGGGTGAATTGTTTCGTTTTGCTGAGAGAACGGACACATTTTTGTGATCCGTGGACAGAACTTTAAAACGGTGCATATGTTTAAAATTCCGTAACTTAAAAAGCATATGAGTGATTTGAATGATTCTTATTTTAGTGAGAACTTCACTAAAACAATAGTTTCCACATTTGGAACATTTTTGTATTGGCCAATTTATGGGAACAATGTAGATGTTCATGAGTATGTATTTGTATGAAAAGAATGTGTTTACTAGACCCGTTGCGTTTATACTGCCATGTGCGTCCGTGTACTTACCATTTTCATTATCTACCTGTTGACAGGAACAACCACTCCTTCAGGATCAACCGATACTCCAGGAATCTGCAGTTGTGGTGAGATATAAATTCACATACTTTTCAAATAAACAAAAAGTAAATTAATATATGGTCAGTAATAGCTAAAAGTAAGATATTGATGACAGATACATATCCACATGTTAGTGAGATATGAATAAAAAATATCTAAATGAAAAAAATAAGGTGGTGAGATGACACATTTGCACATTGCTGATAGATACCTGCGAATTCACATATTGGTGAGAGATACAACTCATATATTATTGAGAGATGAATTATGAAAGTTACAAGAGATGAAACTCGGGATAGTCGAACATGCGGAAAACGGTTGTATACTTGTAATATTGGAAAATGGTTGCTTAGTAACAGGTTCCTCACTTATAAGGAATGAAATTTTAGCTTCCCAAATAGAATCTCAACATCTTAAATTGCTGCCTTTTTCCCCTGCACTGTCCTTGATGCATTACTACCAAAGCACGAAACGTTAAGCACTGTTGCAAATAAAAAAAACCCTAATTTTCTTCAGGTTGGACCAGCATTGATCAGTTAATTTCAACTCAATTTCAACAACACACAGCTTTGTTGCAGCTGTGCAGACATCATAATGCTTGCATTGATGATAAGTCGGATTATCAGAACTATACATGATGATCCAAAAAATGCAATCCTAAAACATTTGCCTTTAATTACTGGATTCTTATGTTTTGGGATTGAGATCAAAGCTGAGAGATTTGTTTCTCACTAAAAAAAAATCATGAAATCGCACTTTGGTCAAAGTAGTCTTTTTTTATCCTGTACACAAGTACTTCAAACAGTGAAACATTTTTTGCTGTAAGCCTCCTTTGCAATTATCTTTCATTTGTGCAATTTCTTTAATATTTTGGCATAATTATGATACTGTAAAGGTTCCAAACTTGGGCCAAAAACGATCAGATACATTTTCAGGTGGAAAATTAATTGGTATTTCCATCAAATTTCTTTGAACTCTTGTCATATGATAATATATGTTGTTTGAAAGGATTAGGCAATGCACAAAAAGGCATCGTGAAATCACTTACTCTAATAATATCTTGTGTACAGGATGAAATATGACTATTCTAGGTAACCCGAAGTTTTTTTGAATGTATAAAACATAAACCATTTTTAACAATTCTAAAAAAAGTTACGATTTATCAAAGAGATTATAGTTTTACGTTTGGTTTAAATCAATATGGCGGCGCCCATGGTAGGCTATTTTCTCGTGACGGCTATTTTCTCGTGGTTAAATTTAGACAATAGTTCAAACAGTGCACAGAATGTTCAATTAAATTATTAGTGTTCCAGATTGGCGATCATTCTTACGGAAGGGATTTTCTAAATGTAATTCATCACAAAATTTAGTGCTCAAGATATACGCAGTGTCCGTACGCAAACCGTGAACATGCCGTCGGACTAGACACGTGGACCTCTAGAGAACCCTGCTCTACGGTTACGTGATCACGCAGATCATACAGCCACAAGCTCAATTGACCCTTTTTAAGCTCTGGCAGGAGCTTCTACATGTCACTTGTTGGTCGGTCGGTCGGTCTTTCTGGTCAAATATTCGACCAATAACAGTTGACTAATTGTGCAGATGCCGTGCCGTGGTCGTGTAAATGCACACTTGCGGAAAGTTTGCAAGCACCAGTTTTGTTCAGATCGATGCGCATGCGCCTTTATTTTTGCATAATTATGTCTGTCTCCGGAAATAGACTAAAATAAGCCCCCCTATTGATTCCGGTAAAAAACTAGTACATTGACATTTTCCAAACAAACAAACAAACAAACAAACAAACAAACAAACACCCCAACACCCCAACAAACAAACACCCCCAACACCCCAACAAACAAACAAACAACAACAAAACAATTGTAAAACTTAACAAAAATGCAGCAATGTTATAAGTCACGTGGTAAATAGCGCAGCGTAATTTTCGTGTGGGGCGGCGGCCCGGGCTTATGTGCACATTCTCCGGTCAACGTCACCGTCCGTTGCAGGATGAAATCATATTGTGCCAGTGTGGATGGTACCTTAAACCACACGGTTTTTTCTTAGCACTGGTGTGCGGAAAGGAGACTATTTTGATAGATTTCATGCAAGACTCTCATGCAAGACCGCCAGAGCTTATTGTGCACGTGAACTTGTTATTAATCAATTCATAATTATACATGGGCCTGGCCGCCAGAAGCGAGAGCGGTCCATTGAACATATACATGGGTCCAAACATTCGGGTCATTTCCCTCAAATTGTCCAGCATTTGTCGCTTTCTTCCTAGGCTAAAACATCTTTAAATCGCCATAGGCATACTTTCAATCCTAAGTTTAAAGTATTTAGTTTTCCACCTTAATGACTTGTGATTTGATAGCTGATTACATCATGATATCGTCACAAAATATTGTTTACATATTCGGACCAGGGTTGAAGTTCATACCAGGTTTTATATTTTTCCCGTGAACCACCTTGAAAACATTTAGGTTTGTTTTGATTGGATGTGTAATATGGAAAAAAAGCATGTCCCGGCTTTGGGAAGGCTATTTTTCCTATCGAAAATGTGAAATCTAACAGATGCTTTCGTCTGCATTATGGCGCATATCGAGAATGTATTGATTAAGAGTTACTTACCTTTCTTGTTTGTTTGTTTGTTTGTTTGTTTGTTTGTTTGTTTGTTTTTCAATCGGGGGATGTGGCAGTTTCCCCACCTTCTCTTAAGAGTAGATGTGCTTCTTAGTTTTAGCAAATGTCTTGGCATTTTTTCTTATTCTATTCAAAAGCATGATTGTTCTCTAATATTTATCCCCAAAACTCACATGATCGTAGTTGCACATTGTATACGAATGTTTTTGTTTTGCATTTTAGACGAGACAACCGATACAGTGCGGTTTTGCATTACTCACATTGATGGCATGAGTGTTACTTTTGATGCTGCTTACCTCGATAGAACTACAGATGAGTACAAGAATTTAAGTTCAAGGGTAATTAATGCGGTGAGTATCAAGACTGTTTTTGTTTTGTTTTCGGGTACGAAAATGGGTCAAATTGAACGTAACAATTTATAATAGCCTTTATATCTCCCCATACAACTGATGGTGAAGGATCTGCCATTTTTTTGGTAATACAACACTACGAAAATATATTCCAAACACTCACCTTTGTTTAATCAATTTCAAATATTCGTCATTTTCCTAAAATTGGAACTTTAATGTTATATTATGAAAGCGAATTGTCCGGAATGTTACCCATGTAAAGCTCATTTTGAAGTTATTACTAGTTACTAAGCTGCAAACTCTGGACGGGAATTCAATGTTTTACTTAAGCAAAATTATACGACATCGGAACAACAGAGGTTTTTAAGTTTGTAGAAAATATAATTATCGTAACCGCAATTGAAAGTGGCACGCCAACGTTTGTGCGCAACGCGCAAATACTCAGTGCACATTTGAAGCTTTGTGCGCTAGGTGACGTGCTGGAGGACTGGTACATTTAGCTATATGACTATACATTTATTAAATGCGCGTACACGATCGACACGTAGCAATTGTTGACTGGTGTGATTTGGGATATGACGTTTTGAACATCCGAGAGGCGCATAGCACCCGAGGCAAGCTGAGGGTCCTATGCGTCCCTATATGTCTTGGATTTTTTTGGACTATGATGTAAAACTTTTTTTTTTAGCTATATGACTATACATTTATCAAATGCGCGTACACGATCGACACTCAGCAATTGTTGACTGGTGTGATTTGGGATATGACATTTTGAACATCCGAGAGGCGCATAGCACCCGAGGCAAGCTGAGGGTCCTATGCGTCCCTATATGTTTCGGAATTTTTTTGGACTATGATGTAAAACTCACGAACACAAACAGCAGTAAACACAACAATCATGACAATCTAATGGCATCTCACATGCATGTGGCGTGCTCAAAACAGCTGATAATCTGCAAATTCGCTGCGTTTTACATGTGAAACGATATATGTAGAACTAAAATAAGTTTAAGTTCTATTACGATGATTGAATTTGAGGATGCAGATGTAATTGCATCATAGAGTCCCATTTAAGTGATGATATCAACTCCGCCGAATTCTTGCCGCCGACTTACTCTATTTCGTCGGGTCAGTGCGTGACAACATCGAGAAGCTGCAATCGGCTGAAAAGGATGCTGATTCCGGGTGCAATTCAAAATGACTAGGCAACTTTTGAATTGAAATCGAGATCTAAGAATATTATCTTCTCAGAATAAACAGCTAACATTTCATCGGGTTAGTTGTTGAGCACCCTCCCTCAGATTGTGAGCCCCTTTGTTAATGTTGTTTCAAACGAAACAAATGCACACATGAAGAAAACAAGATCTACTGTACCGTAAAGTTACAAAACATATTCTTAAAAAAGTGGTGTGTTTAGAAGTATTGACCAAATTTACTGTGAACATTTAGTTTCTTACAGCATAGGCTTTTATATATTTCGCACCATTTTTGCGATTTGTCCTACACTATAACAATAATTCGATATTATCTCTAATTTCCAATTTGTTTCCTCATTTGTAGTTCAGTGGTGAAAACATGATGGAAATTTGTCCCACCGACGAGGTACTCACAAACACAGTTGAGTTCAGTAATGGAAGCGCGATTACAGTTTCTTTTGACATCAGACATTCAGTTTGTAACGAAGCTGACCTGGCAGAATCAATGGCCTGTGTGTTCCTGGAAGTCGGGATCTATCTCTATGATGTTTATATAAATGGTAAGTGCAGACATTTGTGTGTTGAAACAGGCCTTTTGATGTTCTTCCATCTTTATTATTAATGCCCCAATGGAAGTTGAACGTACCTGTCGTTTCTCTTGTGATTCTCTATCTGTGTGTGTAATTTCGGGGTAAGGTTACTTCTTTATAATAAAGCACATTATAGTTTCAATTTCCTACACCAAGATAAAAGGTGTTATTTTTGTCTCAAAATATACGACATCAGAGACACATCGTTAAGCCTTAGATAAATATTAGATAAGTATTCTTGATAGCATTCACGAACAAACCGGTTGCATTAAGGTTAAACTTACGTGGTAGTCACCTGGCCGGCCTATAATAGCTCAAATGTCTCAAAGGGGGAATCCTCCCCATCCCCTAAATATGACACATCATGGTGACAACAACATTGGGTCATCCTTGTTCTATAACATGATCAGTCTGGATGTTGAAGTCCTAGAAATCCATCACCTCATTCATATCCAAAAATTGCTTCCACTACTTGTCCCCGACAATGATTCCATGCTTCCCACGAATATACGTGTAAATCACCTTGGCAGCTTGTGCTGGCCTTTGTTCTTCCCCATGTGTATCTATAAGCGATGTACCGGTGCTAAACAGCTCAGTTAAACTTAAGTTTTCAGTCAATATTTTTTTATTTCATGAGCCAGCCGCAAAAATAAAAAAAACAATCCTTTCCAAGAAAAACTACATTTTTGTAAATAGTTTAAACAAAAAAAAAAAAAAATACTTAAAAGATGATTCTGCACGATTTTCCTGTTTTGTTGGTCTTCACATTGCTCAAGTGAGGTAAAACAAATCGCCATATGTCTGAACAATAGCTGTTTATATTTGTTGAAAAGAACAATTTTCTGTTCTTGAAGTAAGTGCACGTAAGATTTAAAAGTATGTGAAAACATCTCAATATGGCGGCAGATAATTTAGATAAACTGTTTAATAATAATCCAGTGATGGAGAATTAATTTAAATTATTTTATGATTGTACAGGAATCCTAATCATAGCGGATGCCTCATGCCCAACCACCACTCCGGAACCAACCACCACTCCGGAACCAACAACCACTCCCGAACCAACCACCACTCCGGAACCAACCACCACAGAGGGGATTGGTAAGTGAAAATTTCATGTTGCAATAACTATGTGTTGAAGTATTAAAGCGTGTATGTAATTCGTATCGGAATCACACAGCACAAATATACTGGACTGATTCAATTAAACATTAAATTGAATTGAATTTATACATACAAACAGGGTGGGGGCAACACCCAAAAGGGGCACTTGCTCAGGAAAATTTGCATCTTCCGTCTGTGTGAAAGTGGTGAAAAAGAATATTGTCCCGTTCATTTCTCTATAAACATATCTGACGACTGAGGAACAAATTATAAATACGTTGTCCATCTTGCTCTTTTTACTCTGTTACCTAGTTTTGTTAAGAACACTTTTGTGAGAGAGGCACTGTTGCTTTCATTTATTCGCGTGAAGAAAACTATTATTTGGGGGCTAGTTTTCCATCTATAGGAGGGGCGCAAATGTAATGTTGCCTTTCCGCGAGGGGCAGTTTTCCATCTCGAGAAGTTATCGCCAGAGGAACACTATTGTTTTTGACAGCCAATTTTCAATCTCGAGGGGGCACGATTTTAATATAGCGAGGAGGGTATCTGTACTTTCGGAGGGTAGTTTTTTAATTTCGAGAAGGTGCTCAATCTTGTTAATGTGAGAGGGGTACTTGTGTTTTAAAGGGGCAGTATTGCATTGAATTTACAAGAGACGAGACAATTTAATTTGAAGCGCGATCATATGTTTTTCTACGTGTGCGTTTGAGGGGCAGTGTTATTAACATCTCGAGGGGGTACATTTATAAACCCGAGAGGGGAAATTTTGTTGGCCTGCTCTGTAAACAAATCACTCGTGATGTTACGGTAAAAACATTGTCAAACGGGTTGCCAAACAAACAAAATTACGGTCACTTACGGGTTTCTTAATTGACGGTGACCGTAATTTTATCACGAACTTCCCGTAAATCTGACGGAAATTTGACTTTAGGTAATGGAGTACAAATCGTGTGGCATTGGGCTGGGTGCGCGAGGGGGGTGTAGGGAGATAAGTTACAGTTACAGCAGCTGGGAGTTGGGTATGAATGCTTTTAGACAAGCTGTAGATTTACAGGTTGTCTTTTACACGCATGGTGATTTTCATATCATTTTCATTTAAGGTGAAATAAGCTTTGAGTTGTAACTTAACTTGCATCAGTAAGTTGTAATTTATTTTTCATTTACATCTTTGTACTTATTTCTGGGTTCATGTATACATCTTGGCTTTGTTTGATAATGCTGATTTTATTCATGACTAACTCATACCTTAACAAGATCATTGAATTGCTAGGCCATGCCATATATTTCCTTGTTCTTATTGCAGAATCAGTGACGTCCATGAAAACAATAGCAGTGTCTAATCTCATGCCGTCTACCGAAGGTAACACTTGTTTGTTTATGGCAGTCATGTGCTAAATCCTCACTTATTACCTAACCCCTAAGCACATGTACTACATTGTATTACATTGTGTTTTTTCATTAATGAATAAAAAGGCAGGGAGTTTGGGGCGGTGCAGTGATTAATGAGTTCAAATGTATTGATCGATAAGTGTGACTCGTATACCAAATCATGGAGGGAAATCAAATGGATCATGCAAATAGAACATTTTCTAATACTAGGGCCTTTTCATCGTTCTTTAAAATCACATAGGATCATTGCATTGATGCTTAAGGTAAGAATACCAAATTATTATCAAAAATGCTTACTAGGATTGAAGACTCAGACCTCCTGCAGCTAAACACCCTGTCTGACTTGCTGTCATGTAGACAATAAGAAGAAATCAAGAGATAAAGTGATTTCAAACAATTAGTCCGTTAAGTGATTTCTGGAAATAAAGTGTGCTGTAAATGAAATCGTGTTTCGTGATCAAGAGACCGAGCATGGTTTTGTTACTCGTAGAGATTGTAATATTCACTCTGAGCAGACAGTTCAACAGGTTAGGTTTTGAACATTCTTCGTCGAGTGGTGTTACATGTATTATTGGAAACGAACACAATTAATGAAAAACATTGAAGTATACTGACTTTTTCTATTTGCACTGTAATGTCCTCGGTGCAGCTTTTTACCATTTCTCATCTTGGAGAATATGTACTTTCTCATTTTAAAGGATCGGTAAATGAGCCTATGCACACTACTGTATCTTCTGAAACTGTGTTAACAACATCTGCAAGCATCACTTCAGAAAGTAACCGGCCTAACTCCACAATTGTTTTCCAAATTTGTGCCATCTTGTGTTATTTCTTTCTTTATAATGACATTTGTAAATATTTCTCATGGCGGTATTTGATGTTGTTTTTTTTCGAAAACCTTTCGTTTGCATGATAATTGGGTTTCATATCTTGCAGAGTAATGACATTAGCAGAATGGTTCAACCCTTTTTGAAATCTTACACACTGTACCGTAATGTCTAGAGATACACTTTTTTTCATTACCGAATTATTGTTTGTTACTAGAGAAATTGATTTTAATAAATGCAAAATATGTTTCCGGTATAACTGAATCCGATGTTTGTTTATGTCGTAAAACAGAATCACCCGGGATCGCAACAACGGTGGCAACTGCTGAGAAGCCCTCTACTCAAGGTGTGAAAGTGTTTGAAAAATGTTTTACTTGAGTAAAACCCATGATTTCCAGCAGGGAAGTGTTGTTTCTTGTAAAATGACATGAGATAATGTTATACCGTCTTCTTTTTTGATCATCCAACAGGGTCACCAACAGTGACCGGAAAGCCACCAACAGAATCTAATGGAGGCTCCATAACTGAGATGTCAACAACCACTAAAGGTGAAACATAATATTTTTTGGCAGACCTGGGGGGGGGGGCAAGCCTATAGACCATTATCATGTTGCGGCCTTCTTCATTTTTCCCCATTCAAATCAAGGTAGCCAAAGCGAGGCTGGAAGGAAAAATAGTCTGGTTCCTTTTTGCACAAAAAACCCATTATCATTCAGTACTGTCATTGGATACAGGGAACATGACTGAGATGGTGGCAGCATGATAAAGATCTATTGTCCTCTGTGTAGCTGACTGACTATCTAACTGATTTACTTACTTACTGTCACCTGTGACGTACTCTGGTCCTGGACCAGCTTTTATACAAGGCGTGCCTATTTATAGCTCGCTTTCCTCTGCACGGCTTCCACCCATCTTTTTAACAAACCTTCAAGTTCATAGTTCACAGATTGAGGGCATACACACTAAAAACTATGTTTAGCAATTAAACACAATCTTGATATCACTTTGTAAACATGTTTTGAAGCTAAACATTATGTGTTCAATTCCTAAACATCAATGTTCAATGGCTAAACACTATCCATCCTCACTCTAAACATGTTTAGTATTTAAGAATGTTTACAAACTGATAGCAAGAAAGTGTTTAGAAAAGTGTTTACCTGCTAAACGCAGTTTTTGCAGTGTACTTATCGTGATTTGGCCTGCCTAGGCAATTCTGGGCCTATTTACAAGTCTGCGTACATGTGTCATTTATCATCTACATCACATGTCATTTAGCATGGTGCCGCTAGTTTCGTGTATTTTCACGATCCAGGTGTAGCCACTCAGTCTCCATGTGAACTACACAAGTGAATGTTTTTTTTTCCACCACGTTACCACAATAGCGTGCTCTACCAACGTTTTAGTCATTCTTTATCTATTGAATAGAATCTGATGCGATCTGGGCTTGTATTGCATTGTCTTGTTTTATCTTAAAAAAAAATATTTAGAAAAGGGAAAAGAAATTAGTTGGTGGACAGATAGCTTCAAAGAAGCTTCACTGGCCTCGCCTTATCTTCTTTGTCTATTATGGCTTAGCTGCTTTCGTCCAAGTAAACAATTTTTGTACCTCTACATATTTGTTTTCCAACTTACTTTTGATAATTTGCTTCTGTAATGGATTTCGTAACAGGACCATCCGTGACCGAAAGCGCATCAAAAGCCGGAATCACTCCAGAGACCTTGACGACTAGAGGTATTCTCACTGAAATGCTCGCTGAAATGGTTTTTCTTTAACAAAAATATGTAGTTACATTCCTCATTTTAAAGAACTAGTATAGGAGTGATTAATCTATGGACTGCTCACTCCTTCCAATGAGTTCTTTGTCTGAACATTTGCAATCGATAGGAAACCATAAGGTCATTCGCATATTGCTCTTTCTTCTTTTAAGTTTTCGTACATAAACTTTATCTGCAGAGTCACCAACACTGACTAGAAAGTCAACCACAGAATCAGTCACGAACACAAGAACTTAACCTCCCAATGGAGGTAATGTATTTGCAGGGATTACCCTACAAATGACTTCCAGTGAATAGTCGTTACGAATCAACTGAATAGAATCTTGTGGGCTCTGGACCAGCATTACTACGCTTGCCTTGTCTTATTTTTCTTTGATAAGAGTTTCAATTTGCAGTGTTGCAGTCAATTGAGTTAAACCAGAACTATTCACGTTCTTCCACATGCAGCCTCTCCAACGACTTCAGGTGTGCCAGCTGATCAGGCAAGTACAGCGCCCCCTGTCGTGGCCGAAACGGAAGGTAATCTGCTCACATTTTTTTTTAAACCCTTTATTACACAGAAAAAAATATAATGGGACAAGAATGTCGGATAATATTACAATTATTATTTACTAAATTTTTTCCTTTGACAGAATCGACAACAGCAGCCAAGAAAATGTCGACGCTCCAGTCAGAACCAACTACCAAAGGTAAAATTGACTACCCTGATCTGAAGACACTGAATTATTCAAAGTTCAATTCTACAAATGGTGCATATACATAGTTACATGTAAACAATTGTGAGTTTTTTAAAATTCCCTTTTCTGCTGGCCATTTTTCAGTTTCCATCATTTTTTTTAACCGTTGTGTTTTGTGGGCAACCCCAAATTTAACATGCATGGTTCGACAAGCTGTTTCTGACAGTGAACATGAACGTAGAACCGGAAAGATAAGCTCTGCTCCATGGTGTGTTGACCAATCAAAGCTGTGGTTGATGGATGCACCAAAGTCCCACCTGCATGCATGTGAATGCAGTATGCAGCCAGAACATGCAACTTATTCTGCAAATGTTTCAGCCATTTTGAATCAATTGAAAAGAATTTGGTGTGCTCAAAGACCATGCTTTACTAGTCCTGCTTTGTCTTGTTTTCAGGTGTTACATCAGGTTGTAGTTTGTCTGCATTGAGCTGTTTGAATGGAGGGACATTTGATGCGGAGTTTTGCGAATGCGTTTGCCCACTCACGCACTCGGGAATGACGTGTGCTGGTAATTAAACATAGGCCTACATGTTTTTTGTGTTGTTTTCTCTCTTTTTTTCTAGTGTAGTTTGATGCAAAAAGCCGTATCCCACTGAGTGGTCGGCAACTCCATCTTGGAATACCCATTGATAAATACATGTATGTTTTCAACTTAGTTAAAGGTGTCTTTACAGTCCCTACCTGGTTCCCTGCCCCCATTATCCTTCAGATTTCAAATATGGGAACAGGAGGCTAGCAGTGAATACAGAAGGCATTAGGAGACTAACCTCCTAATATATGCAAATTATATGCATGACGTGCCTAAGTCTGAATCCCGCCTCCGATGATATGCATTCAGAATCACAAAGGTAATGTGCGCGCGCAACCAGCCTATTGGGAAAATGCAGTAGGCCACGTGTGTACAATTTTGGAGGTGATGAGCTTCGGTTTTTGCTGAATTCGAAAGTGTCAAAGGCAAATATCAAAAAGAGATAGTTTGTTTAAAAACGTGTGTTCAATCACCGTACGTGCACAAAGCTGAACAGCGATTCAAAAATAAACAATCATGATGCGCGCGCACAGGAGATCCAATGATTAAATTAAATGGGAGTTAGGTACCGGTCCCCGTATATTTAAGAAGGAACAATTCATTCTAGTCCATGAGATATTTTCAAACTATAGGAGACTGTAGGCTTGATGGCACTTTAATATCAGTATTTGCTATTCTGTACGAATCCACAACGTAGTCAGTTTTCATTACTCAGTTTTTTTCCCTCTGATAAATATATTTGCTTTTGCTATATTAATGTTAAAAAAAGGTATATTCGAGTTTTAATTTCAGCTGAATTAAAGACTGGAAGATTTGTATGGTTTTCTTCTGGATGTGTTGTAGGGCTTTATCTTTGTGCAATCTTGTTAACAGCGGGAAATGGTCCTGTGAGGGCTGACTTTTGGACCACTCGCATTGTTTTTGTTAAAAAAGAAATGGAATAATCATTATAGTAAATGTTCCAATACAAAACTTCTTGTAAATAGTTTTCTGATATGCATATATAAAGCAATGCACTGAATACCAATACGCTTATTATACCACTGTATTGCAGTTCCAAGCCCAAAAATTGCTTCACTTTTTAGAGACAAAACTGGAGTGACAAGCTAAACCTGTTTTATACCCACACTAATATTTCTTTTCTTGGCAGATGAGAATCGTTGTCTGTCCAGCAACAGATGTGGGAATAACCGATACTGTTTACCAAGCAATGATCCGTCGGGATTCACTTGCCACTGCAATAGCTTTCAAGGATATGTCGAGGGTGATTCTGGTCAGTGCCAACGTAAGTAACTCTCAAAATATCTGACCATCGCATATCCCAGAAATGCAATGTTGAAAATCAACCCACTCTCTCAATTCTAAAGTGTGAACAATCACTCCATTCGAGTTAAGATTCACTCCCACAGTCGGAAACTAGGGACTAAACGTTTTTAGAGTGAAATTTCTTTAATCGTAAAGATCGAGGTTTCACTCGAGCTTCGACTGAAGTGGTTCATGTCAACCGAAAATGAGAGTGATTTTCACTCTAAAACGTCTAGTCCCTAATTTCACTCTTTGGAATTTAGAGAGCAGTAAAAACTGTGGTCACATAGATATCAATGGAAAAGTTCAGCTTTTAGTTTGTACCAAGCAATACATTACCATTGTAAAAAAAAGGTTTATGCATTATACCCAATGACACTCCACAACTTTGGATTTTCTTTTCTCCCAGGGTATCCATCGAAGAATGTCGTGATCACTGCTCGTATGGACTTTAAAGAAGCCTTCAAAAACCCAACGTCGAAAGCATTCAAGGAGACTGCAGCCGTGTTTGAGAATGCAGTAAGTAAATTATATCCTTTCTTTTCTCAGCCAAAAAAATACCTAAATCTCTAAGGTCCTCCCAGAGAGATGCTGCCAGGATCCAGAACATTAGGCCCTCAAACTTTTTTCTTCGTATAATTTCAGGTCAGTTTATGCAGTGAGCAGCAGGTTTGTTGGTTTTGAAATAGCAAATTGGCTGTTTACCACATTTATAACAATGTAGTCGACTGACTGTTTTCTCTGTCTCTTGTGAACCGTCTGAATATTTAGTCATTACACACAATGCAGAGCGTTCAGTTTTAGATTTTGGCAGGATTCCCATACAGAGTGGGTTTCTTATAAACAATTTGATAAGACACATTGTGGTAGATTTGAAGTGGAAAGATTTTGACTGATTTTGAAAAATCTGACGTTGAACGTCTATAGTAAAGATTGACTGTTTTGGATACTATTCTGACTGCCATTTCAAGATAAGGGAGGCACTGGTCTTGGTATGGCAATCTCAATGTTAAATTGGCGGTCTTGCCGCCAAACGTAGGACATAGTTAATAATAACATGAAAGTTTAAAGTAAGATAGAAGAAAATCATTTTCAAGCTTGTGCAATGTTAAATTGTCCCTCAAATTATGAAAATAGTTACTCATTAGCATCTGTACTACATTGTATGGAAAACAAGTTGCAACCTGACGCCATTTCAGCGGTTGGGTACAAAGTTAATAAAGAGACTCAGGAAAATTGTCTAAATATTTCCTTACAAAATTGGAAATGTTTCTTAGTCCCATTTTCATGTGTTATCATTTTTGCAATAACTGACCTTCATTGAAATGCTATAAGAAGAAAACAATTGTATATTCCCAATGTATGCTTGTGCAGTTGTGGGTAGTACAGGGAGTATTGGTATAAAAAAGCGGGTAAAAAAATACAGCTTATTTTTGATTTTGTTTTTTACTCCTAGATTTTGAAGACCTTTAAAGAAAACCCATCAACCAATGACGTTTTGTCGGTGGTAGTTCCTTTAATGGAGGAGGGCAGTGTTGTCATCAGATCTGTAGCACTGTTTGAAACTGCTGCACCGTCCAACGCCATTTTACGTCAAGTGCTGGCGAGCAGTAATACACTGACTGATGGCAGTACGGTCATTGATATTGATCAAAACTCGATCCTTGTGGATGGTGAGTTGATTGTAAAACCTTGACAAAGAAATCCTGTCAGATATTTTTAGTTTCAATTTCAAGATTTCAATCAAGTTTAATTTCATTTCTGTTCCCGCACTTAAATTTTACAAATAAATATCACGAAGGCATAATAAGTCACCGAAATACGGGATAGGTAGTGACTAGTTCAATTGCAGTTGGCGAATTGTATCAGGTATTTAAGAACGCTCTTATTAGTTAACTAAATCACAGCGCGTACTGTTTTATTATTACCCCTGATCATTGGGCCAATGAAACATTCCAAATACCATCTCACCTCCCGGGGGAGTATACAGCTCGATGCTGCCTGCTAGGCGCAAGGAAGCTAATTCAATCACAATAACCATCTCTGCCCTCACTGGTACCCATTTACTCCTGGGTGAAGAGAAGCAATGAGTGACAAAGTGCCTTGCCCAAGGGCACACGCACCACAACCCCAGGCAGGACTCGAATTCACAACCCGCAGAATTACCCGCAGATCACGAATTCAATGCCCTGAACCACGAGGCCACCGTACGGCACTCCACAACTTTCTTAACAAATTCCAATTGGAATATTCTTTCCAAAACAAAGTGTTGATAGTTTCACTGTCGGAAAATTGAAAATTGCTGAAGAATCTGTTACAAATCTGCAAGTAATTCACACTTTAATTGGCCTGTTATGGGAGGATTTGTTACACATATTATCCTGGATATTCAATGAGGCGACGCATCAGTGAGGCCAGCTTTGCTAGGCTTGACTTGTCTTGTGATTGTTTATATGATAGATGAGGCAATAGACTGTGTACCGACTTACTGCATGAACGGCGGGACGTGTGAGACATCGGGTATCTTTCCCTATACGAACAACACGTGCAGGTAGAGAATGCAAGACTTAACTTCATTTCCTTTATCTTAATTCCCTCTTGGCTAACTATTAGGACACAACAATAAAGCTCCATATGCAAAAGCGTTTGAGACAAATATAGCTGGTTAAAATAGTAGCTCACAAGATCTCACAAATTTGAAAAGCTTTTTCACGTTAATTTGCGATATTACTCTCTAAATTCCAAAGAGTGAAAATTCACTCAATTCGAGTGAAGATTCACTCCCACAGTCGGAAAGTAGAGACCAGACGTTTTGGAGTGAAATTTCTTTAATCGTGGTTGCACTCGAGCTTCGACTGAAGTGGGGCTTTTTCAGACTATTTCAATCGAAAGTGAGAGAGATTTTCACTCTAAAACGTTTAGTCCCTAATTCACTCTTTGGAATTTAGAGAGTATAATAGTGTACGTTTTTCTTCTAAATATTTGTAGTGAGTAACTTCTAACAACAGAATTAAAACAAATAATTATTGTCAGTCTAATGCTTCCCCTCGCAACAGTGCACGGTGTAACTGACTTTCTGGCAAAGCATATTTGCTGCATAAGCAACATCTCTATACTATATTCCAACTTGCTGTTAGAAGACACAAACGTTGCTCAATTCCATAAATAGATAACTTAGGGTCATTTTATACTTAATGTGAATGTGTAAGCGAAGCAAATTTCATGAGGCCTGCAAGTTCAGTTCCGTTGTGGCATTCGCTGTTATCCTAACAAACTAAAATCAGGTGACGCTGAGCTTGGTTTCCTAGTTTCAAATGGTATCTTTGCATTGAGTGTGTTTTATCTGTAGAGTTGTCCAACCAGTTTTCATTTGTTTTAAAGACAGGCCTTCTTGTTTTGAGCCTCAAGAAGATGTTAAACAGCTTTGAGTACACAATCTTTAATCAATTAATTAAATTGCAGGTGCCCTGAGTCTTTTAGCGGTCAGCGATGTGAGTCAGATGTGTTGCCACCTCCAGAAGGTAAATGTGTGCAGTTTTTCCATCGAGTCAATGCTAATTCAGTTGGTTGACTATCGATGAATGTAAACCTTTCACGAAAAACGAATAACTCGGTTGGATGTATACAGGTGGACCATCTGATTACCAACGAAAGCTTCGTACAGTTAGATCACATCATATCACTAACCTAATTATAATTACGGGGAATGGTACCTTAGGGGGAGGGGACATTCCCATAGGGTTGCGCACAAAATGTTTCCAACTTTAATTCCCCTAATCCCTATTTCTCTTATCCTACCTCACGAATTCTGGTATATATGCATTTTAGACAATGAGCAATCGATCTAGCCTATTTGCGACATTAACGTTTCGCTCTAAATAGGAGGTGTGACATTAGGGACACATTAAAATGTCTCCTTAATATCCGGTGTCTCCCTAAGGTATAAAGTATGACGAAAAATGTCTTCTAATGGTTACATTTAACGGGAATAAAAGTACCAATGTATTTTCCCCTTATTTTCCAGATGGATTGTCCACGCTGGCCATAGTTTTCATCATCGTTGGGTCTATCGCTTTGATCCTCGTGGTGGTAGTTTTGCTCCTCTGCATGTGTCTGTACACGCAAAGCCTACACGCAAAGGCCTCGGCTAACCACCGCAATAGGGTTGTTGGACGGGACGACACAGGCAGTGATAACTATGGCTTTCCGCCCATGGCACTTGATGGTTACGTGGACCGTAGTAGGTCAGTTTTGGGTTATGAGGCAACAAGAATGGATCGTTTGATGGACGGGATCAGTCACTCACCCTACCAACAGCAGGTAATACATTAAGTTGATGACATTCAAAACTTCCTCTGGCTTATTTATTCCATTCATAAGGTTCAGTTCAGTTCATTTATTACCACGGAATATCTCTTCTGTAAGAAGTGTTGTTCTAAAAGGAACTGGAGCTGAGAATAAATTGTTTTCAGGATTTCGGAATAGTGTATATTCCACCCTCAGAGAGAGAATCATGTTGTCTCAGAGAATCGCAAAGCTCCCACCGGCCAATCTCTTAGTAACCACACTAAGAGATTTCTGGGTGTACCCGCAGAACCCTCCCTTGCTATACATTCCACCATGCATGCAGTGTGTCCCACTTCAGGCGTCAATTACCCCCGGTACTCAAAACAAGGTTTTGGGGGACATTCCTCATTTTGCCTCAGTAGGTTACAATAACCCGGCGGATAAGACAGTAATGAATTTGGTTATTCACAACATAAATGCAATGCTTACTATTCTTGTAAAACTCGGTAAAGTATTACATGTATTGGTTAACCGCAGAAAATAATACTAAACCCTAAATGCTCCTTTATAAGCTTATAACTGTTGGAAGTGACCTGCCACATCATCAGCTATAAATTTTACAACATGCCTCATTCTTTATTTGGTAATTCACAGGGTATGATGGCAGACCGTGATGATTTTGTTCGACCATATATGGTGACAGGCATGGAAAATCGCCGTGACTATACAGCGGTAAGTAGAGTACATGTACATAACTTTACCAGTAGACCGGTTCTTAGGCCAGCTGGCCCAATGCTCGCGTGGGCAACATGAAGAGTGTGAATCTTGGATACCTGACATGGATATGCATGGGTCGCGTAGTGCGTACAGGGCTCTCCTCTAAATATCTGACCTATGTGGCCCCGGGTTCAATTCCTGGCTCGGGTCAAATGTGAAAAGGGTTGTTCGTCGATTCTTTCCTGGGTCACGATAGTTCTCTTCGGGTTGGCATTTTTGCTACCTGCGCCAAAAAGTAGCACTTTCAATCAGTGCTCCGTAGTCAGACATGGGTCATTATGACGGCTGCCTTAGGTGCCTTTACGCAATACCACGTTGTAGCCGCGTCCTTTGGAATTCAGCTTCTGCTGCGATTCAGGACGATTTTTCACCATGCAAATCTATTTAGTTTTTATTTTGCATGTCGGATATTAATCACGCTGTGATTGGTCAAAACATAATGAGGAGGTGCTTAATAAATCAGTCTACGAACAGTGTGTGAAATTCTTCCTTATATTTATAGCATACTGCATAACAAAAAAAAACTGTTAAATGAAAAGATATTTAATTAGACCCCAAAGCATGCTTCGAAATCAATACAGTGTAAAATGCGAAAACCAGACTAACGGTGACAGATGATTTCAGAATACCTGATTTATCAGTGCCTATTATAAAAGGCAGATTTTGACTTAAACTATGGGACTTGTTTTGTATACCAATCAAATACAGTATAAAGGCTTTAAAGCAGCAAAGTTGCCTGCTTAAAAACCAGAAATCGATGCACCATTAGAAATATCCGAGGGAATAACTTGTTTTTTCCACAACTTGATCTTTGTTATTTCAGCCAGAAACTTTTGTAAGTTTTATACCACAGTTCATTCTTTGTGTAATATCGGGCTAAAACAATAGTTGAACCTCTTTATAACCATTTACGTTTCCTTGTCTTACAGGAAAACGTCGCTGGCCGCGTGGTTCGCAATCCCCATGTCTACTAGCTTGAACATGTACCGTACACATAGTTCTGAGGGAAAGCTTGTCGTGAAGATGTGCATTTGTTGTTATCTAACGGAACAAGAAGGCTCATTTTGGTAATGGTTCATTTTGCTGGTTCCGTTGAGGTCCAGCCTAGAGTCCGCTGTGTACTTGACGGAATCGCTGACTCACCGTCACTTGTGAGTCGGGCAGTACTATTATATAGTTTGTATCCTTGTGGATCAATTTCTTTGTTGAAATTGTTGAGAATTAATTTCCTGGGCTGAAATTCGGACTTAATATCCCTTACATAAATACTTCGATCTGCGACCGATCAACACACCTTTGAAATACCTATTTTTGGAGTAAAATCCATATTCGTGATAACCTTGGGTAGACGCATTCACCTATAGGAATTGCCCTGTAGAGACGTGTACAATATTTTGATCCCTATTACGCACTTGTCTCCACAGGGTACCGTGTATCAGATAATGTTTAAGCGGACACAGTTTAGGGACCCCATCCCGGCATGTAAATTTCAAGGTAAAACAAAATGACAAGTTTGTCTCTTGCAGAAAGGCTACTTTTGACATGGTTACATATGTGACTTCCAATAATTTACATTAAATTAAATATGAATGTAGAGGTATCAGTGATAATGCGGAAACATGACAATGGCAGGGGCGGATCAAGGGGGTGTGGGCGCAAAATGCTGTAAAATACGCTGTACATTACAGAAAAATGCAACCAGACCTCTCTAGCAGGGCGGGCGGGCACGCCTTCGGCATGAGCGTCAATAGGTAGGGGCAGGGGCATATGGAGATGGCTGATTCAATTACTCCAAACTTGAAAAGGATGTTTAAGTGATGATCTTTTGCTCCAAAAAAATTGATTGAAGTGGTCAGATGTTGCCTGAGATCTCAATACAGAACTTCTAAAATCCTAAAGCGGGCCCCGGACCCTACGCCGTTAAGGCTTCGAGATACGAGCTCGCATTACTTTCAATCACATCATGTCTCCCCCGGCCTTCGGCGTAGGTGCTGCTTGTTTCATTTAACGCCCAACCCCTCCCCAACCCTTTGGAAAATCTTCGATCCGCCTCTAAATGCTAATAACAACTTAAAGGTAATTTTTTTATAATCTATATTTTTATTTGTTGTATACTCAGAAAAAACAATTGTGTTTAAGATATATACTATTATATTTCAAGCTATAACAGTTACACCATAACATGGTACTATTGTACAATGTTAGATACTAGAGCATCAATCAGTAATAATCATGACAATGGCGAGTGAAAACTAAAAGCCATCTTTTGAAACTAATACGATTTTTAAACTGTATTCTGGTCAATTAAAATATTGTATTCTCGTAATCGTATTCTTCAGATTTATTTTGAATACTCAGAAAGAAAAAAAATGTATGTAATGAACCAAGAGACTGGTTTACTTTGCTCGATGAGTGAGTCTAATCTGTTTCATTAAATAATAGAAAAGATCAGCAAAAGTTTATTTCTCTTAGCAGTGATGTTATAGCTGTAGAGGCTGGAGATATCAATTTCTAAAAAATGTTTACAATAAACAATAATCAGCTTAAGGGTTCACAGTCATTATTACAAAACACCTACAAACTACAGATTGAGTACAAATGCAGAGTGATCGGGCAGACAGCTATTACATTAGACACTGCCAAGTTAAGATGTGAATATTTTTATGTCAGAACAGAACTGCCTCTCCAGTATAACTACTTGTTTTGTTTTGAACAAAATGCATCATTTTGGTTATGATCAACTTCAGTATACAAGTTATATACACGTACAAGTTGCTTCCGGTTTGATGACGTCAACAGTCACAAAGTGGAAAGTGAATACTGATCAGAGAGGATACGTGTTTATCGTAAAGAAATACAACTGCAAATAAGAAAGAAGGGCTTATGCTGCAGTGGTAACAAGCGCTACATCAATGTCAAACTCATTTCCCAATCAATCGTATTTTCACATTTCGAATATATAGATCAACCTCTCTTGCACAACTGAGATATTGCAATGCATTGTAGATTAAAACTTTAAAGTTACAATTGGCAATGCTTTTAGGTCCTTTAATAATGGGTTTTTGCTTTTCTGGTTTCATTGACAGATTTACTCAATTGCAGATTAACAAATCAGAATACGACGGTTAACATTTATCATGTTTACTCATCAGGCCTTGTATTTCGTTGCTACTTGTTTTATATATACCTTTTAATTATACGTTTTTGTTTTGATTGCAAATCTATTCGTTAGATATCTGGCCGAGTATGAAAAGTTGTCGAAATGAAAGAATCATGTTATAATCATGCTTTTGTGTAATAATAATAAAAAACATTACCTGTCCGACCATTTATGTAGCCTAACTTATTGGACTCTTCTAAATCGCATCTGTATAACTTGCATTCATATAACCGAATCTCTGATTGGCTGAAAGTGGCAAAGTGGCAGTAGAAACTAGTAAAATGAATACCAAAAGTAGGGCCCGATGACAACGAAGGATTGAGCTCTCTTTGTGAATGCTGTTTTAAACGCTTGTTGGCCGAAAGATACTTTACATTTTCAAAACTATATTTTTGATCGTAAAACAATTACACTTATGGAATAACTAGACTTCTATATGCGCGTTGATGGCCGTCCTGAATTAAAACAAAAATCACATCGTTGAGCTCACTGATCACGTGAATAGTGTATGGAGTAGGAAAACACTAACCTGGAAGAGTGGTTTCGCCGTATCATAACACATTTGTTGACCTCCAATGGAATCTGGTCCCTTTACCTATATGTGGACTCTTACCCTCACACGTGACCGGTTAATGACCTATGGTATGCGCAACACCACCAATGAGTCCAGTTCAAAATTAACACCACACCTGTTCATCAAGTTGTCTAAGTATCACCCCTAATCCACGGAGTCACGTGTCCTGTATAACGTCTGATACGTCAAAGCATACAGATTTATACGATCTAGCGCCTCAGCCAATCGGAGGCGACTTTACTAAATTGTGACGTAATTTTTTTTCAAAAATCAGGACTAAATGTGTGATTGGTCAATTCGAATGCAGTGTTTTGTAATACAACAACAGCCGGGCGCGTATCGCGTAACATAATACAGAGCGCGTGACCACAGCATTTGTTGCTGTGTCTAGGGCATTTTTTTTTTAATCCCTGTCTATGACGCGACAACGGTGAATGACCAAAGACCCGATATAGAAAGCGCCCGTTGATTGGTCAAGATCTAAAGGTCAAGATGCGGTTGTCTTGCATAATTAATCACGAATCTGCTTGAATGTTATAGACCATGGCTTCCCTTACGTATTAATTATGATGTCACGCTACAACAAAAAAAACTTTTTTTTTATCAACTGAGCTGAAACTTCAACAGGTGAGTTGTTATGCACCCTTGTAAACAATTTGAACTACTTTATTAAGCGAAGAAAAAATCAGAAAATACACAGGATCCTAGTTACCTGCACACAATACATTAGCTTGAGCAACCACTACAAATAAAAACATTGGCTTGTGACTTCATCTCATTGGCCTGTGAATTCACGTTTCTTTGAACATCAGGGTTACATTGCCATCACTTTGATACCAAATCGAAGTGTTATGAAAAAAATAATCCGTTTCAAATGAAACTAGATCTGGATTATTTAATGATGAATGGCTTTAATATATAAGTAAGTGTTATGATCTGTAATTATACCCAGGTCTCCATATGTCATTTCACACCCGAGTGACGAATTCAGTTTCCTACGTGACTGAAATCGTGAGTTTACCATGTGTTTGGGAAATATAAAATAAATCAATGGATTCGTGGCAATCAAATCCACATGAAGACAGTTTTTTTTTCTCAAAAACAATAACTTTATTTTACAATATGTCATAGCCTTATTTTTACAAAGGGGCGCTGTTCACGTACATAGCCGGGAGTTCTAGCCTCCATATTTGACAGCTTCGCGTAGCCAAATACGCAACCCGTTTTGCTTAGGCCTAATTTATACAATTACTCCGACATGTTTTTATTTAATTACTCCGACAGTTTCTCGTTCAAAAATAGCCAAATAAAGAAGTTATTCTTATAATCAATGCTTCCTAATTTAGTGTTCCCATTTGGTCCTCTCTATGGAACGTAAAGCATGCTCTTGACGCACATATTAATTTCAGTCCGGAACCGCTGGATGATAATGACGGACAAACACGACGCTTTAATGACTTGCCATAGAGTCTTGAGTTCGGTGCCTTGGGATCTCGCTTCGTAAGGAAAACATTGCAATTGTTTTATGGTCCTGGTGCCTTCTTGATTAATTGATGATAAAATGTAAGACGGGTGTTCTGCATGGGTCCATACTTAGGCCTAATGGAACCTCATACATATTCAAATACATGCCGTCTACTTCATCACGAACACTCCGGTTTGACATTAGAAGTCAACACAGTAATCGCATGGGTTATTTTGGGGAGTGAAATATTATTTTGTGTGCAGACTACGCAATTGCTAAGAAACTTTAATTTATTGTATGTGATACATGCTAATATTACTATGAGTTACGTGGCACTTACGTGGCACTTGCTGAAAAACTCGAATGTCATGTTCTGTAGATAACCAATACTGCTGCAATATTATTTTAAATTCATGATATTTGAAATATATATTTTTTTGATGACGGCGCTAGGAGTCTGCTTCGAAACGAAGCTAAATGATTGCTGCCGTCTGCTCAAAGAATTAGCGGCGCCGCATCATCTTTCCTTCGAAATGCCTTAGTGTCACGAACTGCCGATCATGCGTGGATTTTGGTAGATTCGATGACCCGCATGTCGTCATGCACCGATGGTAAACGATTTAATTCCTGGACAAGTTGTTTCTGATGTGCACGAGAAATTAATTTCAGAAGCACCACATGCGTCGAGGTGGAAAATGCATCACATTATCATCATCGCTCGTCAGTGAAGCAGTTGGTACGGCCTTCGCTATGGACTTGACTCTTCTACGCCTTTTGGGGTTCTCAATCCTGCTGCGATATGTTCCAGCGACAGCTGAGAAACTGGGTAGGACGTTGAAGCAATTCTGTCACTCATTAATTAAATTAAATACTTCAGTCGAAAAGTACGTCTTTTCTTATTTTTTTTTAACAGTCTGGAATTATTGTCAATATTGTTAATCCTTGTTCGAAAGAAATGTTAAATTTTTGTTCGAAAGAACTGTTAAATGCTGCTTTATCATGTTACATTTTAATTATATTAATATTTGAATTACGCAAAGACCATCGAAATGGTTCTTGCCTAATAACGTGCTTATGAGACTAAAATAATTCACTTTTACGTTCAAGGTAGTGTCTAAACGCGGTGTGCCCAATGTGTCACACATTTACATTTCAATCTTTAGGCACAGTCCCAGCAAAAAAATCAACTGTGGATGTTATATGTCCGTTACCCGGCTGCAAGCACAACTTAATTCTGTGTGAGGTGGATAACGCCAATGACTCCTTTGGATACTCTTTCTTTTTTTTTCTTTTATTTTTGAAAGCCAATTCTACTATAGATCTTCGCATTGTTGGTGGCCGTTACCCTAACGAAGGTCAAGTGGAAGTCCGTCTACCCGGCCAGGAAACATGGGGTTCATACTGCTCCGTTGATCTAAAGTGGACGTACACTGCAGGCCGCGTCCTATGTCGTCAACTGGGTTACCCCACCCTGTACGCGATCAGCAACACGGCAGAGTTTGGCAGGGCCACCGGTCCGATATGGCTGCAGGAGATCGACTGTTCCGAGACCCTTACATCCCTGGAGGAATGTTCCCTAGAGCTGTGGACACCGAGATACTACGGGTGCGATCATAGACACGACGTTGGGATCAAGTGTTTAACAGGTAAGCAGAATCTGCAAATCTAAAGTGAATCTGCATGGGGACAACATCGACCTTAACGGTAGTCAGCTAGCAAAATGCGAGTAAAAAACAGTGGCGGACAAATCAAAACCATTCCCTAAGTAGTCTGCCTGGTGAGTCAAAATTATTGATTTCGGCTTTATTAAAACAAAAATGTCGGTCTGATACTGACACACATTCGGCTTGTTTCATGCCGTTGCGCCGCGGAATCTTGCGCCGATATCGCTCAACCAAAAATTATTAGAGGAAGAACAATTCCATTGCGGACTAGTGAAAAGGCCCGCGGACTACTTAAGACTAGAGTCTGCTTCACTAGTCCGGCTGGCTAGTGGGGAAAAATAGGTCAAAGGTGCACATTTTTTCTGGCGATTCTTGATTTACAGGTGGCATCCAGTTGGTTGATGGAAGGAGAGAGAACGACGGGAAAGTATTGTTGCATCTTGGGGGCGCCGAGTGGGCTTCCCTTCGGTACTTCGGTACTACGGAACGGAACCGCGTCTCTGACTACATCTGCCGATACCTGGGCTACCCATTCGCAGTTGGGCCAACCCAGTTCCAGGCGGACGATGAAAGTCAGGCTGTCATTTGCAACTATAACCATTGTAAAGGGAGTGCCACGAGCAATGATTTCTTCGAATGTCTTGATGAGATGCCATTGAGGTTTTGCCGAGATGAGGACAAAAGGAACACTTCGCTGCTTGGAGTAGCGTGCGTAAAAGGTGAGACGTTTCCCTCCATTGTGTGAATCTCTTTGAGGCCAAAAAAAAAGTCTCCGGTTTCTGGTATGCGCGTTCGTCGCCGTAGCCATGCGCGTCGACAAAATGAAACAGTTTTTTTTTCAATGTAAGATAATGTCTCAAAACCGTCAAACTCACTGGTTTGACTGGAATCCTGCTGCTGCAAAATTTTAACGTGTTTTTAGATTGGGTTATGGTCGAGAATAAGCTTTATGTGGCCTCTCTGGAGTTTAGTCGGGCACCATTTGCAGTCATCAGCCGACATTTGAAGCAAAAAAATCAGGTAAAAAAAAAAAAAAGCCGCGTCGCCGCACCACTTTTTGGGCAAGCTCCATACCAGAAACCGGAGACTTTTTTTGGCCTAAAGTATTTATTTAAAAAGGTTCACTCTATGATTTGTTTCTGAGGATCATATTTTGTGCAAGCTTTTCCTCCTTTTAACGGTATGAAACCTGTATAACAAAGTCAATGGTTACTTTTTATTGAAACGTGTACTTCTTTAAACGTTCAAAGTTCTCCACACTTTTCAGGACAACTAAAGGCGATGTTGATGCGATGTGAACCAAAAACAAATGCTAATTGAAAACACTTGCGTGAAGGTTGACTCATTTGCTTACTTCCATGTTCTGACAACAACGAATTTTAAAGAAAATAAAATTTGCAACAGCAAAATATTCATAATTCTACAAACTTGTCGCGATGAAATAACTGTCACATTGAGATTTCTGCCGGAAATGTCAACACACTTGCATAGGTTTATTAATTTCGTTTCTTTTAACCAGGGTAGTTCCGTCGGTTTCAAAGAACTGTTGTCTCTTTTGCACATGAATACGGAAATGTGCATTAGCGTACCAAACAATAAGGCACCAAATACCCATGAAAACAGCAAAACGAAAATTGATACAGAAGGTTAAATGGGACACCGAAGGTGCATTTTTAATGATTGCATTTTTTTGAGAAATTGCATTGCAGTCTAAGATTAAAGTACACAGTTGTTGTTTTCGTTAGAGGATGAAGTGCTGCCACCGACTGCATCTCCGGAGTTTCGGTTGAGCCCACCTGACACCCGTTGGAATGGATCACGGCACGTAGGGTTTCTGGAGGGCCGCTACAATGGCTCCGACTGGAAGACAGTTTGCATTCACCTGACGTGTCTCAGTGATAATGAAAATGGCTTCGCTGACCGGGCCTGCCGCTACCATGGCTATCCCCGGGCCTCGTACTGGGAACAGATACCGTCCGCAGAGTCTAACCACCCAAGCAACGGAGATGATCTCATCCTGAGAGTCACATATCTCGGCGAAAGGCGATGGATGTATGGAAAGAACTCTTGCCGTGACCACAATTACAATCAAATTGTCTTCGAATGCGATCAAGGTAATATAGATACAAATGTCTCATACAATACAAACCAAATCTCGAAAGAGGCTGATTATGGTAGAAAGTGAAATCCCAGTCAAGTTGGAGGTGTTTCCCGAAAACAAGACAAGGCAAGCCTCGTAGATTAGATCCCAGAGCACACAGAGTTCACATTTATTAATTAAGAATGGTCATTCACTCTAGGTCTTCGCAGGCACCTGGTTCACTGCAGTTTGCCTGCTTCTGCGCAATCCCTGGAGTTATGCAGTTATCATCAGTACGATATAGTCAGAAAGTCAGTTAGTCACTTAGTCAGTCAGTCACAATCAGTCAGTCGGTCATTCAGTCAATCGGTTACGGGGAGTCAGTCGGGGAGTCGGTCGGTCAGTCAGTCAGTCAGTCAGTTATGGTTATGGTTTATTTTTTTTCATATCATAGTACAAACAACACGATAAACAGGAAACTATATAAAGAATGACAAACAATGATATGAGGGATCCAGGTAAAAACATATGCATGTACAAGACATGGAACCCGTTATTACAAATTAAGCTAATAAATTAATACGTACATACAATAGGCTGAATTCTATCAGGTAAATACACTTATACTAATAAAATTGAAAAGAAATAAATTAACAGCAAAAAAATATTCACATTCGTATGAATTTACATAAGCCTACACGTCCATACATTACAAGAAATAAATCAATTAATTAATTACAAAACAGGTAAGGGAGGAAGGGGCAAAGAAGCAAAAAGTGGCAAAGGAATTATAAAACAATACTATATTGTATAACAATCTGTGAGATGACATGAATGTACAATTTATTGGGATACTTAATTATCAGTATAATTTGTCAGTAGCAACGTTTCATGTCGTTTTTGAAGTTCTTCATTGATCTAAAGATAGGCATTGGTTTGAGGTGGTTCCACAATAGAGGTCCTTGGTTTCTGACAGTCGATAAGTAAAGATATGTTCTAGCTTTATGGAGATGAAAGTTTGAGGCTGACCTTGTATTATGAGAATGGATATCCGAGTTTGTGTTAAATAGCGAATGTTTAGTTTTGGGTAATTTGTTTGTTTCGAATTTATACATTAATACCCCAAGATGGTATTTAAACAAGCCAAAAACAGATAAGGTTTTGTATTTACTTAACAGTGGTGCTGAATGTTCTGTATATCTGGAGCTAAAATACCATATTGAAGGGGAGTCAGTCGGGGAGTCAGTCAGTCAGTCAGTCAGTCAATAAGACTAAAGGATAATAGGCTTGTACTCTGGGCCCAGCAGAAATAAAGGGCAGGAGCAACATACATATGTGCAATAAATTACATGTTGTGAAACTCTTAGATTATTAGTGTATTCCTCCAACATACCAAACTTTAAATAACCATGTTCATGAAGTGTATTTTTGCCCTTCTTTCAGGCGTGACTATGTATGGTTTGACGGTGTACCCTTGTTCAACACAATCATGCAGTGGACGATGTGGAAGCCCTGCTACTGAGACACAATGTGGTTGTGATGCGTTGTGTGCGCTTTGCAACGATTGCTGTCATGATTACTCCACGCGGTGTCACTTGCAGCAACAAAATGTCACAGAGAAATTTTTGCTGGTCGCATCGTTACACGACTTCTTGTCATGTGTCATTGTCGATGACGAACGCGCGGTGCTCGTGCAGGGATGTCCTACAGATTGGCTGGATGATGAGGTTGAGTTATGTCAAAATGATTCCATGTCAGAGAAGGTGAAATACGGAGGATTCTTTCATGATGTATATTGCGCGATATGTTATTATAACGAGTCGTGCGTCATCACCACGAAGCTTGTTGAATATAAATGTGCATCCAACATTAGTCTGACCAAAACCGACACGGAATCGGTCAAAAGCTCTGGATATGAACAGAGCATCAACGGAACACAAAATGAATATAGCTCAGAATATAGTGATTCCGAATACTCTACAGATTCCCGCTATAGCTCCGACATTAGTTCCCTTGAATACGATTCAGAAAACGGAGAAAGCCCTGACATTAATTACAGTAGCTATAATTTTGGAATTGACAACTGTAGTGCGTACAACGTTAGTTTGGCGATTCAGTCTGGTTGCCGCGCATACTCGGCGATGGTAGTTGCATCGGATGGGCGAGTATACAAGAATCCGCACTGCGCGTTTTGTAACGGAGTGAACTTTTCCGGGTGGGACTACGACTGTTCAATTTCTCCGGGGTGTTCCGCTGTTCTCAATACGTTTATCCTTCTTGGCAGAATAGCTATTCCTTGGGTTCCAGAACAATCTACAGACTTCGGTTTACTGAGTAATGCATATTGCTTCAACAAGCAGTACGTGATACGCGTCAAATCATCTGTCAACTTGCACGCTTCTGGGGTGAAGACCATGACTCAGTCCCGGACATCAGGAATGATGCAGTGCTACCTTATCGTCCTTAGCCAGCAGAATGTCCAATCAACATGGCCGTTTTATGTAGCATTTATTGAGGGTAAGCTGGTTTCCGTGTGGGAAGATGTCACCTCTGAAGTGACCACGTTGAATCTTGGTAACGTTACTGATTTTGAGGCCTTGCTTGATGATAGCGCGTTACCAAATAACGAGGAAAGCAGTTTCAACAAATGGGTTGTAAGGTGCGGAGTCGCCCAGGTGGAATTCGATGAAATATGCGGCTTGGTCGATGATCACATTGAGCCGTGCGAAAATTCTTTATACATAACGAATGAGGAGATGTTGAAAGCCTTTAATTTCAGTGGCATCCAGGTTGTTTATGTTGGTGGAGGGCTTCTCGTTGAGGCAAAGTGGGTGTCGTACACTCGGTCCTATCAATACCAACCACAGGTCCAGAATACCTCGGCTAAAAGCAACACTGTAAAAGTGTGTGGTGAACCTTTCTTGAACGAGGAGTGCCGAACGCCTCTTATTCAGACGACGAAGCTGGTGAGCTCAGGTGGTGCATCAGTGGTACAATACCAGAATAAATTATTCTTAGAAGGCCGTGTGGTGTACTTACCAGACGATCGGATCCTTATCTGTTCCAGCATCTTCACAACCGTGGACCCACTGTACGTGGTGAGTTGCGTGTCTTACAGCTTATCGACGGTTGCCCTTGTTGCAACTTTTACTACCTACTGTGTGTTCCCAGCCCTGCGGAATGTACCGGGTCGAGCCATTATGGGGCTGACTGCTGCTTTTTCTACGGCTCAGCTGCTGACTCTTACTGTATTACAATTCACCGAGCCCGTGGCTTTCTGTGTGACCATAGCTGCACTGTTGCACCTCCTTTGGCTGTCCACTTTCGCTTGGATGAACGTTCTCGCCTTCGACCTGGTGAGAACCTTCTCTTCTAAGCAGACATGCCGCCCTAACATGCGTGTCTTCTTGGTCTACAGTGTTTATGGCTGGGGCTTACCTCTTCTGATTGTCGCGACGTGCCTCTTGATTCACTTCGTCTGGGACCAGCAACTCGATTTTCGATACGGTGTGGGGCCGGGGGAAGATACCTGCTGGCTATCGGGACAGCACGCCATTGTAGGCGCCTTTGTTGCTCCCATTGCATGCAGCCTGGTCGCTAACGTCGTCATGTTTGGTTGGACGGTGCGTAGCGTGCATGCATCGGTTGTTGCTGGAGTTATGGTGCGTGCTGACAAATCCCGTACCAAGGAGAAAGCCAGAGAACTCTGGATCTATCTCAAAGTAAGTTTACCGTTTTCATTGGTCTATTAACCCATAAGGACCAAGCCATTTTGGGCTTACTCGAGACCGTGCCGGGAGACCTTAAGCACCTCCATCTTAATTTCCATATGCGTCTGCCGATTTTTGTGAAATTTGGGAGAAATGTTGGATGGCCGGTTATCCATAATGTGACGTCAATTGGTTGCACTGATGTGACCACAATAGGGTGCTTTATATCGGGTTTTTATTTTTGGGTCCAAAACAGTACTTTTGGTGAAATTTCTGCATTTTCATTTCAAATGACTTTAAATTTTGTTCAAATTTGTTAAAGAGATCCATTGGGTCAGTTTTCATTCAATTGAACAACTTTTAGCTCCCAAAAATACAGCTAGAGGGCGCTATACTCACAATTTGCAGAAAAGTATTTTTGTGTGATTTTGACCAAAATTGGCACTAATGAAGTAATTATGGTGATTTTACAAATTCTATATTTGTCCATACAATAAATGCCTCGAAACAAAGTCATTTGTGCAGAAAGGCCAATTAAAATTTTTTTTTTACGCAAATAACTACCATATCGAATTCCAGCTGTGCATTTTAGTTGCTCATGTTATGATTACTAAGGGAATTCAATGTGCTTTGCTGGTTTTAAACACCATGTTTAAGACTGCTTTGAAGTCTCGATGAAGGACGAGGGTCATCATCAGCGTCCAGATAGATTTAATGTATTCGCATTGATACGTACCTTTTCGGTCAGATAGTTAAAACAAGTCAAACTTATACATTGCAACTTTTTTGTTCAACAAAGTCACTTAATATTTTCGAAACACACTGATAACATGATGAATGAGATATATTCATTAACGTAAAGTAAAGACGTAAAGATATATTTATTTAACATAAAGGATGAGATGATGCTTAATTCTACTGGGAATACATTTTGTTACGGTTTTATCCATTTCGATCAATATCAGGACCAGGGCAACAATGTGCGTCTTGTCTTGTCTTGCCAACCATGGTTGTCGATCGATGGGGGAGGAAAGGACGTGTCGTTCCCCCCCCCCCTCCCCCCTCCCATTTATTTTCATACCCGAATAAACGATTGTGGAATACATTTGATTTTATAGCTCAGAATAGCTTATTCAATTACTCCAAACCCGAAAATGATGTTAAAATGGCGATCTTTTGGATAAAGTGTTCAGATATTGCCCCTAGATCGAACCACAGAGCGTCTGAAAAGTTTTGTTCGGGAGGCCATTATAGACTCTGCACTCACATTAGTTCTGATCAAGATACACATGCATGTACCATCTCCACTTTTGAGAAGCGACCGGACGCCCTTGGTGCCAACAGGTTTTTAGAGCTGGGACCTATACCAGTTTGCCCCGTCTTGATTTGTACATTGCTTAGTACTTTAATTGCACGAATTCTGTGCCGGTGCCCAGGGTGGATTAGGGCCTACGGAACGCATTGTGCCTAGTGCCTACAAAACACACTACCTGGACTTGGGTGTTATTTCGTGGTGTGGTGACGAATCATACATAATGTTGCTTTGGAGTTAACTGTCAAGTGATGGAACCATGGCAACAGTAATCGAAGTTACATTTGCACTGTTGCACAATACGGCAATACGTGTTGTTCATCTTAACACCTCACCTTTTGCCTCTTTGACAATCAATTCGGAAAACGGTGGCGTGAGAAGTTAACAAAAGGATGCATTTTTATCCCACTCTTTGCCAACCTCCCCCTCCCCCCCTTCACACACACACAAGTCTGCATTATCCTTTACGTGGTCCCTTGTGTTGTGCATTGGTTGATTCCAAATTGTTCCATCTAGTAATATGCTGTAAAATAGCAGAAGAGAAAAGGTTATTTGAGCTGCTTAATTGAGATACATGTACTCTGGATAGACGATATTTCCGTGATGCATCGGCGTAAGTACCTAGTCGACAGTTTGCTTCGCGTAGGGCGCAGTAAATTGAAATGAAGATGGCATCTGATAGGAAACCTTACTCTGGTGTTATTAAAATGAATGTCCCTATTACACATTATTACCCTGTGATTGAGAGCTTTGTACTCGCCTGAGCGTCAATGCTGATTGCTAATTTCATTATGTGCTAACGTTTCCAGAAAGTATTCGCGCTGAAACCTTAGCAAGTGTGACAGTTTATTGGTACGACGGGTAAAAGTCGTAGAATGTAATACACCATTGATGTACATGTAAAACATCTGGATATCTCGTTGGCCATTCCGAACTGTGCAAAAAGTGAAGCTACGCACTGGTTCCCGAACCCTCCATTGAAATGTTGGAAGGGCACCATCCTGAGCCTCTTACATTGTTCGAAATCATTACAAGAAAGTCATCTAAAAGTATACGTAACTCTTTTTCTAGAAAATCTCAAAGGCATACACAATTGTGGCAATAAAATTGCCGATGAATATTGCGTTCTGGAAGGATGCAAGATATGTTTTCTGGTCACCCGATGGTCGCAAAATCAATAAGTGGGGTGGGGCCGGACGACGTCTGACTCAAACCCCCTCAAGTGAAGACTGTGGTAGTGTTTAAAGACGCAAAGAACGATGGAAGAGTACCAGTGTGCAGACTGCCATAGCTCTTTGTGCCCCAATTAAGGTAAACGTAAAATAATTCATTGCATTTAATTGTTATTTAATAGCAAATTTTAAAGATCATAGCTCACTGATATTAATCATCCTTTTGTTCTTCTCTATTTATGCTCAGATTTCTGCTGTCATGGGGTTCACGTGGGTGTTCGGTTGCCTTGCCAACCGCATCAACCACGTGGTCCTCTGGTATCTTTTCGTCATCCTCAACTCTCTGCAGGGGGTCTTCATCTTTGTCTCATTCGGCTGCAACCGCCGCATCCGGGCTCTCTGGAGGGAGAAGCTGGTCGCTAAGCAACCACGCGGGACCTCCGACACCAAAACGCGGAAAACTCAGAGCGCGTCTGTGGTGTCGAAGCAAAGTGGTTCCCGTGTATAAACGAAGATAATAGGTGGATGGGATGTTCACTCTCTGCGGTTCTGCATGCACCTCTTTCCTTATTATAAGCAGCTCCTCACAAGTCTGAACAAGCCTAGTAAAGGGCAGACATTCTATTCAACGCAGTTAACAAAACAATTAGAAAATAACATTTTTTTTTCTGAATTTGTATTGAATTTGGGGTTTGGTGTTTTTTAATCGCGTGATTTCCAAACTACGTTTCCCGTTTTAATCACACCTCGAACTTATCTATAAATCACATGAACAAAGTAACGCGATCCCCGAAGGTTATAGTAACTAGTGTAAATAACTTTTATAATGACCACTTACTCACTTTACCGAATAGCAGGTTTTCAACTCGTAAATGTGTGGTGTTTAGGATAGAAGATCATTTCGCTTTCGAAACACCAATATTTGTAACTTAACAGGCACCATTGAATCACTGGTAAAAATCACCTTATTGTCACTGAATAATCATCTATGCATGTAACTGCTCTATATAACGTGTTAAATTGTTGTATATAACAGGTTATTATTTCTATTTTAAAACATAAATAGATTGTTTGGTACAGTTACCATCAATTCACTGGTGAAGATCACGTTAATATTAAATTTGAGGCTTTGCATGGTGGAGTTTCGGTATCGTTTCGGTTTGCGGTAATACCATGTGGTAATAACTACTACTTAGAAGATATTTAGTTTTGGAAAAAACTTGTCCTGCTTATGATCAAATTTCGCTAAGTAGTTTTTGTTCTGATAAGAACAGTCCTACTTTAAGTTCTAAAGGAACTTGTCTTTGGTCTCAACATTTTGACTAGTCTGCTCTACTCATCGTCAGGAGACTGAAGATAGTTGGAAATACTACTCCTAAATAGGATGTGTTAGGCTTGTATTGGTGGATTCTGATTGGTTGTCCGTTGGGCATTGTGTTCGAGAGGGATGCCCTACTCTTTGAAGACTGTGAACTAACAGGCAATCATAACACTTTGTGTAACCAATTGATCGAATTTAATATACTTGTGATAACAATGGATCTGGTCTTTGTTGTGGGACGGGGTGATGCCGAGGGAAATACATCTAGTTTTTAAACCGATTGCGATGCCACTTTGAACAAGTCGAGGAAGTCCAGCCCACATTCAAAATGCACAAGAATTCGTTCGGAAACAGCCTTTAATAATATGCCTCGTCGCCTCACGAAAAAACATGTGAGCGACATTGCTTGCAAATACAAGCTTGCCGGGCATGCCGGGCAAAATGCCTCTCAATTTTAACTAACAAATTAAATTTGAACTTTCCACAACAAGAATGCATATAGGCGAAATGTATCTCGGTTTGATTTTTTAGAATGAAATTTTTCATTATAAGCAGGTTTTGGGGACTGCAGCATACATTTTTGTAAAAAAAAAATGTTTTGCACGTTGGCTTGCTAGAACACTCACCCATAATTTGATGACATTACCCATAATTTATGCCTGGATTGTGTAACCAATTTATCGAATTTAATATGCAAAGATCATTATTATGACATCTTGGGGCGTAATTAAAAGACCATTATGTGGGTCACGTGAGGGGCCGTGTGCGATTTAACAAAGGCTGGCTGCATTGATGACGGATAATTAGCTGGATAACCTTTAATATACAAAAACATGTCATTGAAATTATTTATTTTTGGTGAAAGGTAATGATCGCATGTCTATTTAGCATAATGTGTGATACCTCGTACACGACTTGTACATGTTCAACAACCAGGTAGCATATGTTTACAAAACACAATAATATTGAACTGAAAATTAACGGTAGATTGAATTAAGTAAGAGGTCGTACACATGTAAGTGCACTCTCTAAATGTATGTATTATGAATTTATGAGATTAAAAAAAGTCACGTACGTATGCGCGCACATAAGTGCTCCCTACTGGTGCATGTAAATGGTGCATGTACATGTAAATGGTACATTAGTGTTTAAATTTATGTAATCTAATTATGCTTTGAATTTAAACTTTAAGAGTGGAAACACAATTGTGTTCCAGTTAAAATATATTATGTGAAAAGTAATTTGTTTTTAAAGACTACGTTTAAGGTGATCTTTGACGGAATAACATTCATTTAAAGTGTTATAAGATTCAACGGCCGATCCAGGGGGCGGGTCCAAAGGGGGCAATGGTCCCCCCTAAAAAGAAGACCCTTTTTCGCTAAGTAATCGCAAAACAAAGTAGCCACTGCGTACAGAACTATCTTTTCCTTTAAAAAAAATGGTAAAAGTGGTCAAAAATTGCCTCAGATCGCCCCAAAGTGCATCTAGAATCCAAAAGATTTCCGGGGCCCTTAAGTGGGCCCAAGACCCCACGCCAAAACAAAATATTTGTGTTTTGGATCCATCTTTGATTACATTTATTTCAAATTGAAACAGAAACTTTAACAATGATGAAGTCTTTAAAGTATAGTTGTAAGATTAAGTTAGATTAAGTAAGATTAATAAAGTCACGTAAGTACGCTAGAGTTAAAGCAGTGCATGGAGCAGGTTCATTCATGTGCAAATTTAGGTGAGCTAATTACATGTTATGCTATGAATAGTATAGGTGGCGCTATTCCGGGACGTTAAACTTCAAATCAACAACCACTGGTGGGAAACAGAAATTCGGGAAAAATAAAAAAACATTAAGTGAAAAAAGCACTTTATGTTATAAAACCTTGTTCTTGTAGCAGCTTATGCGACTGTGTTTTTCTGTAGTTTTCTACGCTTCAAGTAGGTGGGGTTGAGAGGACTGGGGTGGAGGCGACGACTTTTGTTTTATGGGGCGTGCCCCCCCCCTCCCCCCCCCCCCCCCCCCACACACACACACACACCCATACTTGTTTCACATGACTAGTGTGGACTTTCCATTGCTTTCGTGTAGTTAAGAAAAACCAGTGAAAAAACTCATTTTTCTCAAACTGTGAAAACTCTTTCAACCCAATTTTTTTTCTATGATTCCCTTTAGTGTTTCTCTTCATTCTGCTACAGATAAACCTAACCCAAAAATGCCTCTAAACCTGTTTTCCAGAAATGGGGAAACACTGTGTGGACGTGGGCAAGTCCACACAACGTCGGTGCTACCTACATTATGTGGACGTCTTTTGTTCGGAAGTCCACACTGCGTATGTAAGACAAGCTCACACCCACCCACAGACTCACACAAACCCACTAGCTGGTCGCGCCGCTGGCTTAATGGAATATACTGTTATTATTTGTCATTCTGGAATTACACAAATCAATGAAGAAGAGGCTTGTAGAATATTTGTCCTAACTATCATTCAAATGATGCTGCCCTTCAACTCCTTCATCTTATTTCGTTATCATCTTAGGACACAGTGTCAGACAAACAACCACCGTAACTATGTCCATGACACTGTCTAAAATGTGCTGTTTCGTTGGTTAAATTTCTCTTTAATTACTAATAAAAGTGAAAATATTCCTTTCACTTTTTGGGGGCTAGAAGCCGGCATTGCGTGTTTATAAGTAAATCAAATTTGCTAGTGTTTACAACTCGAAGGCGACATTTTTTGTTGTTTTTGTTCGGAAGCAGGGGTCATCAAAAGTGGAACTTGTGGGCATTTTTCTTTCGAACACCCCCAACCCCAGTGTACGGGCCTGAAACGGATTCATGAAGAATTACGAAGGTCGTTCACCTACATCTCCAATCAAATTATTGGGGATGTGGGACAGGCAAGACGTATATCGACCAATATAACAGTGGCGTAGCCAGGAACTTTTCAGTGGGGGGGGGGGGGGGGGCTTGAACATTGCATGGGGGGGGGGGGGGCGTCATGTAGATCAATGGTAATTTTTTAGAAACTCAAAATCTCAGTGGGGGGGGGGGGCGACTGGGGGGGGCGACAAGGTTTCATGGCGGGGGGGGGGGGGGCTGTCGCCCCCCGCCCAACGCCCCCCGTGGCTACGCCACTGAATATAGATATGAGAAGCACGAGGCTGTTGCCTGTCCACAAGCACACCTGTGCTATACGTTTACGATGGTCTCTGGTCCGGGCGCTCTTATGAATACGGTACAGCTAGTAAAGCAAATGCAGCGCCAAAAAAAGTCCGATATATGGAAGTTGGTAAATATACATAACTTTTTATTTACTTACCCCCATTTTTTTTTCAATACTCAAACATTCATTTATGGAGAATGACAATGTTCCACCTACAAAACTGTAAAACGACAAAATGGTCAATGGTTTGTTAACTGTTTTTGTTTGTGAGGAAATCCAAAACGCTAAAACGAAATAACGGTATGTCCAGGGACAGTGCCCCCTTTGAAAATTGGTGCCCCCCGGTGCGCCCCCCCCCCCCCACCTCCCCAGCAGCTTAACACTATACACCGCTCGGCGGAACATTCTGCAAACTATTTACAGTCGTGGTTGCTTATTTACCTTAGTCTTGTGACAAGGCTAACCAGACAGGTCCGGGTGCATTATAGAATCAAACGATCAATACCGGATTTCTTAATTTGTCTATTAATTTCCCAGTTTGAAAAAAAAAAACTGAGTGTACCCAGGTACACCTACCTCGCAGATTTTAAGCATTTGGACTTTTGGACAGAAAGTTTATTTAATTAAATAGATTGTATCCGGCATGGGAAGAACCCTGTATTCAAAGGCTTAATACTGCCAATCCAACAGGTTAACAGGGTCAATCATCGCACAATTGCACCTTACAGCTGATCAAATAAAGGCGCCTTTATATTTGATCAGCTAAACGCGCATTCTTCATTTACAGATTCATCGGGAAGGTTCTCAGACTTAATGTTTAATCTCTCGAAACCCTTAGGTCCGAAAAATGATTTAAAGATCCACCTTAACGATTATACCTAATAGATCAATCATTCGGCAAACTGAAAACAACAAGTAAAACACAGAAAAAAAAAGCGAATCAAGAAGGATTTCGCGGGTTGTTCGCTTAAATCCCCAATCAAATGATAGGAGAGGTGTCGATTACAACCAAAACGTGTTTAAAAACAACCAATAAGATATGCACGAGGCTGTTGGCTGTCCTCACATAGACGTGTGTTATGAGGTCTTGTCTCTGGTCCAGGCTGTCTCACAACATTTACGGTGCGGTAAGGTTAACGCAACGAATGACTTTGCGCGGGCAAAAATTAATCCAAGTGCGGTGAACTAATGTTAACGTTCACATACGTAGCTTTTTAAGTTACGAAATATTTTTCAATGCGAACGTCGCTATTTACGGTATTTCTAGCCGCACTTAGTCCCGAGATGCAACATTGCCGGAGGGCATCCTCCTCTAAAAAAAAAAAAACCCTCGAATACTTTTTTTCCTGATATTCTGCCTCAAAATGCCTGTTTTATTGTCTCTACAGCTTGTGTCGCAGGCCTATATTGGAATGCTGTCTCAGCTTGGACTTTAAGCTTTGCGTGTCACACCTTTTCATAGGCTGCATTATATTTGAGTTTGTCCTCTGTATAACCCGGACCTTGCCTCCCCTGAACGCTTGATGAACGTGACGGATATGGATTGGAAATGTGTTAAACGTATTAAATAACAACATCAATGGATCTTTAGAACGCTGGTGCAAGCTCGTATACAAGCACGGAAGCCGAGTAGTGCCATTGGGGTGAGTAAGATTGTATCTTGTCCCCTGTTCCCCACGACCTACAGCTGGCGACTTCAGCGCTAGTGGCGTAGCCACCAGGGGGCGTGGGGGGCGACAGCCCCCCCCCCCCAGTCGCCCCCCCCCCCCACTGAGATTTTGAGTTTCTAAAAAAATTATCATTGATCTACATGACGCCCCCCCCCCCATGAAATGTTCCAGCCCCCCAGCGCCCCCCCCCCCCCCCCCCCCCCCCACTGAATAATTCCTGGCTACGCCACTGTTCAGCACTAACTATGAAAAAGTGCCAACCACATAAACAGTTTCGATTCTAACTATGTTGTCTTTCACAAGTTTCCCATCTGGTTTAGCTTATCTTGCAATGCATTGGGTTGCAGTCTAAGTGCGTGTGTTCAACAGTTTCTAATGTGACATCTGAGATTTAGCTGGTACCCCGTAAAACCTGGCACACACATGGTGAATAAATTGCCAATGGGAATTTTGTGCACAAGCGCTATTGGAACGCTAACAGTGACTTATTGTTTTCTAACACTCTTCTTCTGCGGCAACGATCGGCATCCGTACATATGCAACGGGTCACCCTTTTTTTATTTAGGACAAAACAAATTCTAAAATATCTGTTGAAAGGTTGCTCCATTGTCTTCCCCTTATACAAAAGCCCGTGAGCAGGGGAAATCGTCAAAAGTGCAGCGTTTGGCGGGCGCTGAGGACGTTGATCTGTTTTGCGACTATAAGCAGACGGCTTACTTACCATTTTGACAAGATCTGGGCAAATAGTTGGGTTGGTCCGCGAAGATGCGTCGTCGACGTAGAGCGACTGAGATGCTGCTAGCTGCATTGTCTATAGCTGCAGTCATAGTCCCATCCTCGGATGCTCAAGGTACCACATTGTATTTTCCCTCTCCCCTCAATTAAACAAATATAATGTGATGTCCCCTAACGTGGCGCACGTTGATTTTTTTCTCGCACTAGTGTTACTTGTTATGGCCATTTATCTTACATTTTACAATGAATTAAATTTCAATAAGCTCCATACATTCATAAACCTTTGAGACTATGTACGTCACTAACTTTAGAAAAAATATTTAAATGGGCGTGATTTTTTGAGTTTATTTTAAAATCGGAAGTGAACGTTTAAGATAGTTGAGTGGAGATAATGATGCCTTGTCGAAATTTGTCAACGTTAAAGACATATTTTGAAATGTTCAAATGTTTAAGTGCGCAAAATATTTTTATCGAGAAGTAGAGCTTGGCTAGAATGGTCCAGGGGTTAGTGTTAACTCTGTATAACATTGTTGCTCTTAAATAGTTATGTTATATCTGAAGGAATGTATATAACTTTTTAAAGGTTTTTAATGCCTATCTTTTAAACCTGAAATCATTATTTAATTGTACCGCAATCCGGCCGTTTGTTCGCCAGAGTTAAATAGATATAATACTAATAATCATGATGCCTTTATATATTTAAACCTCTCAGGAAATGTAACGTCTCCCTTATTCTGATATGAACACTGGGGGATTTCTGAGTATAGTTTTTTTGTTCTTTTGTAAGTGGCTCACGTACGTCAGGGAACATTTTCTCGATTTTGTGCCCATTTTACCACCTATTACGTTCGGGCTTAATTTCAAGACACGTTTGTTTTTACAAGGGTTCAACAGCAAGCTTTTTTGAGGTTACAGAATCAGAAGGGGTTTTGGCGACACTGCATAAATAAATTCGTAGGAAACGTGAAGTGCGCTACGTTGTGGGACTCCCGACGTCTACAGAATTCAAATTTGTATTCTTTCCATTCCCTCATTTTGAAACACCAACTTGCCCCACGATTTGTATATAAAAGATCAAGGCTGCCTAAATAATGTGTCGACGCAGATGAGCCGCAGATCCATTGTTTAAATTCGCCGTGAGTACAGGGGCTGCATACCAATATTCCCCAGTCCCTATTGTCCCCATGTAGTCCCTAAATGTTCCCTGTCCTTAATGATAGGGTTATAGGTTTCGGATTGGGGACCGGGTAACATAGGGACTGGGGTCTGGGGAACATAAGTACGCACCCGTCCCTATGTTCCCCAGTCCCTATGTTCCCCAGTCCCTATATGTTACCCAATTGCTATGTTCCCCAGTTCTTAGTGATAGGGTTAGGATTGGGGACCGGGTAACACAGGGACGGGGTCAGGGGAACATAGGTACGCACCCATCCCTATGCTCCCCAGTCCCTATGTTTCATCAGTTCCTATGTTAATGACTGTGGAACATAGGGACTGGGGAACATTGAACTGGGGAACACAGTTGCGTGAAGATACGGTTTCCAAACGGGATAAAATAACTTTCAAAATTTTTGCCCACCAACGTGAACATGTCCTGCATGTAGTTTTCATTTTAAAAATGCCAAGTTTTTTGGGGATCACCAATTTCACTACTGTGTTACAGCGTCAAAGTACGCTATCGGATTAGCTTTGCTTAGGAACCGGCACGCTTTCGCGATCGCAACCACACGGCTGTAAATGTCGAGTTGGTGGAAGCTCCATAGCACGAGTATAATTATTTTTGGAAAACTAGCTCTGAAAACGCTCAGAAGCAACACAAGATTTGGAAAGTTTTAGAAAAAGGTCTTACCTCTTTCGAGCCAAGGTTTTAACATAAAAGTGGTCATGGTCCAAGATGATTTTAAAAGCCTTTTTGTAGACCGCTTTGATCCGAGAAGTTTCGTTTCAACACGCATGCAAAAGACCTTTTTTTCCCTGGTTACAGAAATACGTATTAGTCTGTTTGCAGTACATACATAATTAAGACACATAAATAAGGCAGGTATGGACCCTTAAAATAAGGAAAAACGTTTCTTTTTGTTTTGTGTGTGACACTAATGATACGTTTTCCCGTCAAGTTCGTCAACTTGCCATCAGCTATTTTAACGCGAGATGCATGCACATGTGCTGACAGTGTCTACATTTTGGGGTTTTGTTGGGTTTTTTTTTGTGAAAGGTGAGACCGATTTTCAGAGTACACCCTGTACGGGTCCACCCGATGTTGGCTAGTCCCTATGTTCCCCAGCCCCTATGCAGCCGTGTGGTTGCGAAGGGCGAATTTTAAAGTTCACGCGACAAGCCACCTACATACTTTTCAGCAAAGATCCTATAGCGTCAAAGGGGGCTATATGGTTTACCGATTTCGGCCCGGTAACACAATGACAAAGCACATAATATCATATTCATTAGCATCACTCGGCGTGACTTGGCGTGGGTCTCGGTATCGACCAATGGAAGCCGGTAAAAAGTGTGATATTTACTCATTAATAACTCTTGAAGGGTTTTGATTTTTGAACCGAAAAGATTTTTTTTTTTTTAGCGGAAAGATAAACACTCTGTTTCAGACCGGTTGGAGTCTGGAATCCTGATAATAACCCTCGGTTTCTTCTCATTTAATGATCACCCATCCAGACTCTGTCTGGTCTTCAACTGGGTTTTTAAAACCTCCCAACACACAAATTTTATTCCTTTATTCATAACAAGTCAAGTCCTAAGGTCAACAGTGTCGAGTCGATTAATGTTGAGTTACTTTGCTGTTAAAGTTTAAACGAGCCATTCCTTTTAGTATAGTGCCTAGGTTATGGCCTCATATCTCCACGGTAAGGAGAGACGCGGTTATTTGTTTGCGCGGGCTCGAGATAAAACATGGCATTTGCAGGCACACGCAAGATCGTAGAGCAGCACCAGTGTCTAGTTTTCTATATTGCCCTCTTTTTGAATAGGTCCCCCTCTTTACCAGTGCCTAGCTACTTTGACATGTATAGTCCCTATGTTGTCATATCTCCATGGTAACGAGAGATGCGGTTTTTTGTTCTCGCGGGCTTGAGATAAAACATGGAATTTTCAGGCACACGCGACAGCAGCACCAATGTTTAGGCTTATGTATTGCCGTCTTTTGAATCAGGGCCCACTCTTGACCAGTGCCTAGCTACTGGGAAATTATGTGGTAGGCCCTATGTTTTCATGTAATAAAAGACGCGGGCTTTTATGTGCGCAGGCTCGAGACAAAAGCATTGGTTTTACAGGCACACACAATAGTAGGGCCGTTGTCTAGGTTCCTTTAAAAGACACTCATGCGTCATACGTGTGGTTCACTAGTACAGGCATGTGCATGAAATCCTGGATGATAATGGTGCGTTTGTTTAGCTAACCAGGGTCGACATGGGTCTGACGATTAGCTCTGACGTCTTTCTCGGTGCTCACCCGGGTCAGCCACCACAGACCCTGCTCGTGGAGCAGAGACACTTGTAGTCTAGGCGATGTTTCAAAAAAAGGCTCATTTAAGGCAAGAGAAGAGACCGTTTTTAGAAGAAGTTGGTAACATAGCTATTTTATCTATTCATTTGGAGATGCTGAATTCGTAAATGATGGTTACTAAGCTAGATTTCAGTGGGAAAATGCCTAATTTGCATAAATCTTTAATACGTGTCGTGTAATATATTTGTTTCCATATTTGGTTATATTTTTGGTTATTTTATTTTTTAAAAGTTTATTTTTGGTGATTATACGTACACTTCCTTACTTCAAATAACATGTTCCAAAGCATATACGTGACTGAATAATTATGAGGGCATAGAAACAATCCAAAATGGCTGCTATTATACCCTAAGGCTGTGCACATTTACTTTTCCTCAGATATTATCAATTAGTCTCGCCAAAAGTCATTTTTGATAATAATAATAATTATAATAATAATAATTTGGGAGGCTTACCATCCTTACTCGCAGCTGGATGTGGCTGCCGGCCACATCGACCCATATTGACCACGGAGCACAGCCTGAGATCGAAAGTGTCTGATTTTTCCGGAGGGAGGAAAACCGGAGGGCCAGTAGAAAAAAAAACCTCGTGGCACAGGAGAGAACCAACTCACAACTCTACTCACATGCGATCCGCGGCCAGGATTCGAACCGTGGTCACCTTGGTGAGAGGCGAGCGCTTTACGTACAAGCCACCCATGCCACCCTAGCTTCAAATTCACAAAGTTACGTACTAGCACAGTTACCCTTACAAAAATACAAGAGACATTAGGTCAAAATGATAACATCTTGATATTTAGGCAAAAAAAGGAAAACAGGGGGGAATGAGGTGTCCGTAAATTGGGCAAAACATTTCGCAAAAGGTTGCCTAATATGGGGGACTTAAACAAATTCAAGGAACCCCCCCCCCAATAAAAGATTATTGTTGCTGACAACAATTGTGTCAACGACAAAACTTTTTCTTACCAATATTTTTTGAAATGCCCTTTAACTTGTTCAAGTCTTCCACGTCAGGCAACCCTTCATCTACTTTTAAGCCCTATCTACAGACACCCTGTTTCCCCCTTTTATATCACAATGTTATCTTTGTTCACATGATTTTACCATAAAGGTTGTTAATAGGGTAATCAACATGGTGAATTTGAAGTTCATCGATACTGAGGTTTGGCAAGACTACTTGATGATATCTGGGGACAAAGTAAATGCGGTAAACTTTAGGGTGTAATTGTGGCCATTTTGGATTGTTAGTCATTTTGGATGTCCTCATAATTATTCATTCACTTGTATTATTTACAAAATGTAGTTGAAGTAAGGAAGTATAAGTAGAATCACCAAAACAAACTTTTCAAAAAATAAAATAATAAAATAAGATACCCACATTATGGGAACAAAATATATAAAAACGACAGGTGTTAAAGAATTATGCAAATTAGGCATATATAAACTACAAATCCAACCTCGTAAGCATCATTTTCGGATTCATCACTCCGAACCAACTTCTATTCTTCCTTTGGAGATATTGGTTGGCCGTGGTATCGCTCTCTCGCGGAGGGGCGGCGGGTTACCATGCCAAGTAGCCCCTAGACCAGATTCTCTTCTGCGTCACGAGGATTTTGTATGTTCCGGCTTTTCGTCCTCCGCCGAAACTCAACTTTTTGGAACTGTGGTCAGACTACATGTTCAGTGGTCAGACCTGAATCACATGACATCAGGTCGACCACCTAGTAGCAACGTATTTAGCCACCCTCCCCCAATAATTTACCTATAATTGTGTACGTAAATACAATTCAATTAAGTTTTGAATAGCTTTTCAACAATATGCCATGGTGCAATTTTGTGACTATAAGTCAAAGGGCTATGGAATCTTGCTGATTCACTCATGTGTACGAATGGTAATATTGCTCTGTGTATACGACGTATATGGGAAAATTTATTTTTCACGGTGCTTAGCCTGATTTTTAATGTTTTTGGTATCAAAAGATGCGCAAGGCTCGAGGCTAAAAATTCATAACAGCTCGGGTCGCAAACTCTTTCTTTTTCAAAGCTATCGCGGAAAAAAGTTGAGGGGGGCGGGATTCCGCCCCGGCCCTTTTAAGGTTAAAAGAACATGTGAATTCATTTGTTTTTCATTAATGACTGACCAGTGTTATGTTGTACGTAATGAAAAGTGGTTTTATTCTGTATTGTACTGATGTATCCGTTTTTGTCGAGCAGGTTATTCGTGAAATCCATCGGCTCATTTCCCCTTTTCATCACACAACAAACGGAACCGCAGCACGTAAAAAAAATGCTTTCTTACTGCAAAGGCATGTGTATAACACACTGTATTTTACTTTCATTTGCAGAAATCCAAAATTTAACCATCGCAGGAAATGCATCAACACGAATAATTTCACCCAACTTCCCGTTCACGTATCCAAACAATGCCGACAAGACGTGGATCATCCGTACTGAGGAGAATCACAAGATTGCCATCACCTTCGTTGAGTTTAGGGTCGATACTTGGCGTGGCGGCGACTACATCCAGACTGGCGACGGTACAAATGTTACTGCGAACCAGTTCTTCGAGGAGAATGGGTTTACGCTCCCGCCCAACCTGCTGTCCAATGGGAATGAGATGTGGATGCGATTCATCACCGACTACCAGCGGGGTGCTTCTGGGTTTATGCTGGCGGCTTCCAGTGTTCCCTCGACAGGTAGGCCCATGCAATATGTGCGTCTGTTGATCACACTACTCCTCTTTGTGCGGAAGGAGTACATTGATGTTCTAATTTAATTGTGTTCCAGAGCTTAAATACATTTCTAAACACATGCAATAACTATTACCCAATATTAGAGCCGAACAATGTTTTTAGATTTGTGGATGATTGTGGCATGTTATGCATGTTATCTAGTATAAAGAATACTTTGCAACATTTAACGTCATTAAGATGAAAAATGGGTACAAAAGTGTTTGAAGGGATACTGCGTCCTGCAATGAACCCAATTGGACTACAAAACGCATAGGATATAAACATCCACACAACTTTCCTTTAAAAACTGGGCGTTGTTGTTTTTATTCTTGGGTTGTGCGTGCGCGAACGACTTTCGGGGTCCACTTTTGCAACCCAGAAAAAGTCGGGCTGTTCATAAAGTGCACGCCTTTTGCGGACTTGTAAGAAACCACATTTTAGTGCATTGGTGCTGTGTGTAATTACCATTGGTGCTGCAAGTACGATACAAAACGTGTAACGTACATAACCTGAAACGACATGAAGAACGTGTTCGCACCGGTTTTTTGTTTCGTCTTTTTTCGGGAGCGGTAAGACATAAGGTTGGTTTCCTTTCAACCAGATGTTTGAAAAGGGATAGGTAAACAATCCAAATATAAAAATTTCGTGGATTTCAGGATGCAGTGCCCCTTTAAATTATAGTTATATATCAGTGATAATTATAGTTATAGTAAAAATTTTGCTAAAACATGTCTGTGGAAACCACATTTTGGAGGACAACTCAAGTTGTTAACAAAAGTTTCCCAAGCAACCTTATTGATATTGTATGATGCATGTTTTTTTATCCCCGTTTGGTCAGTTCGTTCTTTTTGACAAGAGTCCATTTTTTAATTGTTGCCCAATCGCACAAACTCAAACTATGTATTTGTAATACGGGAAAATTTGAAATGATTTTTTTTATTGCATTTTCAGGTTTACTACTTTTTCAAAAGTCATAAAAGCCAAATAATTATGTGAGGCAATTTCCACCTGTGAAGAAAAAAAAATGTCTGGCATGTTCTAAAACTGTAAAAAATATATATATATATATATATATGAAAACCCGGCTGTACTTTTCAAAATAGTTCTGTGAATGCACTGCCCCTGTCATTGACCTTCCCACGTTTTTAGGTTTTCTTTCTCGTTGTGTTTTTCAGAAATGTTGACCTGTTCTCGTACTGAATTTGACTGTGGACAGTACTGCATCCGTGGCACCCTGCAGTGTGACCGTGTAAATGACTGCTTTGAAGGAACGGATGAACTAAATTGCGGTAATGAAGAGTCAGATAATGTAAACGTAAAGATTTCATGACATCAATTTTGCACTAAAAAATATTGTGTGCAAATTTGTCATTCTTGTGATATGAAAACTGTTTCGACATCACTTTTTGTTCAACTTTGTGCTCTTTAAAATGTTCCATACATTTTCTTTGTACTGAGAAAGCTACTGATGTGACGTCATTTCCGGCACCTACTTTTCGGTTTAGTTTTTTTTCTGTTCAAATACTATTGTGAACCCCCACATTTTTCATTGCAAACATTGTGTTTGTAAATTTTGCTCATAGACTTACTGTCATATAGTGAAACAACAATAATTCACCTTTTACAGCAAATTTACAACGGTAACCATTTAAACTTTGTATAAGTATAAAGCTAAAAATGCACCAAAAAACGCATTTTAAGCAATAAAATAAAGATTGAAGAATTCATTATCGAAATGTGAGTTTGTAATCAGAGGGTGGATGAACAAAATCTGAAAGTACTGGATAACATGGGTGACGCGGGGGGGGGGGACAAGGGGCGCAAGCCAAAAAAAAAGAGAAAAAAGGGACCAAAACAAAGAAAAAAAGAGATACGAGGTCATATTGTTGTTTATTTATTGGGTGGGGGGCAAGGGTGAGGGGGGGGGGGGAAATGTCCCTGCCCACCCTGGAAAACATGATCAATCGGGGAAATGCTGGAAAATGTAAGGATTTGGGGGAATTTTTGTTCCCCCCCTCTAGAAAAACTCCTGACGACGCCCATGCTGGATAATTATGCAAACAAATATTATTTGGACGCTGTCATTGTACTAGCATCTAAAAGAATGATTTATCGGTTTTCTAAGGATAGCTTACTTGCACCCTTCAGTCAAAGGTAATTTTAAAATATTTAGGTGAAACAAACTTTCTCCAAGTTTGGCTGACCTGTAGTACTGGTGGCTTTCATAATTGAACTCATACTGTAAGTTCAGAATGTTTACCTATTAAAATCCATTTATTTTTTGGATTAACTGTTTCGTTGTCCTGTACATATAAGCTTTAAGACAACTAGGTTTCATATATTTTTCACAGAGGAAGAGGTTTGCTATTAATAAGTGGGGAAAAAGAGATTTTTCTGTACACTATTGTGATTTCTTTTTGTCTGCAAGAAGGAGAAAAGCGAAAATTGTGCTCAAACACATGTGCACACAAGATTTATAAGCGAGCTATTACTAATATGTTTAAATTTTAATACACAGACGAGGACCGCATCGTCTACATTGGAGGATCCGAAACAGCTGAGCTTGCTTCGACTAGATACCCGAGCTCGTACGTCAATGACATCCAGATAACGTGGATCATCCGAACCGAAGAAGCTCGCAAGATCAGCATTTCCTTTACCCAGTTTTATACCCAGTATTTGAATGACGTCTTCCAGGCCGGTGATGGCAACAATAGCACCCACAATGTGTTCTTCCAGTGGAGTGGGAGCAGAAATCCGCCCGATCTGCTGTCAGCTGGAAATACCATGTGGCTTCGGTTCACTGCTGACAAAAGTTACCAATATCAAGGGTTTCTACTTACAGCACGCAGCGTACCTGCCTCTGGTAAGCCATAATGCAATATTATTGTAACAAAAGAAATCAATTAAGATGTATGATCTGACCTTTTGAGGCAGCTCTTTACACGGTATTGCTCGTTGGAAAAAAAAAGTTAAAATGAAATGAATTTTTCGTAATAACACACAGTTTGTGCAACGTTTTTGGTTAGGCCTAATTGTATTCAAAAGTGCACTTCTTTAAACATTTAATATTGTCCCTGCTGTTCCGGACAACTGAGGGCGCTGTTGCTGTGATGTCATTTCAGGAACACTCTGTTCAGTCTAGACGTTTTCTGTTCAAATGTGAAGCAAAACATCTGCTCATTTAAACATGTGTGAGAAGAGTTTGCTCATTGGCCTATTGCCATGTACTGACGCCGAATCACCAAAGAAAAGAACATTTACAACAGCAAAATATCAAAAATCCTGGTAACCTTTTTGTGCTGGAGTAGCTTTAACATGTAGGTTTCTGATATGACATCACTTTTTTGCTCAAGAATGTAGACATTTACATTAGCATAAAAAGGCACCAAAATACCCTTGAAAATGGTAAAATGAACTTAAAATAAGGTTAAATGTGACACAAAGGTGCATTTTTTTGGGATTGTATTGGTCCTTTAAACATGCATAGGGTGATTGTTCCTTTTAAAAGCCTAGGTATATGGGGGGGGGGGTCTGTGAGCCGAGTGTATATGATGGCCGGTGTGCCTACAATTATGTGCACAGTCCCACAATTCAGAATGTCCATTATTTGTGCGCAATTTGAACGATAAAACAACATGAATACGAAGATAGCTCCTTTACTGGACAGAAACCACTTGATCACGTATACACTTGATGTGTTTAGGTCATTGGAGGGTTGTTCCTTTCTCCATGGTTCAGGCAGATCTAACGTCATTCAGTCGAGTGAATTGTTTTCTGTTGGTGGTGGGCATTCATCCAATAATAGACTGCCCGAAGGAGATTAAAACTTGAGATACTGAGAGGGCAAGCGAGCTGAGAAGGGAACGATAAGAGTCCTCTTAAGTGCAGTAAACTCAGACGGTGAGGCATTTTGCCAAGTTTCATATGAGCCTAGCATTTTGAAATGTGTACACAACGATTCTGTCACTAAAATGTATCCTTTCATTTCACCCATTTGTCCTAGACAATTTGACATGTTCCCCTTACCAGTTTGACTGTGGGCATTATGTGTGTATCGCCTCTTCCTGGCAGTGTGATGACGTGTCAGACTGTTTTGATGGACGCGATGAACTAGGCTGTGGTAAAACCCCGATTAATATTTTAATGGAATTCATCAATGAGCAGGATTGTTATTAACTGTTTAACTAGTAGCCTCGTCAGTGTGGCTAAAATACTGAGCTTTTTCTGCATCGAGCCACACAGCAGTGATAGTAACATGTGAGGGAAAAGTTGTTCTGAGGAAATCATTCGGGAAAATGCTGTAAAATAAAGGGATTTTTGGGGGAAAAAAAATAATTGTCTTTGCCCCATCTAGCAAAATCCAGGTTACGCCCATGCTGGACTACTATGTATACAAATAGTATTTGGACGCTGTCGTAGTACTGGCATCTAAAAGAGTGATTTATCGATTTTCTATGCATAGCTTATTTGCATCCTTTAGGCCAAAAAAAAAAGTCTCCGGTTTCTGGTATGCGCGCGCGTCGCCGTAGCCATGCGCGTCGGCAAAATGAAAAAAAAAAATTCAATGAAAGATGATGTCTCAAAACCGCCAAACTCACTGGTTTGACTGGAATCCTGCTGCTGCACAATTTTAACGTGTTTTTAGATGGGGTTATGATCGAGAATAAGCTTTATGTGGCCTCTCTGGTCTCCCATAATATTTGCACTAATTTTAGTCGGGCACCATTTGCAGTCATAAGCCGACATTTGAAGCAAAAAAAAACAGGTAAAAAAAAAGCCGCGTCGCCGCACCACTTTTTGGGCAAGCTCCATACCAAAAACCGGATACTTTTTTTTTGGCCTTTGTCAATGGTGATTTAAATCATTTAGGTGAAACAAATTTTCTCCAAGTTGGGCTGACCTATAGTGGTGGCTTTCATAATTGAGCTCACACTGTAAACACACTGACAGTGCACAAGATCAGAATGTTTACTTACTAAAATCCATTATTTTGGATTAACTTTTTGTTGTCCTGTACATATAAGCTAAAAAAAACTAGGTTTCGAATATTATTCACAAAGGAAGAGGTTTGCTATAAATAGTGGGAATTATTTTCTGTACACTTGGTGATTTAGTTTTGTTCGCAAGCAGGAGAAGAGCGAAAATTGCACTCAAACTAATGTGCACACAAGATCTTAAAGCAAGCTATTACTAATATATTTGAATTTTAATACCCAGACGAGGACCGTCTCGTTTACATTGGAGCATCCGAAACAGCTGAGCTTGCCTCGACTGGATACCCCAGCGCGTACGACAATGACATCCAGATAACGTGGATCATCCGAACCGAAGAAGCTCGCAAGATCCGCATTTCCTTTAGCCGGTTTTCTACCGAGTATTGGTATGATGTCTTGCAGGCCGGTGATGGCAACAATAGCACCCACAATGTGTTTTTCCAGTGGAGTGGGTACAGAAACCCGCCCGATCTGCTGTCAGCTGGTAATACCATGTGGCTTCGGTTCACTGCCGATGAAAATAATAGATATTCAGGGTTTCTGCTGACAGCACGCAGCGTACCTGCCTCTGGTAAGCCATAAGGCAAACAAAAATCAATAAAGATGTATGATCTGATGAAATGTTCAAATGAAATGAATTTTTGTAGGAACACATTTTGTGCAACTTTGTTGGTTATTCTTTAACCATTTAATATTATCCTTGCTTTTCCGGACAACTGGGGCGCTGTTGCTGTGATGTCATTTCAGGAAAGCCAGCTAAGAGCGGCGCGCTTAAAAGGAATGACAAGAGTCCTCATCAGTGCATTAAAACCAGCCGGTGTTTGTTTTTTTTGCCAAGTTTCATATGAGCCTAGCATTTTGAAATGTGTACACGACGATTCTGTCACTAAAATGTATCCTTTCATTTCACCCATTTGTCCTAGACAATTTGACATGTTCCCCTTACCAGTTTGACTGTGGGCATTCTGTGTGTATCGCCTCTTCCTGGCAGTGTGATGATGTACCGGACTGTTTTGATGGACGCGATGAACTAGGCTGTGGTAAAACCCCATTAATATTTTAATGGAATTCATCAATTAGCAGGATTGGTATAAACTGGTTAACTAGAAGCCTCGTCAGTGTGGCTATGAGCCCTCTCCGTGTCGAGCCATACAGGGGACGGCAGTTACATGTGAGGGAAAAGTTGTTCTGCGGAAATCAAATTCGAGACCGTTTTTTTTTTTTTTTTTAAGTTTCACTTGGTTTTTTTTACTCCGGATTCTGGGAGATATAAACTAATTACCTGGCTAATAACGAGGGAAAATCAACAGACTAATGTACATGACGCCGAGAAAAATACTGCAATCATTTTTGGATGAACCTCTTTAAATTGTGTCTGAAAATTCACAGGATAACTAGACATGCATCTGGACAGGCATCTGGAACAGACTTAAATTTGTGTTGGTCAATAAAAGGTTACTATCTTCCGTAGTAAATATCAAGTGAAAAAAAAATGATTTCAATTCCTTAAAACAACTTGTTTTCACATATTGCTGTCTCTACTGTGTGCGTCACAATACGGAGGAAGTCCAGTATTTGAGCAACTTTAAAAGCTTTTAATTTTTTTTTCTTCTAACGTCACCAACCTAATTCGCCAGTAGTTGCTCAGACAGGAGTACACCTATACTGAGACCTAATTACTTGGTGAAGAATGGTCTATTTGCCATGGGAGTGCAAATGTAAAGGAAGCTTATGACAAAAACAACAAATGGCAAAAATTGAATGTAATTCAAGTACGGTGACTTTTCATTGCACGATTTGTGACATCAACTTCGCTTTCCCTATTTTACCCGAGGTGTGGATGGTCATTCACGTTAATCTGAATAGGGGATCATACGTCAGCTGCAACAATGTTCCATTTATATACATGTAGACATCATAGCCATTCACTTTGAAATGTTTGACCTATTTCTATTTCTACTTTTTATCTGCCAGGTACTCATGAAATATTCCTCCGTGCCAGTGAAACAGCCACCATACACATTTCATCTATTCATATCAACTCCATGTGGCTCATTCAGACTGCGGAAGACCAGAAGGTTCTCATCACTTATCACACCGGTTACCTCCGCTTGAGTGGATCCTACGTATTGCAAGCCGGTGATGGTGACGATAGTACCAACAACGCAAGTGTCTTTTTTGAATGGAGCAGAGAGTCTAGCTATAATGAACATATACCCCCAGACCTGCTGTCAGACGGGAATAAGCTGTGGGTTACCTTCGAGCACGGAAAGTCGTTTAACGCATACTTCTTAGACATACTGGCTACGAGCGTCCCGTTAACTGGTAGGCATATAATGGACCTGTGGACCATTCTCGGAAATACTCTGGTGTCCACATTTTCCTGTTCCTGTTGCATCTGACTTCTATGAGTCTGTTATTCAAGGTTCGCTCTTTAATGTAGCGGTAATATTAATCCAAAACTGGTTAAGTGAAGGAGCTAATTATCCTCAACGAATAAAAAAAAAAAAATCTAGTCAACGTCAATGACACTTGAATGAAAAAATTACAAAGTTCCCGTGTAACAGGAACAGGACAAAAAGTCACTTTGGACTCCAAATTCATAGACTGGCCCACATGCACGAATTTTGTATTGAAAACACATGACTTGTAAGAAAAAACAAAATCTATTTGCGTGGACTACTTGAGGGAACTTTCTGGTGCTACCAGAAAAAAATACCGCCCAGAAGTGAAGTGGATGCTCAACGGGATGACGTCAAGCGGGCGCGTATCATTTTTACTTTTCGGACGCGCGGCGGAATCGGCAAATGACGTGCCTCAATTTTATCATGAATATTTATGAGGTGTAGCAAACTGACTGGTCAGTCTCAGGCCATAAGGTTGTAGCGAAAATGGGGACGATATATTGTCAAGATTTACACAATATTCCTCTTGATTTTCTTCGCTTTGATTTTCAGAATCTCTGACCTGTTCCTTGGGTGACGTGGATTGCGGCCATTCGGTCTGCCTCAGCCACGCCTTGCAGTGTGATACCATCTCAGACTGCGTAGATGGCAATGATGAGTTGGACTGCGGTAATGATAAAATTATTCACGTTGTTTTGGTGAATCACATTTGTTTTCTAAGAGAACAAAAAATATCAGGAAGTCCAGTACCCCTGTGCCAGCTGATACTACACAAGTATACTCTAGATCCATGCCTTTGGCAGTCTGTCCGATTACCAGACCTGGCATTTCAGTTAACAAGTTCAAACTTGCTTATCAAAGGTTCTTTTTACCACCTACGGTCCGAATATGGAACTCTCCTCCTACCCACATACCTACTATCAGAAAACAAACCAACTTCAGTAGGCAGGTGAATCGCTGGGCGACAAGGCGTCAGTAGTCTTTTTTTAGGCAATAATGGTGTTTTTTTTTTGCTGTTAAGGTCCAGGTATGCCTTTCATGATTTAAAAAAAAAAAAAAAGATGTATTCATGATGTTCCCTACAAAGGAGAAACAGTCAGTTTTTGATTCGGGTTTCTTTTCAGATAAAGACCGTTTGCTGATTATTCCGGCCAATGAGACAGCCCGCATTTGTTCGACATTATATCCAGTCAACTACCCCATCAACCTCAATATCACTTGGATCGTCCAAACCGAAGTGGGTTGGAAGATTCGCATTAAATTCTCCAGCTTTGCAATCTCTACTTACACGTACTACGGTGGTGATGTTCTCCATGCAGGAGATGGTAGCATTGCAGCCAACACTGATTTTTTTAAGTGGCATGGGTCTAGAATGCCTCCCGATCTTCTATCCACTGGCAGTGACATGTGGCTTCGATTTATCTCTGACGAGTATTACAGCGGCTCTGGATTTTTTTTAGTGGTTTCTTCTGTACCTTCTTCAGGTACGCAAATCTACAAAGGGTACATGTTTTGATGTGAATTCCTATAGCAAGGTGTCAAATACATCCTCGTGCCTGGGTAATCTTGAAAATAAAAAAAATCATCTGTCAGCGTTCTCGGTCCGTCAGTGCATGAAAATAAATCCTGCGTGACTTGTAATTTTTAACGTTGGTTTGTAAATCAATGCTGATAAGGTCTTGGTCAGACTGTAGATGACAGGCTTTTGTTTTCACGATTCGTGTAAAGAAACACTAACATTAATTAATAACGTAATTTCGCATTTTCCCGTATTTTATGGTGTGGAATTTAACCAAGATCGATTAACAACACATCTGTTATCGTTGCAGAAATGTTGACGTCGTGCTCCCCAAGTGACTTTGACTGTGGTCATCACTCTGTCTGCATCCCTGACATTTGGAAATGTGACGGCCAAGTCGATTGCTTGTTAGTTGCAGAGGGTGACGAGCACAACTGTCGTAAGTAATTCATTTGATATTGGTCATGTCTTGAGCAAAATTTGTATTAATGTTTGTCAAAATGTTTGTCAAACAAAAGAATATGTTTTATCTGGTTAGCTGGTTGTCGGTTAGCACCAACTTGGTGATATTTTTGTTAATATGTATTGTGCTGGGAAAAGAAACTCTTATGTTGGCAAATTTAGTCTATCAATTGGAATTCTTTTATAAGACCTGCGTGTGAATATTTTGTCCGAAGCCTTTGTATTTTTTCCCGCTTTTTTTGCAAGTAAGAGAGAAATATTTGAACAAGGGAATGGAAAAAAACGATATGCCCCATTAATTTTCAAAATTTCTAATTCTAATAATTGAAGAATGTAAATATACCAACGGAGTCTTTCAAACTACTTACAGACCTGTATTTCGATTTTTATAGACAACGATCGTGTTGTGTTCCTTGGGGCAATGGAAATAGCCGAGCTGGGGTCTACAAACTATCCATGGTATTCATATAACATTGAGATTACATGGATCATCCACACCGACGAAGACCGCAAGATTCGCGTCAGATTCTCCGACTTCCAAACCGAACATCTGACTGACTTTGTCCAGGCAGGAGACGGCAACAGGAGCACAGACAACGCCTTTTTCCGATGGAGTTGGCACAAGCTTCCGCCTGATCTGCTTTCCAGCGGTTCGGTGATGTGGCTTACTTTCAAATCAGATGGCAGTTACAATGGACGCGGATTTTTGTTGTCTGTCGCCAGCGTGCCAGCTACAGGTATTGCAAGCATCTACATGGCATAATTTCATGGCTTAATTCTTTGCTAACAGAAGGGTGCGTGTGCCCTTGGGCAAGACATTTTGTCACTCATTGCTTCTCTCCACCCAACAAGTATATTTGTTCATGTGAGGGCAGTGATGGTTATTGTGATTGAATTAGCTTGTTTGTGCCTAACAAGCTGCATCGAGCTATATACTCCCCAGAGAGCTGAGATGGTTTGAAACTTTCATTGGCCCAATGAGCAGGGGTAATTATGATTTAGAGTCTTGAGCACCAGTCCCGGTGATATGTGCGCTTTATAAATACGCACGATTATTATCATTATTCGATTGACTGTTTTTTTTTCTGGTCGTACAGAGGAAATGACGTGTTCTCCTTACGAGTTTGACTGTGGGCATTCAGTCTGCATAAGTAATTCTTCGAAGTGTGACGCAGTAAATGATTGTTTGGATGGAAGTGATGAATTCGATTGTGACAGTAAGAACATAATTACACAACTGACTAATTACATTTGTACACGTTTTCAAGTCAACACAATTGTGCGAACAAAATATATGATTTAAAAAAATGAAAGAAAGAAAGTATTAAAGTTTAATGAAATAGCCAATTTTCTTTGTCCATTTGTAACAATGTTCCAAACGCTGGAAATCATAATATTTAATCATAACATTAAGTTTGAATTTTTCATTTACTAAATATTAGCAATCCATTTCTTTTCCCCATCAGGTTATTGTTGGTTGGTTCCAATGGGGGGGGGGGGGTAGAATCCTTTTAAAATTAATTATCGGTATTCATTAGGTGTCACCACAGGTGAGCATGGATTGCACAAGTTATCACAAAAACTTGAAGGAATAATGTTTTTCTTTCTTTGTCTTCAGATCGCAATTTATTTCTCGGTGCGAACGAAAACACCCGGATTACATCTCCGTTTTATCCAAGCATCTACCCGAGAAACCTGAAAACAACCTGGACCATACAGACAGAGGCGAATCGAAGGGTTCTAGTCACTTTTCATAGTTTTTCAGGTTCTCAGGGCGGCACATTCAAGGCAGGTGACAGCGGCGCTAACGACACGTTCTTTGTTTCCCACCTGTGGAGGTTTCCACCAAATCTACTCTCCGATAACCGGACAATGTGGTTCAGTTTGGAAACTGGCAAGAATAGTATTTGGAGATTTGTCTTGACTGCTTCTAGTGTACCGTCAACTTGTAAGCACCCTTGATTTCTGCTTGTATGTGTGTTTGTGCATTGTCTATATTCTTAAAGAGATGAAGCATACCTTTCTTGCAGAGTACCATCAACATTTTAACGAAGTGATCGATACCCACACATTAGCAATACAGAGTTGGCCGCGTTTAAAGACAACTTTGTGTAATCCGGTCTGTTAGTGTGACGTCACGTCTACTGCACATATCTTCTATTGATGGTTTTAAATACATGTATAGGAAACTTTATTTTTATAGGTACTTTTTTACGCTCAAAGTTGCTTATTTCTCCATTTTACCAGTGCTATTTTTCAGAACAACTTACCTTCCTAGATCAACAATGATCTAGGGGAAGGGGGTAGGGGAAGGGGGTTGAAGAAAAGCTTTTTCTTACCATTTTAATACATAATCATTTTCATGGTTATAAAAGTTCTTCAAAACCAAAACCACACAATATTATATATTATGTTATTAATACAATCTTGATAAATCAAAAAACCTGCAATCGCAGTGAAAACAAGAACGGTTTCAAAATACTGGAAAAGTGGTCTGATTAAGTAGACTTTAATTTTGGAAAGGAATATTTCCCAAGGAATGTATCAATATTTTTTAATAACGAATTTAGAACAATGTTAGTGGTGGGGCTTATCGCTTGCTGTTCAACCTCAAATTTCACTATAGCACAGAACTACAACACTGTTTAGGACACTATTTAAAGCTTCAAACTGTTGCCGTATTGGCACTTTCAGCATATTTGGATGCCCGTTTATTTCATTGCAGGACATCAATAAGATGTTTGCCCAAGGATGTTTGTATTTTACGAAACTCTTCTGCAACCTCTGAAAAAGGCCTCTGCAACGGCCGAGTTATTGTTGGGCACCAATAATTCGAATTGTGTAAATATCAATTGTAAACACAAATCCATTTTCGGGGTGAAATTCATGGAATAAGTATCTTAATGTCGCATGCATTCCCGTACATCGGCCCACGTTTTAACATCAGAAATCGGCAAAAAATTGTTCATTGTACCTACAACTGTCCATTTTATGTTCCTTGTTTACTTCAAGACACCATTCCATGTTCGTGGCGCAACTTTGATTGCGGTCACTCTGTCTGCATTGATGGGAGTTGGCGATGTGACGGTCAACTGGACTGTTTTGACGACAATGATGAAGAAAATTGCGGTAGGCCAACGTTTAGTAGAAATTATGTGGGTGTTGTTTTTAATTAAAAAGGTCATTAAAATTCAGATCAATGTAGTTAACAGGGGTAAAGTAAAGTAATAAAAAAGAGAGAGAATATATATTTATATTCCCCTTGGATGGTATGCTAGTCCAGCGCATGCTACTCTAATGTTTTTACCAACTCCGGGGTGGAAAGAGGCAAGTGGGGGTTAAGCAGCCTGCCCAAGGACACAACACATGACCAATAACTGGTTTCGAACACCTGCCTCTTTGATCATGAGTCACGAGCCCTATTCACTAGGGCACAATCCATATAGGGTAAATGTCAAATGCGAAAAAGAGGAAGATAGGAGAGGAATCGGCATCTGAGATTAGTTACTGCAAATTTGCTTTTAATTTGAAATTAACGGTGAGAATTGATGCTTCTAATTAATACACCTGGGTGTGCCTGCCCAATGTGATTGTTTGTTCTGATTTCTTAATTATTCAACCCAAAATGGTGATAGGTAGTAAAACCTGATGACAAAAGATCAGACAAAAGGTTGGAAGAAAAATGAGTGTGCAGTCCACGTATCTGTTGATGGACAGCGAGTATTGAAATTGTCCACTCAGGGGCTGATCCAGGAATGTTTGCAAGTGTTTTTTCGTCAGCAAATAATTGCTAAAATGTAGACAGGTTTTTTTGTCCGGACATTTGGCAGATTTTTTTTAGCCCCCCCCCGGGTCTGCGCATAGACAAAGACAGTATAGGCTAATTTAGGTCTCCTTGTTTCATCCATTGATACCAACTTTTTCGAACATTGATTTTACTGGTATTTTTTTTCTTCTCAAATGGTTATTTATGCCCCACCTTCATACACATGTATTTTTTTCTCCATAGATAGCTGTTTCGGTCGATGCTTTTCAGACGGACCTCGGACCGGTGATTGTTGGTGCGACGCTGCGTGCGAGCTGAGCAGAGACTGCTGTTCAGACTACAATGAGCACTGCTTGGGAGGACTGATCCCACTTACCGCACAACCAGGTCAGAGGCAGTTATATCGAAGCAACTCCGCAATTGAATTCCGCGTACAATCTGTACAGATGTTGATAAAGAATTACATAGGGCCTATGTATGCATATATTTATGCAAAATTGAGAACAATACAACTTCGCACCTGTTTAACCTTAAATCCGGCCAAGGGGACGCTTGGGGGTTTCATGGGATTAAAATTTACCTGATCGCGTACTGGTAGTGTCAACCACGTCCGCATAGACTTCGTTGATTAACATTATTCCTTGTCCCTCCTCTCGTGAGAGAGTGGTTTACTAGCCAAGCACCTGATTAATAAGCACACCGACTGTGATGTCTGTCACACGGCCCACTTGTGCAAGGGGCGTTCTCTGTGGACGTGGTTTGGAACCAATCAGCACGGCCCTCCAGCAAATTGAAATTTCAGCCAAAACTTCACTACTTTGAAGCCTTTACTTTGGGCCTTTATTTTTGCCTATACTTCTCTGTCTAATGGTTACAGGATAAAGTTATTAAGTACCTGATTTGTTAATGATGTCTTGTGCTTCATACATCCTGTAGATGTCGATGAATGTAACCCGGATGCGCCGTTGCACAACTGCGACGACAATGCAATCTGCAATGATACCTTCGAAAGCTTCACATGCACCTGCAGACCTGGATATGAAGGGAACGGCGTGTATTGCATAGGTAACTGAACACCAGGTTTTTTTTCGCATTCGCATGTTTTCTTTGTGGAAAAAAATATATATTATTGTCAACTTTACTTGCAGTCTTAAGATAGGGTGGTTTTATATATCAACCTCAAGAAACATTTTGTCTTGCAGGCCGTCTACAACAGTCATTGATAATATCAGTTAATTTTAAAATCAATATTTTGGTTAATTAACATTATTAATGGTACACATTAATGCATCTTCATAAAATATAACTAAAAATGTAGAAGGTAAAAATCTGACATTTCAAAAATCATTAGAAATTGCAAAATATAAACATATTTTGTTCTTTTTTTATTATGTAGGGTTCACAAATATATTATCTTTTTTAATGCATAAACTGCTATACAAACTGCCTAATGAAAGAATTGACCTGAAATTACAAATTAGAAAAGTAGTAGACCCCTATAGAGACTAATGTTTTGAATCAGTCTGGATTTTCGTCATAGGCAAAAATGACACAATTGTCAGTTAACCTTAATTTGTACGGTTATTTCTAGATGTGGAACCGCCCAGCATCACTTGCCCTGCTCACTTCACAGTCTACACAGACTGCAGGAAGAGCTACTCAACGGTCTCCTTGCCCGACGTCCAGTCTGCATCCGACAACTCCGGCCAGTATACCATCAGCATAAACATTGGCGGCTCGATATACGAGGTGGGCGACACCACGACTCTCAGTCTGGGAGCATCACCTCACATGGTGCGCTACACCGCTACTGACAATTCCTACGCTGCACACTGTTATACATACGTGACGGTGGCAGAAGTTTCAGGTAGGTGCAGCTTGATGTTAAGGTGTGGTCTCGCGGTAAGACGCAGGATATATGTTCGTGACATTGTGGGTTCGAGCCCCGCCGTGGCCTTGCGTGTTGTGCCCTTGAGTAAGGCACTTTCAGAACCTAAATTACTCCTCTCAACGAAGGTGTTCAATGGGTACCGGTATTATTCAATGCTAGAAAGGTAACAGACTCGCTGTGGAGGAGGTGTGGCGATCCCCCCAGCAGCATTTCATGGACTCGAGTGTGGCCCATTTGCTTCGAAGAAGAGTTGGGCACTCCGTTCCTGTGAACACAGGTTCTTCCCCTTTAAGGATAAACATCCCCAAAGTATGCAATGAGTAAGAAAGCCCGAGAGCAGTGCTACAGTTACCTCATCATAAGGGCTTGTAAGAAGAGTGTGTTAACCAGGAAATGCCTATTCGGTGATAAGGGACCTGAAAACGAGACCTGAAAAGCAAGTAGAAACTTTAGTACTTATACCCGGAAAAAAAACCTTATCAATATAATGGGCAAAACTTAGTTCCCAGTGCAGATTTGTCCGAGATACTCTGGGAAAATCTTACACATGTCGCCACCAAATATTAGATTACATTAAAAGAGTGTACATGGATATCATTACAACAGATGGAACATTCTGTGAAGAAACCGGATCCCCACCAAACTGCATCTGTAAGTCAAACGAAGGGCTCGACTGCACTTGTTTCTACAAAAACTGTGGTCATGACTGTTCTCGTAAGTAAACAAAAAACAAATTGAAATTAATAATACCAATAAGATGAATATTATGAAAATATGCAGGAAAGATTACACATTCAAAAATAGTTCTGTGGAGAGCTCATTAAGTCAGGGTTGCTCCCTGCGAAAGTCTTGGAGAATTTTTTGTATGAAATTGAAGGTAGAAGGCAGTTAGGATAACGTTCGTACTGTCATGGCTGACTTTACAGTGACCGCGTGTGTTTACATCGAAAGAGAATATGCCATGAAGCGCCTTCCACGATTACATCACTCCAGTGCTGTCGAGCTTGAAACGTGAAGTTCGCATGAAATAAACCCCGAAAAACATAAAATAGGACACGTGTACGTGTCTATAAAATAACATTTAGTATCCTACATAGGTCAAATTATTTGTTTTAAAAGTGTCTGCACTGCCATTATGTACTATGTAAACAGAATCCGCTGAGGGAGTGGAATGTACAGGACCAGGCAAACCATATCCAAACTGCACAGATGTTGATCTTTGCGATCCTGGATACTCAGGACCACGCTGTGACAGCGGTAAGCTTATTTCGTCCAAGAGTACAATGAGTTACATGCAATCATTCTCTTTCAGTTAAGAAAATGCTTGCCTACAGTCGCAAATTTCGTCCACTTACATTCCATGCATTGGCTGGTAACAAAAAAGGGCTATGCCCAAAATGATGACGTCACTGTAATATATATCTGTAACACATCCTTGTCTATTTGCATACCAAGTTTCAAACCAATCGAACTGAGACTTCCGAAGTTATAGTGATTTGAAAAATACACATTAAATATGACGTCACGTGACATACGATGACGTTATTGTAGCGAAAATCATTAGGGTCCATTATCGGGTAGTGGTCTATGAAGTCTATCATACATATGAAAGTGCTAAAGTGCAAAGAAAAAAAAGCGTTTAATGTGAAGTAACTAGACACCTGATGACGTCATCATGACGAACATATTCAGCATACATCTTCAGGTTGAGTTTATCAGATTGAGGAAATTGCCAAAATGTATGTGTAGAAGAAAGAGGTGTACAAACCTTTTAAGAGTCGGACAAAAAGGAAACACAATTTTTACGAAACAAGAGCTGTGTCGGCTGAAATGCCCAAACAGCTAAACAAAAGTCAGACCACATTCGTTTTAACACTGCAGTCAAATTCCATCAACTGACAAAAAAAAATGTGGTAAATTGTAGATACAGATGGCATAAACCCTGCGGGCTGCGCAGGGGCTCACGCGCTAGTCCTTTTTTTGTTTCTTAACTTTTTTTGTGAAGCCATCGCCCAATTCCCTTGAAACTATATGTAATCCTACAGTGAACCTTGTGGTTTGAGATGGTATGGTCGCTTTTCTTGTAGGAGTTCACTTGGGGGTCAGCCGCCCCTGGAAAAGTTGGGCCTCCTGCCAAAGCCCATTCACTTGTGCACAAAAAAAGTTCTCTGTGTTTTATATACCGCCGTCACAACAATGTCATCAATCATCCTCTACTGCTGGCCCAGTGACAGCTGTCTAGAGCCACAGAAAGGCTGTCTAGACTGTTTCATGTCCATCTTTTTGTTGGGGGGGATCCAACATGTAATGGTCGATCCAACATGTAATGTTCAATCCAACATGAAATGGTCACAGGGCATGCAGTGTATATGTACATGTCTGTGCAGCCACAATGTCTGTGAGTGACCTACTGGAAGGGGATTCAATCATAGAAAGGATTGTGTCCACAAAATAATATTGTATTCGCGAAATCAAAACTGCCTCACGCGTGAGCACCTAAGCTACGCGGCATAAGTTTTTACGCTTCGCAGCTCGCAGGGTTCACCTCCGGTCAAAGCATGGCCATATCAAAATAACCAGGGAATTTTTAACTATTAAAAGCAGTCATTTATCGAGTTTGACTGTTGTGATGGCGTAGTTGAAATTGTCACCTAGAGAGGGAGGGTCATCAGTTTTTCGATTTTATTCTTCAGACAGTAACACTCTGCAGTGTCCAGAAGTTGACAACCGTTGTCTTGCTGATGGACTGTCGTCCGTAGAAATTAGTTGGTCGCTCGGCCCTCCGGGTACTAGCTCCGACGTTACTTGCACAGATTCCTTGGATGGAGCCACTGTGGAGACTACCGGGGGTGTGTTTGGTGTTGGCATGCACCACGTGGTCTGCTCCTCGGCAGATAATGCCTTCCCAGACTGCCTGATTACTTTCGGTGTTTCATGTAAGTACCGTTTTTTTGTTTTTAATTTTAGCTCATCTGCAAACAAAATTGGAGATACCATGTTGGTTTCAAGCAAACATTTTTATGGTTTACATTCAAAACTTTGAAACAAATGCAAAAGTCTGAAAAGGGTTAAAGTAAGGTTTAGAGATGTTTTTTAGAAGAGTGGTGTCATTCTTGTGCAGCTAAGTTACATATTTTCTTGCCTTATAGACTTCCCGTCTCTGACAGTACCTGAAGTCGATGGGCAGTGCACGGATCCAGGCATGAAGACATCTACAGTGACATGGACTGAGGTTCATGCCGTTGACGCTGGTGAAGTCACCATTGTTTGCACAGATTCTGGTGATGGCGTCGGTGTCGGTGTTGCAGGAGGTGTATTTGGAGTAGGACCGCATACAATAACATGCCGTGCTGTCAATGATGTTGGGTGTTCAGAGTCAAAGGACTTCACTTTTAACGTCATGGGTAAGACAGTGTTCTCCTCGACGTTTTTTTTTTTTTTTGGAGGGCGGGCCAGCCTGCTAAAGTCTTTATCACCATGCTATACGTCTACTTCCCTGCTCAAATTTTCAACATTGGTTTTCTATTTGTGTTTTTTACATAATCTACATTACGTTTTCACAGTTAAACAAAAAAGGCTAATTACTCTATGGACTCTTAACTGTTAAGTTAGGCAAAAAACTTTAAGATTTTAAATAGATCAAATACCACGCATTGCATGTATGGCAGGTAATGTCTAGAGAGAGTACCCTCTTGACACTTAATCAGGACTTTTGTCTTATATGCTGCTCTGCTAAAGTTTTACTCCCAAGCAACATGTGACACATGAGTTGGGCACCAAACTATGAGCAAGGGTGCTTTACGCACTGAGAACAAGACAGTCACTATGCATTCGGTAGTTTATTATTAACAGGTTTACATTTTTTTTATAGAGGGCAATCTTGTGCCATTTGGAGAAGAAATTGGAGACTCCCTGTTGTCAAAAGACGCAGAAAGGGTAAGTTTTGCGATGCATTTATGCATTAAAAAATTACCTGCGCAAAATTATCCAGCCATTTAACTTTGACAAATGAAAATCCGAAAGTAAAAAAAAGAAGATAAAATGCTGTCCGAGTTTCAAGTTCAAATGTGTTAGATTTGTTTTAAAAGTGTTATTTTGGCTGACTGCACACACAACTATTATGCGATTCCTGCAAAAAGTAACCTGCAATGGCACTTGTCAATACATAAGAAAGTTTCAACCATTTCAGATGTGATCAAGTCAGTCACAAGTCAACATAAATCAAGTCGGTAAGGTCACAGCTAGTTACTAGGCAGAGGAATTTGTCACATTTCACAAACTCGATGACTTGTGACTGATGATGACTTGTAATTGACTTATGGTGACTACAACTCTGTCAACCATACAGATTAGATCATTTTTGTGCATATTGGGGCCTCACCAGTTACCACCTGCGTACACGTATATGTGGTTTAATTTTGATTTGGCATCTGCTCTTTGTGTATATCTCTTGCAGCCACACTCAGCAAAGGATCTGATATCACGTACCATATATCCTCCAAACTTCCTTCCCTTCGGCAGCAAGCTATACGAAAAGATATACGTGAGTATTGGCAGCTCCTTGGCAATCTTTTTTGTCGCTTATTCGTGACATGGGCCCTTTAACACTATACTTCTCGATTTTATGCATCAATGCTATTCAATACATCCTTTCTTTCTGCAGTTTACCGACAACGGAGTGATTGTTCTGTCCAACGACCAAAGCCTTGATAAACGAGCATTCCCCAGTCCGCAGGGTAAAACTTTCCCCAGTAACAGGACGATGATAGCGCCGTTTTGGGCGGATGTCAAAGCTAACGCCTTCACTGACACAGATAATGTGTTTTGGCAGGTACGTCTTCCACTATCGTTGGGAATTTTTGCTAAACTGGTTTGTTAAATGGTTTAGTCAATAACGGAAGTTTTTATGGGAGCTGCATCTAAAAATCACTGCACTTCAAAAGCCAGGTTGCACTCATCTGATCTTGGAGATATTTTGTTCTCGCCTAGATGCAAATAACCCCTTAAACTATTCATCAGGCACCAATGTCTATTTTTGCTTGCACTGACATTTGTTGGGCAGGTGCACGATCAGTATGACCCAAATGTCAACCAGAACATGCTGGATGTTGCTAGTCTCATAGTTTCAGCCAACTACAGTGGTTTTTCAGCAAACTGGGCTCTGTCTATCACCTGGAGAAATGTAAAGGCCATATCACCCTTAGAAGTAAGTCTTCCAACATATAAGACGTATTATTTTGGGATAATGCTTAAAGGCAAAGACGTCATCGCCGTCAGGATCAACTGCATCCAGTTGCAGGATGAGGTTCTTGACCACAATAACTTTGATGGTGTCCACAAGTGTTATGTTTGGTGGGAAATTTTGTATTGGTTTTAAAAAGACTAACATTTTATGAGTAACATTTGAGGCTTTGCATGGTGGAGATACTAAATAATAAAAGGTTGCGGAAACACCATGTGCGAATAATTTCTCAACTGAGAAAATGGTTCTGAAAAGAACTAGAGGTATAAACTCGACGTTTCGGTCAGTATGCTTTGACCGTCTTCAGGAGAGTGTGAAGACGGTCAGAGCATACTGACCGGAACGTCGATTTTATACCTCTGGTTCTTTTCAGAACCGTTCTCTTAGTTGAGAAATTATTCGCCCTTGATTTACCCGCAAACCTTTTATTATTTAACATTTTATGAGTGCGATATATATTTTTTTTTCAATAGGAGACAAATACCTTCCAAACCTTGCTAGTGACTGACGGAGTCCGCGCGTTCGTCGTTTTCAATTACGATCCCTGCGGCATGAACTGGGATACCAGTTTTTTACCCAACAAGAACATCATCCAGGGCTACACCTCCGGACTCTTTGGCGAAACTGTGTATGTAGATATACCCGAAGAATCACAGTTTCGTCCCGGTGGCATAGTGGGCAACACAGGGAAGACAGGACGCTGGGTCTACCGGCTCGACACCCTCCCGGACGGTTTTGTCAATCCACGTTTGTCCTGCCACGATTGGTACCACCGCCAGGTACCGTACCCACTATTTGCTACCCACTATCCTCCGTTCGCAGACACGTGCCCATGCAGTCTGTGGAATGCCAGATTTGATTGGAGATACACCGAGGTCTCGCGATCAGTCGTCTTGCCAGATGATGGAAATTCATATCGTAAGTTGCCATTCTTTTTTATTTCATCTTATTTGTGAAGTCTTGTAAGAAGAAAGCGAGAATTGTATTACTCAAATGAAAGAAACAACTGTAGAGAAGAAACATCTGAAGAGTTTGTAGTTACTGCTCTTAGCCAAAGTGTCAACCTAAGACAGGCGCCACATAAAATATCTCACCTGAGTGTAAATTCACCAAGTGGCATTTGCATTTGAATGACAAGTGCTCAAATTTTTCGATTTTGAGGACTAATCGTTTGTTCCCAGACATTCATTTGCTTAATAATTATACAGAAACCGTATGTTTTCATGGGAAATTTGGGTGAAGATAAAACGGTCCTTCAGTGCCGCTTCCTGGCATGTTCTGCTTCCATATCTTTATTGGATATGCACAGGAGAAAAGGACGTTATTTAAAATCCAGGTTCTTTGTTTATTTCCACTTAGGACCAGCAACAGTCGTTTAAGCATTTTGACCCCTGGGAATATCTCCCTCCAGCCGCCGTCAAGCTGCTGTCGGTAGTACTTTATTCATTTCCACTGACTCCAAACTTTAGACAGCAAGATCGTATACGTGGATCATTTTTGAGATATCACCTGTAGCGTTCCTCATTTCGTGTTAAATGCGTACATTATTATTAAAAGTCGCAGAGGGTGAATCTTTTAAAAGTGCTAAATTAATGAAATTTTGCTTTGTAAAACTACACTCGTTCTACAGCCGCTGTTTGCTACGTCAGGCTTTTCCAGGTTTCAGGAATTCCTGGTCCACTGTGCTGCTATAATCTTTTCGGTCGTGATCTTGTGTACGACGTCCGAAGTGCCAGGGTCGCGTCTGTCTTTGAGAGGTATCCACTTGGGCCTATATTCTACACGGCCGACTCTTTCGACTTATGGAAAAGTAAGTGCTTGAAAAGATTGGAAGTGCCAGGAGATCTTAACGGTACATTTTACATGATTGTGTACATTCAATGACTTATCGTCAATGCTACACTAAAAGTCAATTTAATATTTAATTACTCCGTCATTTTTTCATAAAATTATGTCATAAAAGCCCCTTTAACCCTTTTTGAACTTTTGACCCTGAATTTCTGAGGTAAAGATCAGACCCAGGGCAATTCCCGAAGGATTTTTTTGTCACGTATAGTATTGTAATTGTATTGAATTGTATTGTATTGTAAATTGTTTTGTGTATTGCATTGTATTGTATTGTAAGTGTAGCTGCGGTTATTACAAGGCCATCAAACACCCTGTCACCATAGGCCCAGTCTGGAAGCTGGGAAACACGTGGTCATCATCCGTTTTAACTAGATACATGTAGCCACAGGCTGCTGGTGTGTGTGAGTTTGTTTCTGCATTCAATATGGGACGTTGAACAATAGAGGACAATAGGGTCCCCAATTCCAGAGAGGTCTCCTATTTGGATTCCTGTAAAAAACATATGGGAGTACAAACAAAAGAGGGACAATATGGAGTCCCCGTCCCACAAACTCAAAGCTTGTATTGTATTAAATCCAACCGCTATAATGAAGGTCTATAGGGGATTTTAATCTTTTATTTTTTTATTTTACAGGGGAAGAAGTACTTCCACGTCATTATTGTTGTCAGAAGTCTACTCTTTGCCACCTGTACAGGACATGGCGACCTCTAATGAGTTGCAGGTGGTACAGGCCCCCGGCTTGGGGTGAGTTATGAACGTTAAGGTTTTTTTATGAAAGTAAAGAGCATTTGCATGGATATGATTCGTCCAAGTGCCCTTCAAACTGTTTGTTTAATTGTCACTTGTATTCGATAAGCAGGATGGTTCAATTTTAGTGGCTTAGCCTAGTCTCTAGCTACGGCGAGGTCAAGCGTATACAACATTATCCTGGGTTTTTTTTTCATAGCTTTAATGATGTAAGGGACCGTGACCATTCAGCCCTGGTATGAAAAGGGCCCCCCGGTACCTCGTCCGGTCCAGAGCCAGTCCGGTTTTCAGCCCAGTCTCGTCCGGTACATGGTCTTGTCTGACCAGAAGTTTTGAAATCAGGCGCATCAATTTATTGCCCTTCGGAGAACGTTCTGAGCAGAACAAAAGCAGACTTATCGGATTAATGATAAAATCCTTCCAAATTCTTTGGTAATTTACGGTCCCATTGTACACGAAACCACAAGGCAGGGGTTTTGATCTGTGCCGACAAAAGTGTTCTATTGTTTCGCGCTGAGAGATGAAAACCACAAGCAGGTTTCTTCTGGGATATATTACATGTGTCAATACTTGCAAACTATGGACCCCAGGATAGAGGAGTTCCTTTTTTATGCAGTTTCCTGCATAAAACATATTGGTTGTATAGCACTGGCTGCTGAAAGCAGATTTGAGCTGACCAGCGGACCTTGAGCGAGCAAAGCAGGTGGTCGAGTGTTCAAGTCCCAATCATTAAGTTGTGAATTGCAGTGTTTAGACTACTTTGGTGAAGACCAAACACAAACTTGTATTTAATTTGTGAAGTTCTGATTTTGTTTTAAATAGTGTGGTTGTGGGGAGACCCCCATATCGTAACGCTTGATGGACTGGAGTACTCTTTTAATGGTCTGGGTGAATACACACTAGCACTCATCGAGGATGACGATGGACAACAACTCTTTGAACTGCAAGGTCGCACACGACAGGCCGTGGATACGGAGACAGGGGAACTTAGCCAGGCCACTGTCTACTCTGGTTTCGCTGCAGTTTACACAGGAGAAGCAAAGGTCTGGTTGTAAACACAGATTAAGTATTTTAAAAGATTACCTTTTCAAAAATGCTTTGACTTGACTCAGTGATTTGCATTCCATATTTTTATTAGATCCTTCTCTGCGTTCTCAAACAAATATTGTGTAAGTCAGTGACAAGCTTCTTTTTTTTTCTCCAAGTAATCGTTTCTGTAGTTTTTGGTTCTAGACTCGATGTGTTATACTAGTCCTTTTGTTTTGTCCTACCAAGTGCCCACAATGTTGTGCATGTATTTTATTAATCATTTAAACTAAAAGGTTTTATATTACATTTGTTTGTTTCCTTTCTGAGTTTTTCTCTTTCTCCTTTCGTAAACACTTAATATTCCATTGTACTTAATTACAATGTACTTAATTCATCATCTTACAACTACCTTTCTATTCAGCGAATAAAGCTCTAGCTTTAGTACATTTAGTCCTTTATGAATTCGATCGTTTCTTTTCATATTCCATCAGTTTTATCCTAATATTTAAATATCTGAACAAGTCACTTGAGTGGATCTTGTTAAATGTATATGAATACTTTCTTTTTCATCTTGATTTTCTTTACCTTGAATAAGTGTAGTGCACTAGTGATTGTCTTTTTTTTAAGTTCGATCATCTTTTTTTAAATTTTACTGGAACCACTGAATGGGCCATAATGAATGTGTAGGTTTGCTGCACATCATCAGGTTAACCAGCGATAAATTGAAATCTACAAAATTCCGATGCTTTGCACTAATTTCAAACACCTCAACAGCAGTTTGCCGGTTTTGTTTCCCATTCAATACAGATTGAGATCAAGTTAAGTGACGATGCCATGAACTTGATAACGACTGTCAATGGGACCGTTGTCACACCCACTGCTGAAGGTAAGACCCGTCGCTGATCTTACATTTGCCTTAAAGGTACAGTCCATCATTTGCTGCTATCCAAAAAGTAACTGACAAAATTAGTGTTGAATAGCATACTTGGTTTAAACGTAGTAATGGGAATAAACTCCCTGTGAAATTACTATTTCTGCCAAGCTGTCATGTTGAAGAAAAAACAACGAAAAAGGGCATATGCAACGATGCGTCTAAAGACGCATTTTTGGACAGTTTGTTTCTAATTTGGCAATGCGCGCAAGCATTGAGATAACGCACACACGCGTGCGGTTGCTATAATTTATCATAGATATCAAAAGAATAAATATGTGTTCTATTAATATATATGTGATTCGTTGGTTCAGTGCACGACATCTCAATGAGAACAGCTGGATGAGAACGTGTCCCGGACGCTGAATTCGGGCGCAACTCAAAGCATGACTCTGCAACTTTTGAATTGAAATCGAGATCCTAAAATATTGTTTTCTCGGAATATACAACATTCACTGAGCTGAAACTTCATCAAGTTTAGTTGTTCAGCACCCTTCTTAAGATTTTGAGCACTTGTTTCTTCAAACAAACATATTGCACAAAACACAAATGATGTATTTTACCTACAACGGCGATTTCAGATTATAAGTGGTTTATCTGGTGGTCTATTATAAACGACAAGCACCCTTCTTAAGATTTTGAGCACTTGTTTCTTCAAACAAACATATTGCACAAAACACAAATGATGTATTTTACCTACAACGGCGATTTCAGATTATAAGTGGTTTATCTGGTGGTCTATTTGTAACCTTTTCCATCTGTTATTCATACATTTGAACTCAGCTGAGGGCTATGACTTTGTGACGGTGCTGTTTTCATCAACATCTTCCTCAAAATGGATGCGAAAATGTTAGTCCATTGTATTTTTTCCTCGTAGGATTGCAGTTTGACAATCTTCAGGTAACGAGGGCGGAGAACCCAATCAAAGTGAGCGTCATGTATTCTGATTACATCACCTTTTCCGTCGGGGTGAATAACAGCATGGCCGACATCACAGTCCTTTTCAACGAGGACTTCAAAGGCAAAACGAAAGGAATTCTAGGTATGGTTTTGTATAGTACCACGACTATTTTTTTTTCATCCTATTTTTGTTACAATGCCACTTGGTTTGGCAAATCTGATGAAGAAAAATAAAGTTAGTAAATTGTAGGTTAAATCAATTCGGGCGATTCACAGTGCAGTGTGTCACCAAGAGTTTGCCATGAAGAGTCCATTTTTTTGAGTTTACGGTCGACAAAACATGCCCCATTTGAATGAGTGTCAGTAGCAAACTTGAGCTAATTTGGTGGCGCACTGTATTGTGAAACGCCCGAATTGAGATGACAGTGTTTGTATAAAGTGACAGTCCAAAATTCTTTCAATTTGAATTTAAATCGCATCCCAGGGAGTTCGGTTTAAGTTGTAAACCCATTTCTCAATTTCACCGATTTGATAAATTTGCTAAGGTGTGTGGGATGACGACCCAAGCAATGATGCTTTGAGGCGCAATGGCACTTTGCAAACGGGCTCTGGAGACAATGGAGAGTTGGTGGAGAGAGACCTCTTCGAATTTGGCGAAACATGTAAGAAAACGTCCAAACCTCTCATGAATAATGTGATTTTAATGTGGACGGCTTGTCATTGTATGATTGGTTTGAAATTGGATTGTTTTGCAGAGCAAGGAGTATAATTATTTTGGCGTGATAAATTTCAGGGCGAGTTGTGGAGGAAGACTCTCTGTTCTTCTATCAGTCTCCTGCTGAAAGCTACGACTCCTTGAACGACCCCAACTTCACTCCAGACTTCCTGCAAGATTTGATCGACAAGGCACCGCCAGGAAGATACGACGAGGCCAAAGCGGTCTGTGGATCTAGCAGAGAGTGCCTGTTCGACTCCTTGGCTCTGAATGATACAAGCATCGGTATGGCTACATCGGCACTCAATGAGATGAACATGGAAAACATGGCAATCGCAAGTAAGTGGATACACAGCGTTTGCTTGAAGTAGAAGCCAGTTTAGTTTGTGTTGCATCTGTTGGCAGGTGCCAGAGGGCCAGCCAACAGTCCTCGTTGCACCTGTTTTACTGACGCACTGACTGACTCATGACACTTGTGAATTAGACCTCGCCGTAGCTAGAGTTTCCACCTACTAGGTCCAAACATTTGACTCAGATGACTATGTATACCCTCAGACAAAATTGATCAGGTACAAGCTTTACTATGGCGTGCTAAGTGTTGTTTTCTTTTTTTCTTCTATAGTCGTTGGCATGATTAAGTCATATATCCATTTGCGCACCAGTTTCTATTGGTTGCTTCAATGGTGGTACAATTTTGCACTCCAGACTCAAGAACCATCGAGTTTCAGGAATATGGGTCTGGGAGCTAGATTAGCCAATGTAAAACATCCCGGATGTCGGCGCCCGCCTATTTGGTGTTATAATATACGTATACGTACGCTGTAATAAAGAAAAGTGGTGGGAGACCTGCATGCTGTAGCATTTTTACGAAATCAATTTTCTGCAAATCACCTTTTCTTTCTAGCCAATTTCCCACCAAACATAACACTTGTGGACTCCATCGAAGTTATTGTTGGCAAGAACTTCATCCTGCAACTGGAAGCAGTTGATCCTGACGGCGATGACGTCACTTTCGAGTTACTTGAGATGGTAGCAGGGGCAGCCATTTCAGCCTCAGGTTTGTAAACAAGCAACGTATGTTAAAGCTCGTATTAAGCTGTAAACAATCCTTATTAAAGTCATAAATTCCATCATACTCTAACATATCAATAGTGATTGGTTGTGGTGCCCACTTCAATATGATATTCGAACTTGGCAAAAACTCCTGTGAGCTAATGTACTTTTTTTTCAATTTATTTTGGAAGGTCGATTTTCTTGGACACCAGAGGACAAGACTAAGGTGAAGATCTGTTTCCTAGCAACAGATGGAAAAGCGAATGCCACCCTGGAACCAATCGTGAAGCTCTGTGACTGTCAGAATAACGGCACCTGCCTATTTGATCAGTACTCTAGTCGAGTGAACATCGTTCAGGACCGATTTGGGGTAGGTTTCCATAAAAGGGACATTCTGGATATTTTGCAAACAGAGTGCACCATTTTTCAATAGACTAAGCCATTTAAACCCGCCCACTACGCACGTGGGTAACAAAATATGCGCCAAACTGCATGCTCCAGCTGGAATCACGCACACTTGCACGCATGTCGAACAATAAGCACGGCGGTTATTGGTCAAAGTGTCATGGTGTAGGGCTTATTGGATCTGTTTATTATCACATCGTCATGATTTGTGATCTTGATCCAAACGACAAGTAAAGGAATGGTAGACATGCAGTGCAATATGCTCGAATAACAACGGCCTGATCAATTGCTACTGTTTGTTGGTTCATGAGGTAAAAGTTGAATGTTTTTTTATCATTTGTAGGTGGTGTTATGCCAATGTGAGCCCGGCTGGTCGGGAGAGTTCTGTGAAGAGAACTACGACGCGTGCGCAGACAACCCGTGTTTCCTGAATGTTGATTGCGTGGATGAGGATCCACCCTCGTTGAACAGCACCTGCGGACCTTGTCCAGCGGGACTTGAAGGGGACGGGAAAACCTGCCAAGGTCAGTCAGGAATGCCCACAGTTGTCCAGAGTCACGGACATTGCTGAGGCGTGGTGGGGTTGGGGAGTCACATGCACACCTTTGGTGGCTTGTGTCGCCCAAATCATTGTCTGATCAGCAAAATCTTGAGCGATGTGCCGCAATGAAGAGCACCTTCTATTTCCAGATAGTGTTCAAGATTGTCTGTTCTGAAAAAGCCTTCAATTAGTCATATGGTGTTCATCCCCTCCTCCCCCCTTAACCTTTTATAAATTTGACTTCCAGCCATAAACTAGAAAAATTGCGAGAATCGCGAGCATATAAATGGGAAGTAAGCCCAGGTTGCGGTAGGGCCTTAGTCTGGTTTTAAGCAATGCGTTCGAATGTCCCATTCTGTGGTCTTCTCCCCAAACTCATGGGGGTGGCATTTGTGTGCTGAGTCCACAGAGTAGCACATTTTACCACATTGATAGTTTCAAGAAATGAAATTTGAACACTGGTTGTAATGTCCGTTTTTACCGCGTCTGTCTGCAGATATTGATGAGTGTGAGCTGTACAGAGACCAGCCAGCTAGCGGTGGTGGACTGGGCTGCGACCAGAACTGTAACAACATCCTCATGAACTTCACGTGTAGCTGCAATGCTGGATACTTACTGCATGAAGATGGGAAGCGATGCATTGGTAAGATTAATACTTTTATTCATAAAACCTTTATGAATAAAAGATGGTATATGTGTTATTAAAGATGGTACTTAATTGTGGGATTCTCACACAAAGGGAACAACAGTATTCCTGGAAATCAGTCATTGCTTCGCTTTTACCTTATAATGGTTCATTCTAAATTAAGTGGGATAATAAGAGGACACTGTATTACCCCTAAATACCCAAACACGTCGTAGTGTTCGTTTATAATTATCTTGTGAATATTCTTAAGAGGCAGCGACCATTTGTGCTTCACGAGTACAAATATTCCAATAAGTCCTCATATGGTGAGACTCAGCTAAACTACATTTTCTGATCTTGTTTCGTTTAGTACAATTACTGTGAAGACCAGGTGTTTTTCAAGTATCTGTTTTCATTTCGTCAGCAATATGTACATTGTTTCTTACCACATTATGTATGTTTTAATGTCATGTCCAATCAGTTGTTTTTTTCATCCGTCAATTTGGTCATTCTGTATATCTGTTTGTCTGTTGTGTCGGTCTGATTTGTATGTCTCATCATTTCACTCAGTAGTTCTTTAATAAGTTATTATTTAAAAGCATCTCAATAAAAGCTCTGGCTTTCAGAATATGCCTCCATGTATATGTACCGGCAATTACATGTATATACGTCCTTATATGTTGTTATTTCTGTTATATTTCAATTGTCCTGTGCAGAATGAAAATAAATGTGAACTAAACTGAACTGACCTAAATTATTCTCTATTCCCTGACAAAACAGGAATTGTCGAATCAACAACTGAATCAAGTCAAGATGCAGTGACAAAGTCCACCACAGAAAAAGGTATGTTGCTTTCTTGTATTGAAAACACTTGTGAGAGATATTGTTCGTCTGTTCAACACATCTGAAAATGTAAAACCCATCTTGCAAACAGAATTAATGTTTCGGTTCTAAAAGTTCTGTTTATTTACTTCAAAACATAGGAATTGTCGAACCGACAACTGCAAAATCAAGTCAAGATGCAGTGACAGCGTCCACCTCAAAGGGCATGTGGCTATTTTCGGCAAACTCTTTTGAAAGATATTTGCTGTTGGAAAATTGGAGTTATCAAACCTAAAATACCACACATTTCTTCTAAGAGTGTTAATCCAATCATTGTAGTCCTTACAACCTGTATACACAGGTCAACATAATGGATGCCACAGTTTACATGATAAATTGTTAACATGTTGAACCTATTACTTGTTTCTGAGTTCATGTATACATCTTGGCTTTGTTTGATAATGCCGATTTATTCATGACTATGTCATACCTTAACAATATCATTGAATTGCTAGGCCATGTCATATATTTCATTGGTCTTATTGCAGAATCGGTGACGTCCATGAAAACAATAGCAGTGTCTAATCTCATGCCGTCTACCGAAGGTAACTCTTGTGATTTTGGCAGTCATGTGCTAAATCCTTACTCATTACTCAACCCGTTAGCACATGTACTACATTGTATTACATTGTTTTTATTCATAAATGAATAAAAAGGCAGGGAGTTTGGGGCGGTACAGTGATTAATGAGTTCAAATGTATTGGTCACAAATAATTGTGACTCGTATACCAAATTATGGAGGGAAATCAAATAGATCATGCATATAGAAATTTGTCAAATACCAGGGCCTTTTCATCTTTCTTTAAAATCCCATAGGATCATTGCATTGATGCTGAAAGTAAGAGTACCGAATTATTATCAAAAACGCTTGCTAGGATTGGAGACCGAAGGCCTACTGCAGCTAAAAACCCTGTCTGACTTGCTGTCATGTAGACAATTAGACGAAATCAAGAGATAAAGTGATTTCAAACAATGAGTCAATTAACTGGTTTTTGGAAATGAAGTGTGCTGTGAATGAAATCGTGTTTCGTGATCAAAAGATTGTGCATGGTTTTGATACTGTCTTCTCGAAGAATTGTAATGTTCACTGAGCTGAAAGTTCAACAGGTTAGTTTTTGAACATTCCTCATTGGATTTTGGGTGGTGTTATTATTGGAAACGAACAAAATGAATGAAAAACAATTGATACATTTAGAAGTATACAGACTTTTTCTATTTGCACTGTTATGTCCTCGGTGCAGCTTTTTACCATTTCTCATCTTGGAGAATATGTACTTTATCATTTTAAAGGATCAGTTAATGAGCCTATGCACACTTCTGTATCTTCTGAAACTGTCGTAACAACATCTGCAAGCATCACTTCAGAAGGTAACTGGCCTAACTCGACATTTTTTTCCCCAATTATGTGCCATCTTGTGTTATTTTTCTCTATAATGAAGTTTGTCAATATTTCTCATAACGGTATTTGCTGCTGGTTTTTTTTTTCGAAAACCTTTCGTTTGCATGATAATTTGGTTTCATGTCTTACAGAGTAATGACATTAGCAGAATTGTTCAACACTTTTTGAAATCTTACACACTGTACTGTAGTGTATAGAGATACACTTGATATTTTTTTCATATTAGAAGTATTGTTAGCTACTAGAGAAATTGATTTTAATGAATGGCAAAATAAGTTTTCGGTATAACTAAATCTGTTGTGTGTTTGTGTCATTCAACAGAATCACCTGGGATCGCAGCAACGGTGGCAACTACTGAGAATCCCGCTACTCAAGGTGTGAAACTGTTTGAAAAAACTTTTACTTGAGTAAAACCCATGATTTCCCACAGGGAAGTGTTGTTTCTTGTAAAATGACATGAGATAATGTTATACTGTCTCAATAATTTCTTCTTCTTTTTTGATCATCCAATAGAGTCACCAACAGTGACTGGAAAGCCACCAACACAATCTAATGAAGACTCCATAACTGATTTGTCGACAACCACTAAAGGTGAAACAATTTTTTTTTTTTATAAACCATTATCATGTTGCGGCCATCTTGATTTTCTCCCCAATCAAATCAACGTAACCAAAGCGAGGCGAGGAAAAATAGTCTGGTTCCTTTTTGCAAAAAAAAACCGATTATAGTTCAGTACTGTTATTGCATACAGGGAACATGACTGAAATGTTGACAGCATGATAAAGGTCTATTGTCCTCTGTGTAGCTGACTGACTATCTGACTGATTCACGGACTGACTGTCACTTGTGACGTACTCTGGTCCTGGACCAGCTTTTACAAAAGGCGTGCCTATTTATAGCTCGCTTTCCTGTGCACGGCTTCCACCCATCTTTTCAACAACCTTCAAGTTCATGGTCCACAAAATGTTCTAACAGCAAAGAAATTGTGGGCATACAAATCGTGATTTGGCCCGCCTAGGCAATGTTGGGCCTGTTTACAATAATCCCGGACGCCAGATTTTGATTGGGTTTTGATATGGTAAATTCTAAATAAGAAGGGTTATAGAAGAGTACTTTAATTCCCTTTAATACCCAAATGAAACGTGTTGTGTAGTTTCAATTGAAGCGGTACGCCCTTAAGGAGGTCCGCGTTAAAATAATTTCACTGAAGGGCGCCAAGGCAGCGAAGACAAACCGAATGAAACCAGAGGCGCAAATGTACTTTCCAAAACGTGTTCTTTCACAAAGACTTTACAAAAATGTGTGGCTTTTGACATCAATCTCACGTTAAAGGTACTTTCACTATTAGACAACTAGCAATTTGGTAATTGCAATTAAAATTAAGAATTAAGAGTAATTTCAAGTGTAAATTGACTTAAAATCAGTTTAGTGAGCTTAAAACTTAAGTTCACAAAACTGATTTTAAGTCAGTTTACACTTAAAGTTACTCTTAATTCTTAATTTTAACTGCAATTACCAAATTGCTAGTTGCCTAATAGTTAAAGTTCCTTTAACAATTCAAATATTCAACAAGTTCAAAGTTTTTAATATCCAAGTTCTCTAAGAGTTGCAATCGCTTTAATAAAGTTCTAAGTGTTTAGTTCCTATAAGTTTTTATAAGTTAGGCAGTAAAGTTGTTATAAAGGTAATGTTCCCCGAACATGAATGGCTGCCCTGTTCTTTTTTTTTTTCAGGCGTTACAGAAGGTTGTCATTTGTCTGCGTTGAGCTGTTTGAATGGAGGGACCTTTGATGCGGAGTTTTGCGAGTGCGTCTGTCCACTTACGCACTCGGGAATGACGTGTGCTGGTAAAACATGTGTTTTTCCCTCTCGTTTTCCTAGTGTGGTTTGAAAAAAAAGCTGTATTCCCACGGATTGGACAGCAACTCCATTTCGGAATAATCAGAGATCGGGAGATTTGTGGACAAAGTTGATTGTATACGCCATTAGAAATTAAACAAATCACCGAATGGTTTTCTTGTGGATGGTTTATACCTTTAGTTTGTTTGCCATCTAAGTAAGAGCATAAAAGAGTTATGTGTGCAGACTCCTTGACCACCCGCAGTGTATTATTGTGGCATGGTGTGTACAAAATGAGATGCTCTGGTAATGTTCCAATGCAAAACGTCTTTCACAATGGTTTTCTGATTGTGCACTTAATACAGGGTTATTATGCCTCTGTATTGCAGTTCCCGAGTCCAAACACTACCGGCATTTTAGGGGAATAAATTGAGTGATAAGCTAAATATATTTTATTCCCACACCGATATTTCTTTTCTTGGCAGATGAGAATCGCTGTCTTTCCAACAACAGATGTGGGAATGACCAATACTGTTTACCAAGCAATGATCCGTTGGGATTTACTTGCCACTGCAATATCATCCAAGGATTTGTAGAAGGTGATTCTGGTCAGTGCCAACGTAAGTAACTCACTAGAAATTTGTGTCGCCATGTGTATTGATATTGTAAGGTAATGTACCGTAAAATGAATGTAATGTAATAGAAATGCAACTTTTCGCCTGGTATGTTTTATAGTTATGCTATTTATTGTAATTTTGCATTATCATATAAATAACAGGGAATGGGTCATTAGGAAATTAGTCATTAGGGAGACTTTCCCATAGACTTGTGCACATAATTTCAAACATTAATGTGCCCTAACCCAATATTCCATTGTCCATTTTACACGAATTTCGGCCATTTTACTTATTATACCATGAGCAACGAATATTACAAGGGGGCTGTGCCATTAAGCAGACAGTTATTTGTCTCCCAAATGACCAGTGTCTCCGTATTTGTCGAAAAAAATAACGATAAGGTGTCTCCTTAATGGTACATTTAGAAATATATAGCTTTATTCTAGTTGTAAAGCGCATTGAAATGATAATTATAAGCGCATCATAAGTTATTATTATTATTTACTATTATTATTATACGTGTGGATGTACCATTTTCATGTTTCCCTAATGTCACATGTTCCATTTAGAGGCATTATTTTAGTGTCGAAATTAGGTTATTGTTGTTGCTCGTGGTCTAATTAGTAAACATACCGAAATTCATGGGAAAAGGACAAGGGAATATTGGGTTATGGCACATTAAGTTTGAAAAATGTTGTGCACAAGTCTATGGGAATGTTAGGACACATCAATCAAGCTCTATATGTTAAAACATTTTTAACTATGTAGCATGGTTCAAACAGGATCACATTCATTTGAAAAGCCTGTTCACTTTACTTTGCAATACTACGTACATTTCTTCTAAATCTTTTTTGTGAATAGCTTTAAACAAGATAATAATAAAAAAAAAAAAGAAGAATCAATCTTTTCTAAAATTTCAAGCACGTATGAAAAGCATTGACAAATAATTGTTTGTTGTTGCTAACTTACTGACAAAGCATTTTTTGATGCATAAAACAACGTATGTACTGTATTTTAAATTGGCATTAATAAAATACACACACGTTGTCCAATTCAATAAAAAGGTAATTGTGTAAGCAAAGCAGATTTCAATAGGACTGCATATGCAGTTCCGTTGTGTCATTCGCTGGTATCCAACAAACCGAAATCAGGTATCGACGAGCTTGGCCTACTTGCTTCAAATGATGTTAGTATTCAAGTGTCGCAATTAGGTTTTTTTTTGGTTGCTCGTGGTCTAATTAGTAAACATACCGAAATTCGTGGAAAAAAAAGGACAAAGGAATATTGGGTTATGGCACATTACGTTTGAACAATTGTGTGCACAAGTCTAAGGGAATGTCTCCCAAATGTCCAATCCATGGTAATATTATTATTATGATTATTATTGTTATTACCATATAGATTGAAGGCGCCCTGAATACTCAGATCATCGAGGTCGAAACGCAGTCTTGTTTTGCATAATTAATCGCCGAATCTGTGCGCATATCATAGACTCTTGCTCGCGAGAGGATATTCCATAGACTATGACCATCTGCATACTATCCCAGAGTAAAAATGTAAAAAAAAAGACCCGTTAAAAATTGTGGTCACAATAAGCTCTGATCTAGTTTGTACCAAACAATTCGAAATTACCATTAAAAAGGTTGTTCATGTATTCGACCTAGTGGCACTCAACAACGTTGGATTTTCTTGTCTCCCAGATTACCCATCCAAGAATGCCGTGATTACTGTCCTTATGGACTTCAACGATGCCTTCAAAAACCCAGCGTCGAAAGCTTTCAATAAAACTGCAGCCGTGTTTGAGAATACAGTAAGTAAATTATATCTTTCTTGTTTCCTCGGCCAACAAACCTTGGTCTCTGAGGTCCTACCAGAGAGGTGCTGCCAAGATTCAAAACACTGAACCCTCACTTTCTGGGATTCGAATATTTCAGGTCAATTCAGTCAGGAAGCAGCAGTTTTATTCATTGCTTTTTAAAAGAGGAATCCCTGAAACGTTAATGACACTTACAACAACGTACGTTGTAAACCGTCTACAGAGCAATTTTTTTAAGATTCTGACAAGATTCACATACAGAATGGGTTTCTAATATTTGTTTTTTGTACATTTGTACAGGACAGATTATGACAGATTTTGTACAATCCGTCGTTATTTTTTTGGGTCAAGATTGACTGTTTTTGGAATCTAATCTGACTGCCGTTTCAAGATGAAGCAGGCACTGGTCTCGGTATCGCGATTTCAATGTACAATTGTAAAAATGTAAAAGAGCATTATTTTCCAGATTGTGCTAGGTTTTTCTCTCAAATATGTATGAAAATAATAACTCTTAGCACATCTACTAATTGTACTCCAACGTATTAAATCTCTGAAGAGTGCTTGGGCGGTTTTGGGCAGTACAGGGAGTAATGGTTAAAAAGTTCAACCTCTGTTCACAGCTCATGTTTGATATTTTTAAATCCTAGATTTTGAAGACTCTTAAGGAACACCCATCAACCAATGGCGTTTTGTCGGTGGTAGTTCCTTTAATGGAGGAGGGCAGTGTGGTCATCAGATCTGTAGCACTGTTTGAAACTGCTGCACCGTCCAACGCCATTATACGTGAAGTGCTGGCGAACAGTGATACACTGACTGATGGCAGTACAGTCATTGACATCGATCAAAACTCGATCCTTGTGGATGGTGGGTTGATGGTAGACACTACTGTCGTATAAAATGATGACTTTAGAACCGTTATTAAAGCATAGTAAGCAGCATGAAAAACGACAAACGTAATATTAGATTACAACCTTTTGCTTGCTATTTTGGCAGCAGTTATTTCCAATAAACAGCTGCCAAATGAAATATCACTTTAGAATATGAACATGTATTTCTTGTGAAGCTGTACAAATACTTTTATCAGATATTTTTAATTTCAATTTCTAGAATGCCATAAAGTTGAATATCATTTATGTTCCATACTTAAATTTTACAAAAAAAAATATCATGAAGGCATAACAAGTCACAGAAATATGGAAAAGGTTTTGACCAGTTCAATTGCAGCAGGCGAATTGTATAAGCTACCATTGCTAGATTCTGAACATATTCAACCTGGAATATTTCCAAAACAAAGTGCTGATAACTTCACTATGGGAAAATTGAAAATTGCCGAAAACCTGTTTCGAATCTGTAAATAATACACACTTAAATTGACTTGTTGCGGGAGGATTTGTTACACACGTTACCCTGGATATTCAATGAGGCGACGTATCAGTGAGACCAGCTTTGCTAGGTTTGACTTGTCTTGTGATTGTTTATATGATAGATGAGGCAATAGACTGTGTACCGACTTACTGCATGAACGGTGGGACGTGTGAGACATTGGGCATCTTTCCTTATAAGAACTACGCATGCAGGTAAAGAATGCCAGACTTAAAAGTTCATCCCCTTTAACCCAGTTTCCTCTTAGCTAATTATAAGGACCCAACAATCAAGCTTTATATGTTAAAGCATTTTGAAATATATAGCATGGTTCAAACATAACCACATACATTTGAAATGCCTGTCAACCTTACATTTCTTCCAAATCTTTTTAGTGAATAGCTTTAAACAAGATAATTTAAAAGTAAGAATCAATCTTTTCGAAATTTCAAGCACGCATGAAAAGCATTGACAAATAATTGCATGATGTTACTAACTTACTGACAAACATTTTTTTGAGCATAAAGCAACGTCTGCACTGTATTTCAAATTGCCATTAATAAAATACACACACGTTGCCCAATTTATTAGGTAATTGTGTAAGCAAAGCACATTTCATGAGGAATGCATATGAAACTCCGTTGTGGCATTCGCTTGTATCTAACAAAACGAAATCATGTGACGATGAGCTTGGCGTACTAACTTCAAATGATGTCTTTGTATTGGGTGTTCTATCTGTAGATGTTTCCTACCAGTTTCCATTTTCGAAAGATATGCCTCAAATTTTGAGCATGAAGAAAATATTAATTAGACTCGAGTAGACAATCTTTAATCAGTTTAATGGAATTGGCTTATTTTCAGGTGTCCTGAGTCTTTTAGTGGTAAGCGATGTGAGTCCGAAGTGTTGCCACATCCAGAAGGTAAATTTGCAATGTATTCTTATCACGTCATACAAGTTGACTTACAAATAAATAAAGACACTTTGATGACAAAGAGACAACCCAGTTGCATGTGTCCACTTGGCCCAAGTGATGACGAATGAAAGCTTCTTTATACCGTTAGATCACATTATACATGTATCACTACCTACTCAAAGTTTGATAATCCCCTCATTTATTTCCAGATGGATTGTCAACATTGGCCCTAGCTTTCATCATCATTGGGTCTCTCGCTTTGGCTGTCGTGGTGGTAGTCATGCTAGTCTGCATTGTTCTTCACAACCAAAGCCTGCAGGCAAAGGTTTCTGCCAACCACCGGAATAAGGTTGCCCCGATTATAGTTGAGGAAGCGACAATGACTAATCGTGTGGTGGACAACATCAGTTACCCACCTGACCTCCAGCAGGTAGTTAATAACATTAATAACGTCCCTTGGGTCTAGTTGCCCTACACACAATGTTCTCTTCTGTTCAATTACTTCAATAAAGGATAGGTTTAAAGCAAAGGTTGCCCTGAAATGAACCACAGGCGAGGGAAGAAAATGTTTCCGACATTTTGGGATAGTGTATTTGACCACCCTTTGGGAATGTTGTTTCATAGAATCATGACATCTCTCAACAGCCTGTCAATTCCATGGTGTACCCTCAGACCCATCCCTTATCGTGCTTTTCAACCATGCAAATCATATTTATTTATTTTTGACCTGGTTCAAGATTATTAACAACATTTACAAATAATTATAAACATTTCAAGTTGAATAAGTGGTGCTGGTTGCTGGAAGCAAAGAGCCGCCAATGTTGTTCACACTTCATTGAAATTACCAAACGAAAGGTCCATCGTTTGAGGAATTCATTGATAATTTAGAGTTGCACAAGAATAGATATATATCAAAGAGATATCAAGGGAAAAAAACATAATTATGTCAATGAATTTTAAAAATTAACATTTTCTGAAAAGTAAGTATTTACATTTTTGTGTGTTTTTTTTTGGAAAACACGAAGGCTTTTAAGTGTTTTAAAATTGCATATTTAAGAGTTTCATATCTTGAGATATTGAAGTGTCGCACTGTTGGAGCATTGGAAAAGGCATGTATTGAAGGAATGTGACAAATATAAAAAAACCTGGCTGGCAAGATAGTAATGAATCCGATCATTTAGAAAAAAACAATGCATTAGTTATTATTCTGGTAAGACTTTATTCTGGTAAGACTTTATTGACTTTATTTTATTGGTTTAACCCATGAAAATAATAATAAACTCAGAGTGCACCTTCCCCTCTTTGTATCCTGTTTTAACCCTCCGACGCAGAAAGCCCATTTAGTAACACACTTACAGTAAGGGGTCCCCCGGGGACCCAAATATTTAGCGCCACGGTTTGAGGCTACACAACACTGTATCCACATGAACACAATCTTGCCATGTCTGTAGACTAAGGAGGTGTATTTGTATACATAGTCTGTGGTCAAGCCGTGCACTGTCTACTCGCAAGTGACCTTGGTTGTGCATGTGTATATGGTGGGTCCCCGGGTGGGCAGAAATTGCATCGGAGTTGTTTTGTGCGCGTGCATATGGTGGGTCCCCGGATGGGCAGAAATTGCGTCGGTCCTTAGCCCAGGTTGTCATGCTCAGATATGCCTGACCCGGGGTCACACACTAAAGGTGACTGCATATATCCGTAGAGGGTGTCTCTTGCTAGGATTAGATGGAAGATCACCAGAATTGGTTTGAAATATTTTTTTTAATTAAGGTACTTAACCAAATTGGGTCCCCAAAAGGGCTAGATTCTGCGCCGGAGGGTTATTCTGAAGACTGTTGGAAGTGACCTGTCGAATTATAAGCTATAAACGTTAAGAGCACGCCTCCTTCTTTATTCTGCAATTCACAGGGTTTGGCAGGCCGTGAAGCGTTTGCTATGTCATATATGGTGATAGGCATGGAGAATCGCAGTGACGGGACAGCAGTAAGTAAAGTACATAACTTTCATGTACATAACTTTCTATCATGTACATAACTTTCTAAGTAAACCGATCCATTGGGCCGGGCCCACTTCGCGCGTGGGCAACAACACAATGTGGCAGGGGCGGCGGAACCGGGGTGGGGGTGGGCTGGGGGCACACTTCCCCCCCCCCCCCAAATTTACCAAGTGCCCCTTTTGCGGACATAAATGTGCCCCCTCGCGCATAATTGTGCCCGCTCGAGATGAAAACAAAACAGGCCCAAAAATTTCGGACCCTTTTTTTCAGTAACCATTTCCTCAAATGGTATAGAGATTTCTGATATGAACGAGGAATATGAAAAGCCCCAAAACCCTTTGAACGCACCCTGAAAATGGGCACATAATGCGTAGTTTGCAGAATGGCTGGTTTTGAAGAGCGGCCCCTATTTTGATTTTACGAAGGCCAAGTGTCCGGTCAAAAATACGGGTCGACATTTCAGCGACGGATCAAGGCAAGTGCCCCTTTTTGGTGACCCCAATATATTCTATTTGCCCAAAAAACTGGTGAACTTGGGTCCAGATCATTCTGACTCACCTAGTAGATCTCACCTCATATGGCGACGGGTTCAAATCCTTCAATTTTCAGTGGTTGTTCGTTGATTCTGTCCTGTGGCACAAGGTTTTTTTGAAGGGGTTCACCCCTTTCCTCCCTGCGCCAAAATCAAAAACTTTCGATCTGATTGTGCCCCGAGACAACACATGGGTGGTATGGTGGCTGCCCAAGGCACATTTACAGGCCCTCGGATCGACCACGTTGTAGCCGCGCCTTTAAATCGCAATTCAGCTTCTGCTGCGAGTAAAGGACAATGTTCGACCATGCAAACGTATTTATTATATTATTTTGCATGTTGGATATTAATCACAGCTGTTATCACATGATGGGAAGGTGCTTAATAAACCAGTGTATGAACAGTCTGTGATTTTTATTCTGAAATTTATGGCGTATTGCATTAAAAAGAAATGTTAGATGTAAAATTATTTAATTAGACCCAACAAAATGCATCTAAAGTGTCAATTGCGAACACCTGACTAATGGTGAAAGATGCCTTTAAAATACCTAATTTATTGAAAGCTATATCTCGTGGTGAAGTAAAATTATAGCCTCCCTCTGTGAGCCATGGAGCATATTAAGCCGATTTTAAAAGGGAGATTTGGAACTGACCCTTTTTTTGTTTTTGTTTATCACTCATATACATTAGTATAGAGCCTTTAAAGGTGCAAAATTGCTTGCTCGCAAACCACAAATTGATGCATCCTTGGAAAAATTAAATGGTATATGGCTTTTAGTGTATTTTGAGTAACTTGATCTGTGTTGTTTTAGCCTGACACTTTTGTATTTTTATATCATACCTCAATTGTTTTACATTATCAGGCAAAAACAAAACCTAGTGGAAACTCGTCATACCCATTTACATTTTTTTTTGTCTTACAGGATGACGTCGCTGGCCGCTTGGATCGCAATTCTCGTGTCTGTTAGATTGAATGTGGACCGTACGCCGTTCTGAGAGAAGGATAGTAAAGATTTGCAATCTATCGGAATCGTTGTAATCTATCGGAAGAAAGAAAAGCTTTCAGTAGTCTAGTTTCTTGCTTGTTTAATTGTTAATTTTGCTGGTTCCACAGAGTTTCAGCCTACAGTCCGCTTTGTACTTTATGGAGTCACTGACTCACCGTCACTTGTAAGTCGGGCAGTGCTATCATATAGGATTACCCCTAATGTCAATGAATCAGCCAAATCTGCCCCGTTGTGTACAAAAGATGCATAAATCGAGCCCTGAGCTGAAGCAATTGAATGTAATGTTGTGGCCTCTGGGACCAGCTTTTCAAGGCTTGCCGTGTTGTGCATATTATTATCCTAATATTTGTTCAGCCAATGCATGTTTTAGTGGACACAATATAGGAACCCAATCCCTGTAAAGATCAAGATAAAAGAATGAACTGTTTCTGCCTTTTGCAGAAAGGCTACTTTTGACACAGTTAAAAATGTGACTGTCAATAATTCACTTGTCGTTTAATATGAAGGTAAACTGTACTAGTAATAATCAAACATGGCAATGACAACTAACACTTCACGTATTGAATATATTTCAATGTTAAATACTCAGAAAACAAACACATGTTGTTAGTACATTTTGTAGTACAATGTAAGATAAAAGTGTTATCAGTAATGATTATGAAAATGGCGAGTGAAAACTTAAGCGATTTCTTGAAAATGTATACAATTTGTAAACTGTTTTCTAGTTAATCAAAAAAAAATTACTCTCATTACTGTATTATCCAGTCTGCAATACGTATACTCAGAAAAACAATTTATGTAAGGCCTAGTTTACCCAAGAAAGGTTAATTTGCTAGATTTGTACTTCTACTATGTTTCATAAAATAATACCATTTGTTGCTAAAATCATCTAAAAAAGATCAGCAAACGTTTATTTCTCTAAGCAGTGACGTTACAGCTGTAAAGGCTGAAAATATCAATTTTCAAAAATATTTACAATTACATTGATCAGCTTAAGGGTTCAAATTCATTATTACAAAATACTACAGATTTGCGTTGGTTTTAACGACTGCATGAGACACTGCCCATTAAATTTGTGAATATTTTTATGTCGGAACAGAAAAAGGATCATGAAATTTAGCCTTTACAGTAAAACTCTTTGGGTTTTTTTTTAAGTATAATAAATGTCAGAATACATTTTATATGCTTATACAAGTTATTTCCGGTTTGATAACAACATCAGTCACAAATGGGAGAGTCAATACTGATTTACTTAAGAGAGGATACATGTTCATCGTGAAAGAAAAACATATTGTACAAATGTGGAAATTATAAGTGTTATTTAACGCCTCACTTCAGATTTGATGACGTCACGGCATTTGAAAGTCCTAGAAGCATTTGGAAGCGCCTTGAGCGTCAATTTTGACGGATTTGTCGCTATACAGGAATTAGATTTTATTGTTAGTAGTAGTATTAGGTCAACATTGAATCGGATATTATTAGTGTTTGGATCAAGAATAACTTGTAAAACATGGATGATAATAAGGATTAAAAAAAAAAATTATAGACCATTTTCAAATTATCCATAAAATTTGTTTGAGTCTGATAACGTCATGATTCTAAAACCAGACAGAGTTATCTGCAGTTATCCGAAGAATATCTGGAGGAGTTTGGGAATGTAGGATTACGGGATGTTCCCTCATCGCATATTCTTTCATTTGCATGTGACCCCGACAGTCCACAGTGTATTAATACGTGAAAACATAATTGTTCGAATTATCTTAGAAGTATATGATTATCTTAAAATTAATGTGGCCTGACGTTGCAAACTAGCAAGTTCTTCTTCAGAGGCTAAAACAGAAATGACAGAGGTACATATATGATTTCATATTCTTTTAGATCTTGTTTTGAAGTAATTGCATTTTTATCACTGTTAAAAATGGATCATTGAGTATAGTTTAATGAAATACAATGTACTTCATGTTTGTTTTAAAACTAGGCGTTGTAATATTGAGACCCGTTTGAGAAGGTTTTGGATCTTGTTGCTATAGTTCGTGGCGCATGTGCACAAACTGTTGTCGGTGTCTTGAATGTTGTGGGTCGCCATGTTGTTGAGATGTGACTGGCTTTTCGTCGGCCTTTCGTCACACTTTTAAGATGATGGTGGATCATTTTCTCACTCTCGACTATCATTGTATGATAGGTGACATTATTTAAATGATTCTGATGAGTCTTTGTGAGAATTTTACATTATTCGAGCGAGTTATTTTGAGTTCGTTTCTCGCTCCGTGTCACTCTTTGGTTTCATGTGACATTCACGAGCGTGTGCCTATTTTGCACGTGCGACCACCATTCGAACATGCATTTACAAGCGACTCCTCTGTGTGTTGTGTAAGGAGGACAACAGTGACGAGGTCCTCCTCCTGAACACTCTGGGAATTTGAAATACTTGTAATTTGAATTTTAACTTAGACATTTAGAGTTAGTTAATCAGGAAATGTACTGTCTTGAATTGCAACTCAATCTGTTGACATTTAATTAAATCTAAAGTGATTGATGTGAGATCATGAGAACTTGTTTATATCTTCAGTTTAATTAGTTTGTTTGTGTCAGTGCATGATCTTAAGTGTAGGACGGACCTACCACACACGCAATGCTAATACTGCCCAGACGGTGGATTTATTACAGTAACTTTCGACAAATGTAATAATTGTTTGCAGTTCCAACGATATTTTAATGTCTTCGTGATGTTCTGCTAAAAGGGTGTGCGTTTAGATGATCATTTGACGACGTCATGCTGTTTTTTGTGTTCGGTATTATTCACCTAACACTGCTATATTTATTTGTTTGTAGCGACATGGTTTCGTTTTCGAATTAAATTCAATTTTCATGGCAATTCCGGTAACACAGGAAGTGCAAGTCAAATGGCCTTTTGCCCTAAATCAAAAATATTGCCTGGTGAGGCAATGTCTTAACCCTAAAGAGGCCGTGTTATTTTGACCATCTCTCAGCCTGGGGGGGGGGGGGGGGGGGGGGCTAAGATTACGGCCATCTAGTGACGAAAAATGTTGAAACTCGGTACATGCATAGAGCAACAGACTCTTCATGAACATACCCAAGAAATTTCATGACCAAAGGTCAAATTAAGGGGTTTGGAATTATGGCTAATTAATTATTCATATGTATGAATGGCAATTCTGGTCTGTGTACACAACAGATTATGGGAAAATTAAGTTTTCACGAAAAATGTTTCGCTGCGCGACAATCCCTGGTCCGATTGTAATGTTTTTGGTGTCAACAGATGCGCAAGGCTTGAGGCTAAAAAGTCATAAAAGCTCGGGTCGCAAAAAAAAAAAATTGTTAAAGGCTATCGCGGAAAAAAGTCCCTTTTAGGGTTAAATATTGTAACGAAATGAGAACGCTGATCCATTTAGTGCAAAAAGTTCCACTTAGTAGTTGTTTTTCAAATGTTGACATTAAATCCGTTCATGTTAGGTTCTTAATCATCCCATAAAGCGTTTGGAAGAATTGTAGGGTTCGTTTTGATATCAAACTTATGTCTCCTTTAAGAATTCACTTAACGTTGACCTTCTGGTAGCCCCGAAAGTAAAGGATAAGGCGTTTCAGTTTCACGGCCAAAATTCAACTGAAATCGCTTTTCATTCGATACTTGATGACTTCATCACGAAACCTTTGGACATTGAAATTAAGCATTACATGTAAGATCAAACGCCTTTGCAGTGTTGCTCTTTGAAATAATTAATAAAACCACAGAAGTAGGGTGGCTACTAGAGAGCAATACAGTATTACGAAATTGTTTGATCTGAATGCTCAACTTCCATGTCATAAAAAAGAGTATATTGTAAAATGTGAAATAAAGGAAAGAAGATTCAAAACTTGCATCCAACTACTTTATTTATCATAAAGGAATAAATGTTGAAATTTTACTGATATTAATGAGCATAATTCTTTGAATAAGTCCAAAGATTGGGCACATTTTCTAATTGTAGCGTTTTAAATCACCAGAACCAAATGTAATGACAAAAGACAAATCTGCTTTTTAAATTTAATGCCAATTGCTGCAAGAAACGAATTTCACAAATTTACGATGACATTGCATGCTAAAAATTTGAATTATCATACTAAACCTTAAATGAAATCCAGTGGTGGTATATTGAAAGTCAAATTGAGAATTGAGTTTGGCGGTGTCCGGGGACAAATTAAAGTATCGATACAAGGAATGCGTATGATGCAACCGGGGAAACCTATAACATTACCGATAATTGGTCACAAAGAAGATATCACCATAGACTTTTGCACAAATAAGTCTTCCGACTGTAATAACCCCTAACCCGATTTTACTTAGTGCTACCCCACTCAATTTTATAAGAGTTTACAAGGTGCTACGGCGCATATTTGCATCCACTGCCAAAAACACCGGGGCAAACCCCTTCTCTTAGCAATAAGTGTTGCTGGGTTCTTGAACCTGCATTGCATGGGACCTATACAGCTTTACGTCCCATCCGAAGGACGAAGCAAAAATGGTAAATTGCCTTGCTCAAGAGCGTAACAACCATGTTCACCGTCAGAATTCGAACCCATATGTACGGTAGGCCTACACAAGTCGAACAACGTAACCATTGGACCACAACACCCCACCTATTTATTGTATTTATTTGTTTGCTGTCATATTCATACAGGGTGGCTTTATCAGTTAGAAAACTGCTTTCCGTTAGCGCCCTGGTTCCTTTTCATAAATGTAATTAAAACAGTAAGATAATTTGAATAAAAACAAATTAATATACATATATCATTAACATTCAAAACATCAACAATCCAATTAAATTAAATTAGACATATCAAAGAATTATGACTAAACCCCAAAAAAATCAGAATAATACGAATCCTCAGTTAAAATTACACAGTTACACGGGACCTACGGCTTTACGTCCCATCCGAAAGATGAAGCAATAATGGTAAAGTACCTTGCTCAAGAGCACAATAACCATGTTCACTGTCAGAATTCGAACCCATACACGGTGCAAGTCGAGTCAAACATCCTAACCATTGGACCACAGAACCCAACCTATTTATTTTATTTATTTATTTGCTGTCATATTCATACAGGGTGGCTTCATCAGTTAGAAAACTGCTTTCCGTAAGGGCCCTGGTTCCTTTACAAAAATGTATTTAAAACAGTAAGATGATTTGAATAAAAACAAAACAATATACATATAATAGTATTAACAATAAAAACATCAATAATCCAATTAAATTAAATAAGACATATAAAGGAATAACGACTAAAACCCAACAAATCAGAATAATACAAATCCTCAGTTGAAATTAAAATAAAACATTTAGATTTAAAACAGTTATGATTATGATTAAAACAATGGAGAAAATGAAGGTAGTGTACTCTATAAACGCCAGGATGAGAAAATATGAATAAGTAAAAGCAACTGAATGATAGTCACGCTATTGGTTATGAATCCGCATCCTTACAATCCCATTTCCAAACCTCGTGGGATAGTCATTAATTAATGCAATTCATGAAACGGTTTGTGTAAGCAACTTTCAAGGATCGGCAGCACTTTTTTTCTGAAACTCAGTTATTATTGGCTGTATACAATAATATACACTTCTATGTCAATTGTTTTTCTGATTATGACTGTTATCCAGTCTTTGCATGTCCTTCAATGTGTTCACATGCTCCAATATCACTGTCCTCTGTTGTCACGGTTGGCACATAACCAAATGTTTCGTGTTTGATTTTGCTGTTTGTTTGGCAAATTCGTTTTTTGGAAACTTTAAATAGTTCAATATTACGGCATTATTTATTATGAAAACACCCAGACGCGTATCCCCATTACACAAAACATAACGTTTTAATGATGAATGATGAAAAATGTGGCAAAATGGCTTAACCAAGGCTTTCTTCGCCAGTTGGGGTCAAGATGCAAATTTGAGTCAAAGATAGTAACACTATTATTTTATAACCAGTGACAACATTAACGTGTCGTTTCGGTTTGCAGTATCACCATATGGTAATAACTACTGCTTAGAAGATATTTAGTTCTGAAAAGAACTTGTCCTGCTTATTTTCAACTGTCGCTAAGTGGTTTTTGTAATTTCTGATTAGAACTTGACAAATCTGCCATTGTTGAACACTTAACACCAATACAAGCATTCCCAATCCTAACACAGCCTACTTAAGGAGCAGCATCTCTAACTCTCTTAAGTCTCCTGACGATGACTAGAGAAGGCTAGTCGAAACGTTGAGACCAAAGACAAGTTCTGTTAGAACTTAAAGGTAGGACTGTTCTTATCAGAAAAAAACTACTCAGCGAAAGTTGATAATAAGCAGGACAAGTTCTTCCCAGAACTAAATATCTTCTAAGCAGTAGTTATTACCACATGGTGTTACTGCAAACCGAAATGATACCGATACATCACCATGCAAAGCCTCAAATCTAATATTAACGTGATCTTTACCAGTGAATTGATAATAACTGTACAACGAAATATATTTGTGTTTCAAAATAGAAATACTATTCTGTTATATACAACAATTAATCACGTTATATACAGCAGTTACATGCATAGATGATTATTCAGTGAGAATAAGGTAATCTTCACCAGTGATTCTACGGTGCCTGCAAAGTTAAACATATTGGTGTTTCGAAAGCGAAATAATCTTCTATTTTAAACACAGCACATTTACGAGTTGAAAACCTGCTATTCCGTAAGGTGAGTAAGTGGTTATTAAAAATGTTATTTACACTAGTTACTATAACCTTTGGGGATCGCGTTACTTTATTTATGTGATTTATAGGTAAATTGGAGGTGTTAATAAAACTGGAAAACGTAGTTTGGAAATCACGAGATAAAAACGTGAACATTATTTTGGAAAAAAAAACACCAAACCTCAAATTCCATACCAATCAAAGTAGTTCCGGTGTGTAAACAAAAATAATGGGTGGATGGGCTGATTGCTGTTTGTGGTTCTGCGTTCACCTTTATCCTTATTATTAGCAGCTCCTCATTAACAAGTCTGAGCAAGCCTGGTAAAGGGCAGAAATTGTATTCAACCCAGTATAAAACAAATCAGAAAATAACATTTTTTGTTATTGGTATTGAATTTGAAATTTGGTGGTTTTTTTACCAAATGTTCACGTTTTAATCACGTGATTTCCAAACTACGTTTTTTCGTTTTATTTCTTTTTTAAAACACAAACAGATTTTGTTGTACATTTACCATCAATTCACTGGTTAAGATCAAGTTAATATTAGATTTGAGACTTTGCATGGTGGAGTATCGGTATCGTCTCGGCTTGCAGTAACGCCATGTGGTAATAACTACTGCTTAGAAGATATTTAGTTCTAGAAAGAACTTGTCCTGCTTATAATCAACTTTCGCTAAGTAGTTTTTTTCTGATAAGAACAGTCTTGTTTCAAGTTCTAACAGAATTTGTCTTTGGTTTCAACGTTTCGACTAGCCTGCTCTATCGTCAGGAGACTAGAGTGGAAGATGTTACTCCTTAAGTAGGCTTGGTAAGGATTTGGAGTGCTTGTATAGGTGGATTCTGATTGGTTGTCTGTTGGGCATTGTGTTAGAGAGGGATGCCCTGCTCGCTCGTGTCAGTTGGCTGTGAGCCCTGGGCATTATGTTGAACTGGGATGAGCTGAGTGCCCTGCTCGCTCAGGTGTGTCAGTTGGCTGTGAGCTATGAGAGTTGCAACTTGGTATTATTGAATGCCATATGTTGCTTATGAAATAGCCGATATCTTGTGGTACAGTGTCTGTTTGTGGATCTCAATAGCTTCTCCGACACGACGGGTGTACCAATGTTTCTCTGGAGCTATGATTTCCACTTGTTCCCAATCAACGACATGATCCAAATCAGCAAAGTGTTTGACAATGGCAGATTTGTCAAGTTATCAGAACAAAAGCTACTTAGCGAAAGTTGAAAATCAGCAGGAAAAGTTCTTTTCAGAACTAAACATCTTCTAAGCAGAAGTTATTACCACATGGTGTTAACCAAAACGGCACGTTAATATTGTCACTGGTTATAAATTAAAAGTGATAATATCGTTGACCCAAATTTGCATCTTGACCCCAACTGGGCGAGGAAAGCCTTGGTGAAGCCATTTTGCCACATTTTTCATCTTTCATCATTATAACGTTATGTTTTGTGTAATGGCGATACGTTTCTGGGTGTTTTCATAGTAATAATGCCGTAATATTGAACTATTAAAGGTTTCCAAGAAACGAATTTGTTAAATTTACTGATCTTTTCAATCGGTAGTATCTCATGAAATTGTTGTCTTCCGGATCACTCAGCGTTTGTAATCCAACCAGCACGAATCTCTACTTCGTAGTTGTATTTTGTAATAATAAATTTGAACCCTTGAGCTAATCAATGTAATTTTAAATATTTTTGGAAACTGATATCTCCAGCCTTTACAGCTGTAATGTCACTGCTTAGATAAATAAAGGTTTGCTGATCTTTTTCAGATGATTTTATTTTAGCAACAAATGGTTTTATTTTATGAAACATAGTTGAAATACAAATCTAGCAAAGTCACTTTTCTCAGGTAAATTACATAAATTGTCTTTCTGAGTAAACATATTGAGGACTGACTAATACAATTATGAGAGTACATTTTTTTGATTAACTAGAATACAGTTTACAAATTGTATAAATGTTCAATAGATCGCTTTAAGTTTTCACTCGCCATTGTCGTAAGTATTACTGATAACACCTGTATCTTACATGGTACTACAAAATGTACTAACAACATGTGTTTGTTTTCTGAGTATACAGCATTTAAAATATTCGATTAAAAAGTACGTGAAGTGTTAGTTGCCATCGCCATGTTTGATTATAGTTTAAAATTATATCAGTAATAATCAAACATGGCGATGGCAACTAACACTTCACGTACTTTTTAATCGAATTTTTTAAATGTTGTATACTCAGAAAACATTATTCTAGCAACAAATGGTTTTATTTTATGAAACATAGTTGAAGTACAAATCCAGCGAAGTAACTTTTCTCAGGTAAATTACATAAATTGTCTTTCTGAGTAAACATATTGAGGACTGAATAATACAATTATGAGAGTACATTTTTTTGATTAACTAGAATACAGCTTACAAATTGTATAAATGTTCAATAGATCACTTTTTAAGTTTTCACTCGCCATTGTAATTATTACTGATAACACTTATATCTTACATGGTACTACAAAATGTACTAACAACATGTGCTTGTTTTTTTAGTATACAACATTTAAAATATTCGATTAAAAAGTACGTGAAGTGTTAGTTGCCATCGCCATGTTTGATTATTACTGATATAGTTTACTTCATATTAAACGACAAGTGAATTATTGACAGTCACATTTTTTCAATCGTTTCAAAAGTAGCCTTTCTGCAAAAGTCAGAAACTGGTCATTCTTTTAACTTGATCTTCACAGGGATTAGGTCCATATATTGTGTCCACTAAACAAGCATTGGCTGAACAAATATTAGGATAACAATATGCACAACACAGCAAGCCTTGAAAAGCTGGTCCCAGAGGCCACACCATTACATTCAATTGCTTCAGATCAGGGCTCAATTTATGCATCTTTTGTACACAATGGGGCAGATTTGGCTGATTCATTGACATTAGGGGTAATCCTTTATGATGGCACTGCCCGACTTACAAGTCACAGTGAGTCAGTGAGTCCGTGCAAAGCGGACTTGAGGCTGGAACCAGCAAAACTAACAATTTAAAAAGCAAAAGCATGAAACTAGACTACTGAAAGCTTTTTTTTCTTCCGATAGATTACAAAGATTCCTTAATAAATTTTTACTATCCCTCTCTCAGAACGGTGTATGTTCAATCTAGCGGACATCAGGATTGCGATCCACATAGCCAGCGACGTCATCCTGTAAGAGAAGGAAAATGGAAATGGTTGTGACAGATTTCGTATAGGTTTTGTTTTTGCGCGATATAATAAAACGGTTGAACTGTGGTGTAAAAATAACCAAAGATTCTGACTGAACAAACCCAGATCAAGCTACTGAAAATATAAGAAGTCATACCTTTCAATATTTCTAATGATGCATCAATTTGTGGATTTCGAGCAAGCACATTTGGACCTTTAAAGGATTTATATTGTTGTATATGAGTGATATACCAAAAAAGAGTGCAGCTCCAAATCTGCTTTTTAAAATAGACTTGATATGCTCCATTGAATACCGAGGGAGGCTATGGTTTTACTTCACCACCAAGCTTTCAATAAATCAGGTATCTTAAAAGCATCTGTCACCATTAGTCAGGCGTTCGCAATTGACACTTTAGAAGCATTTCGTTGGGTCTAATTAGATAATTTTACATTTATCATTTCTTTTTAATGCAATACGCCATAAATATCAGAAAAAAATCACAGACTGTCCATACACCGATTTATGAAGCACCTCCCCATCATGTAATAACAGCCGTGAATAAAATCCGAAATGCAAAATAAAATTGTGAATAAGTTTGCATGGTCGAATGTTGTCCGTACTCGCAGCAGAAGCTGAATTGCGAATTAAGGCGCGGCCTACATCGTGGTTGAGCCTAGGGCCTTAAAGGTGCCTTGGGCAGCCACCATACCACCCATGTGTTATAACGGGGCAAAAAAAGATCGAAAATGCTTGAATTTGGCGCAGGCAGGATAATCGGTGAATCCAGACAAAAAAAATGTGTCACGGGACAGAATCAACGAACAACCACTGTGTTCTCATTATATTGAATGAATTGAACCGGCGCCTTAATGTGATGTGAGATCTTTTGGTGAGTCCTACAGGGTCACCGTGAGTCGGAATGATCTGGACCCAAATTAACCGCTTTTTTAGACTGCTTCTCATCAGTACGCAATTTCACTAACTTTGTTGAACCACGGAACTGTGGTCAGAGTGTTTTTAGCGTTTGTTCTTTGCTGAGCGCTTTTCTTCAAAATGATATACATGAAACGTTCACCACAATTTCCAAACTACTAACCTATTTCTCTGTCAGCACTTGTTTTGATATATAGTTTTCATATTGTCTTTAATTTAGGTCCATATTATTCTGACTCACCCTGTGTTGTTACCCAGGCGCGAAGTGGGCCCAGCTCAATGGATCGGTTTACTCAGAAAGTTATTTTCATGTACTGTACTTACTGCTGTATCGTCACTGCGATTCTCCATGCCTGAAGCCATATCTGACATAGCAAACGATTCATGGCCTTCCAAACCCTGTGAAATGCAGAATAAATTTATTATTACTTTCATGGGTTAAAACCAATAAAATTTACCAAGTCTTACCAGAATAATAACTAATGCATTGGGTTTTTTTTTCTAAATGCATTTAAATGATCGTATTCATTACTATCTTGCTAGCCAATTTTTTTTTTAATAATTGTCACATTTCTTCAATACATGCTTTTTTTCCAATGCTTCAACAATATCTCAAGTTATGAAACTCTTCAATGTGCAATTTTCAAAATCTTCAAAGCATTCACGTTTTCATAAAAACCCGAAAATTAAAACAATGACTTTTGAGAAACCGTTGATTTTTGAAATTCATTGACATAATTATGTTTTCTCCTTGACATCTCTTTGATATATTTCTCTTGTGCAACTCTTTATTATCATTGAATTCTTCAAAAGATGGACATTTCGTTCGATAATTTCAAGGAAGTGTGAACAACATTGGGGCTCCTTGCTACCAGCAACCAGCACCACTTGTCAATGTTGTTAACAATTTTGAACCAGGTCCAAAAATAAACAAATTTGACTTGCATGGTGAAAATGCATAATAAGGGATGGGTCTGAGGTTCACCAGTCATGATTCTATGAAACAACAATCTCAAAGGATGGACAAATACACTATCCGAAAATGTTGAGAAGATTTTCTTCCCTCGCCTGTAGTTCATTTCAGGGCAACCTTCTTTTTTTTCAAACATATCCTTAATTGAATTAATTGATCCGAACTGAACACTGTGCGTAAGGCAATTAGACCCAAGGGACGTTAATGAATGTAATGAGTTACCTCCTTGAGGTCAGTAGAGTCACTGATGTTGTCCACCACCGCTTCCTCAACTATAATCGGGGCAACCTTATTCCGGTGGTTGGCAGAAACCTTTGCCTGTAGGCTTTGGTTGTGAAGAACAATGCAGACTAGCACGACTACCACCACGACAGCCAAAGCGAGAGACCCAATGATGATGAAAGCTAGGGCCAATGTTGACAATCCATCTGGAAATTAATAAAGGGGATTATCAAACTTTGAGTAGGTTAATAATACATGTATAATGTGATCATACGGTATAAAGAAGCTCTCATTCGTCATCACATGGCACGAATGGACACATGCAACTGTGTTGTCTTTTTCTCGTCAAAAGTGTCTTTATCTATTAGGCCAACTGGTATGACGTGATAGGAATACAACACACATTTACCTTCTGGATGTGGCAACACTTCGGACTCACATCGCTTACCGCTGAAGGACTCGGGGCACCTGAAAATAAGCCAATTCCATTAAACTGATTGAAGATTGTTTACTCGAGTCTAATTAATATTTTCTTCATGCTCAAAACTAGAGGCATATCTTTACAAAGTGGAAACTGGTTGGAATCTGCAGATAGAACACTTAATGCAAAGGCATCATTTGAAGTTAGTAAAGCAAGTTCATCGTCATCTGATTTCAGTTTGTTGGATACCAGCGAATGCCACAACGGAACTGCAAATGCATTCCTTATGAAATTTGCTTTGCTTACACAATTACCTTTTTATTTAATTGGACACAAGTGTGTTTATTTTATTAACGGAAATTTTAAATACAGTACAAACGTCGTTTTATGCATCAAAAATGCTTTGTCAGTGAATTAGTAACAACATACAATTACTTGAAATTTCGGAAAGATTGCTTACTTTTCTTTAATTATCTTGTTTAAAACTTTTCACTAAACAGATTTAGAAGAAATGTAAGTAGTATCGCAAAGTAACGTGAACAGGCTTCTCAAATGTGTGTGATCATGTTTGAACCATGCCATATATTTAAAAATGCTGTAACATATACAGCTTCATTGCTGTGTCCTAATAGCGATCCAAAAGGGAACCAAGTTAAAGGGAATGACATTTTAAGTCGTGTATTCTTTACCTGCATGCGTAGTTCTTATAAGGAAAGATACCCGATGTCTCACACGTCCCGCCGTTCATGCAGTAAGTCGGTACACAGTCTATTGCCTCATCTATTATAAAAAAAAAACCACAAAACAAGTCAAGCCTAGCAAATCTGAATATCCGGGGTAACGTGTGTAACAAATCATCCCGGAACAGGTCAATGAAAATGTGTATTAATTGCAGAGTTGGAACAGTATTTTTTTCTGTAATTTTCAATTTCCCACTCTGCAGCTATCGAGACTTGCAAAGCATGTCTCACTGATGCGTCACATCATGGGATATCAAGAGTAATGTGTGTTACAAATCCTCCCGCAACAGGTCAATTAAAGTGTGGATTACTTGCAGATTCGGAGCAGGTTTTCCGTCATTTTCAATTTTCCCACAGTGCAGCTATTGCGACTAGCAAAGCTGGTCTCACTGATGCGTCGCATCATTGAATATCCAGGGTAATATGTGTAACAAATCTTCCAGCAACAGGTTATTTAAAGTGCTTATTACTTGCAGAATTGGAACAGGTTTTCTTTAATTTTAAATTTTCCCACAATTTTTGCCTTTATTTTGGAAAGATCCCAGGTAGAATTTGTGCAGAATCCAGCAATTATACCTGATGCAATTCGCCCATTGCTGATGAACTTGTCACAACCTTTCCCATATTACTTTGACTAGTTATGCCTTCATGATTATTAGAATTTAAGTATGGAACAGAAATGATATTAAACTTGGTGGCATTCTAGAAATTGAAATTAAAAATATCTAATAAAAGTATTTTACAGCTTCACAAGTAATACATGGTCATATTTTAAAATGATATTTCATTTGAAAGTTGTTCGAGTTACCAAAATAGCAGGCATAAGCATGTAATCTAACATCACGTGTGTCGGTTTTCATGCTGCTTAATTTGCTTTAACGGTTCTAAAGTCATCATTCCATACGACAGTATTTTTTACCATCAACTCACCATCCACAAGGATCGAGTTTTGATCGATGTCAATGACCGTACTGCCATCAGTCAATGTATCATTGCTCGCCAGCACTTGACGTAAAATGGCGTTGGACGGTGCAGCAGTTCCAAACAGTGCTACAGATCTGATGACAACGCTGCCCTCCTCCATTAAAGGAACTACCACCGACAAAACGTCATTGGTTGATGGGTGTTCTTTAAGGGTCTTCAAAATCTAGGATTAAAAATATCAAACATGATCTGTGAAAGATGTTTAACTTTTTGAACCATTACTCCCTGTACTGCTCAAAACTGCCCAAGCACTCTTCAACCGCAACCACAAAAATTCAACGTCGGATTGTACAAAATATGTCAAAATCTGTCTTGCACAAATCTACCAAAAATGTTTATGAGAAACCCATTCTGTATGCGAATCTTGTCAAAATATAAATAAATAATCCCTCTGCATTTTGTCTAATGCCTATATTCAGACGGTTCACAACATATGTTGTAAGCGTGATTAACGTTTGAAGTATCTGTTTCAAATGAATAAACCTGCTGCTTCCTGAATGATTAACCTGCAGTATACGACAAAAAGTGAAACCTGTAATATACAGTAAAAAGTTTGGGCCTAATGTTTTGGATCTTGGCAGCACCTCTCTGGTGGGACCTTTGAGAATAAGGGTTTTTTGGGGGGCTGAGGAATAGAGAAAGATATAATTTACTTACTGCATTCTCAAACACAGCTGCGGTTTTATTGAATGCTTTCGACGTAGGGTTTTTAAAGGCATCGTTGAAGTCCATAAGGGCAGTAATCACGGCATTCTTGATGGGTAATCTGGGAGACAAGAAAATCCAACGTTGATGAGTGCCACTGGGTGCAATACATTAACAACCTTTTGTAACGGTAATCAATAATTGTTTGGTACAAACGACATCAGAGCTTATCGTGACTTCGAGAGTCGCAGCAAGAGTCTATTATTTGATATGCGCAAAGATTCGGCGATTAACTATGCGAAACACAATGCGTCTTGACCTCGATACTCTGACTATTCAGGGCACATTTAATGATTATAATTAATAATATAATAATAAATATTACCTTGGATTGGACATTTGGGAGACATTCCCATAGACTTTAGGACAAAATGTTTATATGCCCTAACCCAATATTCCCTTGTCCTTTTTCCCACCAATTTCGGTACCTTTACTAATTAGACAACGAACAAAAAAAATAGCCTAATTGCAACAATAAAATGTTGCATTTAAAGGGAACCCTTGTCACTTAGGAGACACCAAAATGTCTCTCTAATGACCGGTGTCTCCAACCGTTCAAAGAAATTACGAAATCATGTATCCTTAATGGTGCATTTCACGTATAATAATGGTAATAAATAATAATAACTTATCAATCGCATATCAGTATCATTTCAATGCGCTTTAAAACTAAGATAAAGTTACCTATTACTAAATGTACCATTATAGGGAGACAACATATCGTTGTTTTTGATAATAGGAGATCGGAGACAATAACCGTCTCCGTGATGTCACAGCCGCCCTTTAGAGGCAAAATGTTGCTGTCATAGGTTATATTCTGTGCTCGTGGTCTATTTAATAAAATTACCAAACCTCGTGGAAAAGGACAAGGGAATATTGGGATAGGGCACATTGAAATCAAACATTTTTTGCCCTACTCTATGGGAAAGTGTCCCTAATGACTAACTCCCTAATGGCCCATTCCCTGTTATTTATACGATAATTCAAAAATTACCATACATAACATTACTATGATACTGTAAAGGAATTGAGCACTGCACTTGAACTAGCGCAGCATCCGCAATATTTTTGCTTATGTAAATGAGGCGATCGATAAACGTGCGCCAGTTGTCAAGTTGTCACATTTTTGGCTGGAAGCCAAGGAAGGCTTTGGGGGTAGGCACGTTTTGGAGTGCTGTGGGGAAGCTACGAAAAATACGTTGGTACTGCGAATAACAGACTGTAATCGGGATCTTCTTGAAGTGAGTAGACGTTAATTGTTTGCAAAATATTTTATTGATGAACGTTAGAGAATAAAACAGTGGAAAACACTCTTTATAAGAGTATACTGTATTTCAACCAAAGACCAAGTTCGTAATCCTTTATAGAACCCGAATATCTTTTCGACCCCAGACCGCTTGTTGAACGTGACATAGTATATACCACGCGAAAAGTTACATTTATATTACGCTACATTACAATACAGTATCGATGCACAGGGCAACACAAATTACGAGTGAATTACTTACGTTGGCACTGACCAGAATCACCCTCGACATATCCTTGGATGATATTGCAGTGGCACGTGAATCCCGACGGATCATTGCTTGGTAAACAGTATTGGTCATTCCCACATCTGTTGCTAGAAAGACAGCGATTCTCATCTGCCAAGAAAAGAAATATCAGTGTGGGTATATAGCATATTTCGCTTATCACTCAATTTATTCCCCTAAAATGTAGGTAGTGTTTGTATTCGGGAACTGCAATACAGAGGCATAGTAAGCATACTTGCACAATCAGAAAACCATTGTGAAAGACGTTTTGCATTGGAACATTACCAGAGCATCTCAATTTTTTTACACAACAATAACAAGCTGCAGGTGGTCAATTAGTCCGCACACATAACTCTACTGTGCTCTTACTAAGATGGCAAATAACAAAGGTTTAAAAAATCATCCACAAGAAAAGCATTCTGTGAATTGTTTAATTTTCAATGGCATATACAATCAACTTTGTCCACAAATCTCCCGGTCCCTGATTATTCCGAAATGAAGTTCCTGACCAATCAAACTACACTAGGAAAATGAAATGGGAAAACAAACACATATATGTTTTACCAGCACACGTCATTCCCGAGTGCGTAAGTGGACAGACGCACTCGCAAAACTCCGCATCAAAGGTCCCTCCATTCAAACAGCTCAACGCAGACAAGTGACATTCGTCTGTAACGTCTGAAAAAAAAGAACAGGGCAGCCGTCCATGTTCAGGGAACTTTAACTTTATAACAACTTTACTGCATAGCAATTGAACATTTATTGGAACTTAACACTTAGAACTTTATTATAGCGATTGCAACTTTTAGAGCACTTGTATCTGATAAACTTTAAACTTTGAGTATTTAAAATGTTATAGGAACTTGCGCTATATGAAAAGTAAGAACTTCGCAATTTCAATTAGAATTAAGAATTGGGAGTAACTTTAGGTGTAATTTGACTCGAAATCAGTTTTGTGAGCTAATATTGAGATTGATATAAAAAGCAACGAATAATTGTAAAGCCTTTGTGAAGAACACGTTTTGGAGAGTACATTTTCACTTCTGGTGTCGTTCTGTTCGTCTTCGTTGCTTTGCCGCCCTTAAATTTAATAAGTTAAACAGACATCTGTAATGGCTAACCGCTTCAATTGGAAATACCATGTTTTATTTGTTTTAAGGGAATTAAAGTGTCCTTTTGTTACCCCTCTTATTTAGAATTTACCGCATCAAAATCCATCAGGTTTACTTGTGTTCCATTTTGTAAGAGAACCCCATAAGTGCCATCTTTAATAGCACAAACAAAATCACCACGCAGATTTGAAACGACGCTGATTTCTTTTTCGAAATTAATCTTACCAATGCATCGCTTCCCATCCTCATGCAGTAAGTATCCAGCATTGCAGCTACACGTGAAGTTCATAAGGATATTGTGACAGTTCTGGTCGCAGCCCAGTCCGCCACCGCTAGCTGGCTGGTCTCTGTACAACTCGCACTCATCAATATCTGCAGACAGACGCGGTAAAAAGGGAAACTACAACCGGAGTTCAAATTTTATTTCTTGAACCTACCAATGTGGTAAAATGTGCTTCTCTGTGGACTCAGCACACAAATTCCACCCCCCCCCCCCTCTCGATTAGTTTGGGGAGAAGACCTCAGAATGGACATTTGAACGCATTGCTGACAGAGCCTGACACGCATGCAAGCAACCCCGTTCTCATGTTGAATTATCAAGAGAACGAGGCTTCTTATGACCAGACACATGTTAGTGGGGAGTGGAGAACAAAGATGGCGGAATAAGGCCCTACCGCAACCTTGGCTTACTTGTCGTGCATACTATGATCGCAATTCTCGCGATGATTCTAGTTTGTGGCTGCAAGTCATATTAAGGGGGAGGGTAGGAGGAGATGAACACCATATGACTAATTGGAGGCTATTTCAGAACAGACAATCTTGAACACTATCTTGAACAGTATCTGGAAATAGAAGGTGCACATCGCTCAAGATTTTGGTGATCATACAATGATCGGGGCGACACAATGTCCAATGGTGTGACTCCTCAACCCCACCCCGCCACAACAATGTCCGTGACTCTGGACAACTGTGGGCATTCCTGACTGACCTTGGCAGGTTTTCCCGTCCCCTTCAAGTCCCGCTGGACAAGGTCCGCAGGTGCTGTTCAACGAGGGTGGATCCTCATCCACGCAATCAACATTCAGGAAACACGGGTTGTCTGCGCACGCGTCGTAGTTCTCTTCACAGAACTCTCCCGACCAGCCGGGCTCACATTGGCATAACACGACCTACACTCAATAAAACAAACCCCATTCAACTTTGATCTCATTAACCAACTACAATTGCAATTTACTAGGTCTTTACTTAGGTATTAATGGGTCATTCTTTTTTAGACAGTGGTGCACACAGTTTGCAAAATATCCAGAATGTACCTTGATGGTAACTTACCCCAAATCGGTCTTGAACGATATCCACCCCACTCGCGTACTGATCAAACAGGCAGGTGCCGCCATTCTGACAGTCACAGAGCTTCACAATAGGTTCCAGTGTGGCATTCGCTTTTCCATCTGTTGCTAAAAAGCCGATTTTCACCTTAGTCTTGTCCTCTGGTGTCCAAGAAAATCGACCTTTTGAAATAAATTTAAAAAAAAAAGTGAATGTGCTTGCAAGGGTCTGTTTCCAAGTTGGACTTTCATTTTGAAGAGGACAGCACAACCAATCATTATAGATATGTTGAAGTAAATGAAATTAATGTAGCGGTTCGCCAGTAAGGAATAGGCGTTCGGGGAACTTCGGAGAACCTGATTAAAATATTTGAACGAAGAATGATAGGAACCTGGGAATCTTTGGAAGCTTATCATGATTAAGTAACCTTATTAAGTTCTATGATTTTTGTAACACTTGTAAAGAAGTTGTATTGTGAGTTAGATTCAGATTCAGATCCAGAAATATTTTAATTGATTTTGTAAACAAGTAATCTGTAACAAGTTCATGAGACCAACATAATTTGTCGACTCCTAGTTATTTGATTTTGTTTGTGTGTCTTGATTTGTCCTTGGCGCCCTTAAATCTAATCATTTGAGCGGACATCCTTATTGGCGTACCTCTTCATTTACATGAAACATTTAAAACTAAATACGAAGCTATAAACTAAATACAAGCTATGAACTACGTTGCTTGTTTACAAACCTGAGGCTGTAATGTCTGCCCCTGGTACCATCTCAAGTAAGTCGAAAGTGACGTTATCGCCCTCAGGATCCACTGCTTCCAGTTGCAGGATGAAGTTCCTGCCCACAATAACGTCGATGGAGTCCACAAATGTTATGTTTGGTGGGAAATTGGCTAGAAAGAAAAAGGATATTAGCAGAAAATTGATTTCGTAAAAATGCTACATCATGAAGGTCTTGCACCAGTTTCCTTTAACACAGCGTAAATTTACGTAATTTATACTACCAAAAAGGCGGGTGCCGACATCCGGAATGTTTTACATTGGCTAATCTAGCTCCTAGACCCATATTCCTGAAACTAAATCTTTCTTGTTCTGGAGTGCAAAATTGTACCACAATTGTAGCAACCAATAAAAAGTTTTGTGCAAATGGAAGACGTTATCATGCCCACAACCACAGCAGAAGAAAAAAAAACAAGAGAACAACACGCCTTAGTAAAGCTTGTATCAGACCAATTTTGTCTGAGGATATATGTCGTCATCTGAGTCAAATGTTTGGGCCTAGTAGGTGGAAACTCAAGCAAGTCGATTCAAAAGTGACATGAGTCAGTCAGTGCGTTAGTGAACCAGGTGCAACACAAACTAAAGTGACGTCTCTTTCAATCAAACGTTGTGTACCCTTTTGCAATTGAAGTGCAGCTTTGGTGCACTTATGGTGTAGTTTTGGTTGGTGTAGGTGTTTTCCAAAAGCTGGTGTATACCAAATTTACACTTTTTTGTAAATGGTGTTGTTTTGGTGTACCCTGTAAAAACTTCAACATGAAAACTTTTCACGGGGTGTGGTTTTGGTGCGTTCCAATTATTTAAATTAGCACCAAAAGCGCAAAATGTCAGCAGTACTAAATCCTTACACCAAACCTGCACCAATTTTGGTGGTGGGGTGCACTTGTCGTGCATTCCAACTATTTAAATTGGCACCAAATGCGCACTACATATGAGTGGTGCACTTGTGGTGCTTTCCAATTATTTAAATTAGCACCAAAAGTGCACCAGTGCCGTGGTGCTGTTTCGGTGCGTTACATTATGTATGCAAATGTGGTGCCTCTGTCATATCTGTGAGGAAATAAATCCTAGCACTAAATGTGCCCAGAGATGTGTGCACATGTTTATTGCGCTGGCTCTGTGTAAAACACATTTTTCATTCTTTCCCATGCATCAAATGTGTAATTAAGTATACATATACTATATATATAACCCAAAACAAGGGTGAATGGGTTTAACAATGCTTGCACATTGAAAGTCCATCCTTTTACGGTGAACAACTGGTAAATTCTTGAAATGATGCTTCCCATGTCAACTTTCTTCAATCAGTGAAATACCAAATCCCTTCTTGGACATCCATGCTCACACACTTACATTACATTTTCAGAGGTAAAGACACAAGCATGAAAAGACTGCAGAATATCCATGATTCGATGTCCAGTACATGTAGTGCATTCATGCCATTCCAATGTTGAAGCTTGCTTGTCTCGAATTCACAGAAAATGCACCTAAATGCATCATCATCTGTCCATGCATGATCAACCAAACAAGACACACCTTGCTGATGCAAATAATGTCAAAAATGTTGCAAATTCTACCACAAAATGCATGCTTTCTTGGCAACAAAATGCAACAACTGCCCTGACACTGCCACCACTACTGTGTTCTAACTGCCAACTGACTGAATTCAAATCTCCCGCACTCTGCGGGGCATTTGTGTGAATGGAATGTAAAGTCATAGGTCAATTGCATCAAATTTCACATAGAGCCTACAAGTGCTGATCTGAGAAACTGTGGTGCACATTTGGTGCAGTCCTCCAAAAAAACTAACCAAATGTGGTGTGCTTTTGGTGCCTCGCTTCACGACCAACTTTATCTGGTGCATGTTTGGTGCAGTGTTCAAAGAACTAACAAAATGTGGTGTACATTTGGTGCCATGCTTTGAGAACCAAACTTAATGTGGTATGCTTTTGCATAAAGCTGGTGCACAATTGGTGTACACCACATGTGCACCAAAACTACACCAAATTAGGAGGTGTACACCCAAATTTGGTGAGGTATCCACTTACTTGCGATTGCCATGTTTTCCATGTTCATGTCATTGAGTGTTGATGTAGCCATACCGATGCTGGTATCATTCAGAGCCAATGAGTCGTACAGACACTCGTAGCTAGATCCGCAGACCGTTTTGGCCTCGTCGTATTTTCCCGGCGGTGCCTTGTCGATCAAATCTTGCAGGAAGTCTGGAGTGAAGTTGGGGTCGTTCAAGGAGTCGTAGCTTTCACCAGGAGACTGATAGAAGAAGAGAGAGTCTTCCTCCACAACTCGCCCTGAAAATTATCCACCAAAATTACACTTATTTCTCTAGAAAAAAAACAAATTTCAAACTTATCATACAATGACAAGCCGTCCACATAAAATTACATAATTCATGAGGGGGTTGGATTTTTCTTACATGTTTCGCCAAATTCGAAGTAGTCCCTCTCCACCAGCTCTCCATTGTCTCCGGAGCCTGGTTGCAGAGTTCCATTACGCGTCAAAACATCATTGCTTGGGTCGTCATCCCACACACCTGAGAACATGTAACAAATCAGTTAAATTTAGCAATGGGTTTGTACCTTAAATTCAAATTGGAAGAATTTGGAACTGTCACTTTATAAAAACATTGTCATCTCAATTCGGGCGTTTCACAAAAGTTTGCCACAGAGAGTTCATTTTTCCCAGTGTAATGTGGGAGAGGTCCACAAATTTGTAGCGCGGGACATGTCAAATTGTTTGTTTTTCCGGTCAATAGTGTAAGCGTATGATTAGAGTATCTGTTTGTCAATACGGTGTATTAAGTAAGGCGGCATAACGCTATACCCCAATCTAAAACAAATTAGCTCCGACACTCATTCAAATGGGGCCTATTCTGTCGCCCGAATTGATTTAACCTACAATTTACTAACTTTATTTTTTTTTCATCAGATTTGCCAAACCAAGTGGCATTGTAATACAAATAGGACGAAAAAAATAGTCGTGGTAGTAAACAAAACCATACCTAGAATTCCTTTTGTTTTGCCTTTGAAGTCCTCGTTGAAAAGTACTGTGATGTCGGCCATGCTGTTGTTCACCCCGACGGAAAAGGTGACGTAATCAGAATACATGACACTCACTTTTATTGGGTTCTCCGCCCTCGTTACCCGAAGATTTTCAAACTGCAATCCTAGGAGAAAAAAAATACAATGGACTAACATTTTTGCATTCATTTTGAGGAAGATGATGATGAAAACAGCACCGTCACAAAGTCATAGCCCTCAGCTGCGTTCAAAGTATGTATAACAGATGGAAAAGGTTACAAATAGACCAACAGATAAGCCACTTATAAACTGAAATCGCCGTTTTAAGTGAAGACATCATTTGTGTTTTGTGCAATATGTTAAGAAGAGTGCTGAACAACTAACTTGATGAAGTTCCAGCTCAGTGAATGTTGTATATTCCGGGAAAACAATATGTTAGGATCTCAAATTCAAAAGTGGCCGAGTCATGTTTTGAATTGCGCCCAAATCCAGCCTCCAGGACACGTTCTCAATCAGCTGTTCTCCATTAAGATGTTGCGCACTGAACCAACGAATGACATAGACATCATCAGCACAAATATTTATTATTTTGATATCTATGTTAAATTATAGCGACCGTTGCGTGTGTGCGTTATGTCAAAGCTTGCACTCATTGCCAAATCAGAAACGAACTGTCCAAAAGTGCGTCTTAAGACGCATTGTTGCTTACGCCCTTTTTCATTGTTCTCTCTTCAAAATGACAGCTGGACAGATATAGTAATTTCACAGGGAGTTTATTCCCATTACTACGTTTAAACCAAGTATGCCTTTTAACACTAATTTCGACACTTACTTTTAGGATATCAACAAATGATTGACTGTACCTTTAAGACAATGTGAAATTGGCGCCGGGTCTTACCTTCAGCAGTGGGTGTGACAACGGTCCCATTGACAGTCGTTACCAAATCCATGGCATCATCACTCAACTTGGTCTCAATCTGTATTGAATGGTAAACAAAACCAGCAAACTGTTGTTTTGAAGATTTATAATTTACCGCTGGGTAGCCAGATGACGGGTAGAAAACCTACACATTCATTACGGCCCATTCAGTGGTTCCAGTAAAATTTAAAAAAAGATGATCGAAACGTAAAAAGACAATCACTGGTACACTAAACATATTCAAGGTAAAGAAAATCAAGTTAAAAAGAAATGTATTCATATATATTTAAGAGTATTTGCTCAATTGACTTGTTTATACATTTAAATATTAGAATAAAACTGATAGAATATGAACAAAAAGATCAAATTCACAAAAGACTAAATGTACTAAAGCTAGAGGTTTATCCGCTGAATAGAAAGGTAGTTGTAAGATGATGAATTATAAAGTAAAATGGAATAATACATGTTTACGAAAGGAGAAAGAGAAAAATTCAGAAAGGAAACAAAACAAATGTAGTATAAAACCTTTTAGTTTAAATGATTAACAAAATACATGCACAATATTGGTTAGTTAGTATAAGACATCGAGTCTGGAACCAAAAACTAAAGAAACGATTACTTGCAAAATAAAGAAGCTTGTCACTGACTTACACAATATTTGTTTAAGAACGCAGCGAAGGACCTGATAAAAAATATGGAATGCAAATCACTTAGTCAAGTCAAAGTATTTTTGAAAAGGCAATCTTTTAACATACTTAATCTGTGTTTACAACCAAACCTTTGCTTCTCCTGTGTACATCGCAGCAAATCCAGAGTAGACAGTGGCCTGACTAAGTTCCCCTGTCTCCGTATCCACGACCTGTCGTGTGCGACCCTGCAGTTCAAAGACTCGTTGTCCATCGTCATCTCCGAGTACTGATAGTGTGTATTCCCCAAGACCATTGAAGGTGTACTCCAGTCCATCAAGAGTTACGACATGGGGGTCTCCCCAGCCCCACACTATTTAAAACAAAATAAGAACTTCACAAATAAAATACAATTTGTGTTTGGTCTTCACCAAAGTAGTCTAAGCGCTGCAATTCACAACTAACATTTTAATATGTTTTCTATTACGCCCCAGATTCCAATCTATCTGAGGTCGGAAATTTACAGTATTTAACATATGAAAAAACCAGGATAATGTTGTATACGCTTGATCTCGCCGTAGCTAGAGACTAGGCTAAGCCACTAAAATTGAACATTCATGCTTATCAAACACAAGTGACATTTAAACAAACAGTTTGAAGGGCATTTGGAAGAATCATATCCATGCAATCGTTCTTTACTTTCATAGAAAAAACCTTAATGTTCATAACTCACTCCAAGTCGGTGGCCTGTACCGCCCACATGTCATTAGAGGTCGCCAGGTTCTGTACAGGTGGCAAAGAGTAGACTTCTGACAACAATAATAACGTGGAAGAACTTCTTCCCCTGTAAAATCAGAAAATAAAAGATTGAAAACACCTATTTCTACAAGACCTTTATTATAGCGGGTTGATTTAAAACAATACAGGCTTTAAGTTTGTTGGACGGGGACTCCATATTGTCCATATTTTGTTTGTACTGCCATATGTTTTTACACAATTCCAAATTGGGAACCTCTCGGGAATTGGGGACCCTATTGTTCTCTATTGTTCAACGTCCCATACTGAATGCAGAAACAAACTCTCACACCCCCCCCCCCCACACACACACACACCAGCAGCCTGTGGCTACATGTATATAGCTAAAAAGGATGCTGACCACGTGTATCCCAGTTTCAAGACTGGGTGATTGATGGCCTTGTAATCACCGCAGCTACACTTGCAATACAAAACAATACAAAAAATACAATACAGTACAATACAATTACAATTACAATACTATACGTGACAAAAAAATCCTTCGGGAATTGTTCTGGGTCTGATCTTTGCCTCATAAACTCTGGGTCAAAAGTTCAACCAGGGTTAAAGGGGCTTTTATCTATGTCTCAATTGGGAACTCGTGGAGTATGATATATTTTTTTATGAAAAAAAAAGGAGAAATTACAAATGTAACCCAGACTTTTAGTGTAGCATTGACGATCACTCACTGAATGTACACAATCATGTAAAATGTACCGTTAAGATATCCTGGCACTTCATATCTTGTCAAGCACTTACTTTTCCATATGTCGAAAGAGTTGGCCTCGTAGTATATAGGCCCAAGTGGATACCTCTCAAAGACAGACGCGACCATAGCACTTCGTACGTCGTACACAAGATCACGACTGAAACGATTATAGCAGCACAGTGGACCGGGTATCCCGGAAACCTGGAAAAGCCCTACGTAGCAAACGGCGGCTGTAGAACAAGGTGTGGTTTTACAAAAGCTAAATTTAATTAATTGAGCATTTTTAAAAGATTAAACCCTCTGCGACTTTGAATAATATTGTACGCATTAAACACAAGATGAGGAACGCAACAGGTGATATCTCCAAAAAGATCCAAGATCTTGCTGTCTAAAGTTTCGAGTCGGTGGAAAGAAATGAGGTACCGACATCAACTTAACGGCAGCAGGAGGGAATGAGTCCCCGGGGTCAAAACGCTTCACCGACAGTAGCCCATCCCAAGTCCAAAACCGCTGCATAGACTGGTAGTGTAAATATACAGGGAGGATTTAAGAACCTGGATTTTAAATAACGTCCTTTTCTTCTGTGCACATCCAATAAAGATAAGGAGGCAGAACAAGCCAAGAAGCGGCACTGAAGGACCGTTTTTATCTTCACACAAATTCCCCGTGAAAACGTACGGTTTCCGTATAATTATTGGGCAAATGCATGCTTAGGTACAAACGATTAGTCCTCAAAATCGAAATGTGTTAGCACTTGTCATTCAAATGCAAACGCCACTTGATGACTGCACAGTGAAATGTCACTCAGGTGATATTTTTTTTATGTGGCGCCTGTCGTATGTTGACACTTTGGCTAAGAGCAGTAACTGCAAACTCTACAGATGTTTCTTCTCTACAGTTGTTCTTCCATTTGAGCAACTCAATTCTCGCTTTCTTCTTAAATGATTTCACAAATAAGATGAAATAAAATGGCAACTTACGATAAGAATTTCCATCATCTGGCAAGACGACTGATTTCGAGGCCTCGGTGTATCTCCAATCCAAATCGGCGATCCTCGAACTGCATGGGCACGTGTCTGCGAGCGGAGGATAGTGGATGGCAAACAGTGGGTACGGTTCCTGGCGGTGGTACCAATCGTGGCAGGACATACGCGGATTGACAAAACCGTCCGGGAGGGTGTCGAGTCGGTAGACCCAGCGTCCTGTCTTCCCTGTGTTGCCCACTATGCCACCGGGACGAAACTGTGATTCTTCGGGTATGTCTACATACACAGTTTCGCCAAAGACTCCGGAGGTGTAACCCTGGATGACGTTCTTGTTGGGCAAAAAACTGGTATCCCAGTTCATGCCGCAGGGATCGTAATTGAAAACGACGAAAGCGCGGACTCCGTCAGTCGCAAGCAAAGCTTGGAAGGTATTTGTGTCCTATTGAACAAAAAAAATTAATATATCGCACTCATAAAATGTTAGTCTTATCAGAACAGAAACAAAATTTCCCATCAAACATAACACTCGTTTACTCCATCATTATTGTGGTCAAGAACTTCATCCTGCAACTGGATGCAGTTGATCCTGACAGCGATGACGTCTTTGTCTTTAAACATTAAATGTTGGAAGACTTACTTCTAAGGGTGATATGGCCTTTACATTTCTCCAGGTGATAGACAGAGCCCAGTTTGCTGAAAAACCACTGTAGTTGGCTGAAACTATGAGACTGGCAACATCCAGCATGTTCTGGTTGACATTTGGATCATACTGATCGTGTACCTGCCCAACAAATGTCAGTACAAGCAAAAATAGACATTGGTGCCTGATGAATAGTTTAAGGGGTTATTTGCGTCTAGGTGAGGCAAACAAAATGTCTCCAAGATCAAATGAGTGCAAACTGGCTTTTCGATTGTTTCTGGAAATGTCAAATATCACGTGGATTTCTTTTGACCTAGAGTTTTGAAACTCAAACAGTACGCAATTATAAAGCAGGACTTACAGGCAATCTCCCGATTGAAGTGCAGTGATTTTTGAATGCAGCTCCCATAAAACACTTCCGTTATTGACTAAACCATTAAACAATCAGTTTAGCAAATATCCGCAACGATAGTGAAAGACGTACCTGCCAAAACACATTATCTGTGGCAGTGAAGGCGTTGGCTTTGACATCCGCCCAAAACAGCGCTATCATCGTCCTGTCACCGGGGAAAGTTTTACCCTGAGGACTGGGGAACGCTCGTTTATTCAGGCTTTGGTCGTTGGACAGGACAATCACTCCATTGTCGGTAAACTACAAAAAGAGAGGATTAATTGAGTCACATTGATGCATACAAATGAGAAGAAGTGTTGAAGGGCCCATGTCGTGAAATTTCGTTGCTGAGATGGCAATTTTGGAAGACATAGATCAGTTTAGGGATTTTCTGTTCAAATTATGAATCCAACATTTAGTCATTTGAAACATTTTGTCCCTGGTCCACGGTTATGCACTGACACAACAACGAAACGTCAAAGAGAAGAACATTTCCGACTGCAAAATATTCAAAATTCTAGTATATGTTTGTGCTAAAATAGATGTAACATTGATATGAATGAGAATATGAATATTCAAATATCATTAGCACAAAAGCCCAAAGGCAACAAAATGCCCCTATAAAATAGCAAACAAAATTGAAAATAAGGTTTAACCCTAAAAGGGCCGGGTTGTTTTGACCATCTCTCAGACAGCCGGGGGGCAGCCCCCCTCCCCCCCCCCAAGATCTCGGCCATCGAGAGACGAAACATTTTGAAACTCAATACATGCATAGAGCAACTCTTCCTAAACATACCCAAGAAATTTCATGACTATGGGTTAAAGGGTTTGGGAATTATGGCTAATTTATTATTCATATGTACGAATGGCAATTCTGCTCAATGTACACGACGTTTATGCGAAAATGCAACATAAAAACCGTCCGATTTTTATGTTTTTGGTATCAAAAGATGTGCAAAGCTCGAGGCTAAAAAGTCATAACAGCTTGGTTTGCGTAACAAAATCTTTTAGAGGCTATTGCGGAAAATATTGAGGGGGGGGGGCGGATTCCGCTCCCGGCCCTTTTAGGGTTAAGGGGGCAAAAGGGTCCTTTTTCATGGTCAGCATTAAAACAAATGACTTTTCATGGGTCTTCCAAGTAGAAAGTCTTTCTAAAAAATGGGTTAAATGAGTATGAAATTAGTTCTTGATAAACCCTTATAAACTCCTCTTGATTCAAGGGTAAGTATCAAAGAGCGCATATAATTGTCTGAACACGTTAAAAGATTAAAAAGTTATTCACAAATACCTTAGACAGTTTACCCATTCCTAATGGTCAAGAGCCCGTCACGTGGCCGGCCCTAAACGGATAATAAAGACCTGCTGGGTGGTCTTGAACACTTTTCCAGTGTCACATGGAGTTTTGACTCGTATGAAAGCTTAAAAGAAAATTTTCTTGAAATTTCTACACTTTCTACGCCAGACAACAGAGGTTGAAAACCTGCATTTGAGGTTTAAATGGTATTACATTAAATATTACATCAAATATTTAGGTAAACAATAAACTACCAAAAACGATTGTCAAGGGGCTGCCAATACTCACGTATATCTTTTCGTAAAGCTTGCTGCCGAAGGGAAAGAAGTTTGGTGGACGGATGGTAGGTGATATCAGATCCTTTGCTAAGTGTGGCTGCAAGCGAAATACACAAAGAGCAGATGCCAAATCACAATTAAGCCACATTGATGTGCACGCAGGTGGTTTGACCCCAATATGTACAAGAATTATTTAATATGCATGGTTGAGCTGTCATCGAGTATGCAGAATGTGACAAAGAAATTCCTCAGCCTATTATCTAGCTGTGACCTGACTGTCTTTCTGTTGACCAGTGATTGACTTGATTGATTGACTAAGATGGTTGGATAACATTCGTATGTACTGTCAGGTGCCATTGCATGTTATTTTCTGCATGAATCACATAACACTCAGCCAAAATAACACTTTCAAAACAAATCTAACACATGTAAACGTAAAACGCTGACAGCATTTTATCTTCTTTTACTTTCGTGTTTTTATTATTCCAGGTTAATGGCAGGATAATTTTGCGTAGGTTTTTTTTTACATGCGTCGCAAAACTTACCCCCTGTGGTTCTTTTGACAACAGGGAGTCTCCGATTTCTTCTCCAAATGGGACGAGACTGCCCTCTATAAAAAAAAATGAAAACTTGGAAATAATAAACTACCAATGAATTTTAAAATTCACGAATTTGTTCAACTTTACGGTTTATGGTTTTACCTAATTGTTTTATTTGCGTATAGATAACATTAATTGTGAAAACGTAATGTAAAGAATTTAAAAAAAATATATAGAAAATTTCAGCCGGAAAGCAGACGTTTAGCATGGTGGTATTGACAATTAGTAGGCTACCCGGCCCTCCCAAAAACCCCTCGGGGAGAACACTGTCTTACCAACGACGTTGAACGTAAAGAGCTTTGACCTTGAACACCCAGCATCATTGACAGCACGGCATGTGATGATATGCGGCCCGACACCAAATACACCTCCTGCAACACCGACACCGACGCCATCTCCAGAATCTGTGCAATCGATGGTGACTTCACCATCGTCCTTGGCATGAACCTCGGTCCATGTCACTGTAGATGTGTTCATGCCTGGATCCGTGCACTGCCCACCGACGTCAGGTACTGTCAGAGACGGGAAATCTGTAAGGCAAGAAAAATGTGGCTTAGCTGCACAACAATGACACCACTCTTCTTATTAACATTTCTAAAACTTCTGTTTATCATTTTTCAGACTTCAACGTTTTTTTTTCAACGTTTGGAATGTAAACTATAACAAAATGATGTTTGAAACATACCGGAGCAACTCCTTTTTTTTTATCCACAATGTAATGTGAGCCATCCGGCCCTCAAACCCAGACCATGCAACTCTTGTATCCATACGACCTCAAAACAGCCATTAAAACGACCAACTTGCCTTGTAATGGACCGATCCAGTAGACACCGCCCCCTGGTGTTCTGACCAATCATAGCCGTGATTTATGTCCGACGTGCGTGCACTAAAATCTGACATGCGTGCACGCGCGTATGATGCGTACGGAAGCCACCCGGCCCTCAAACCCAGACCATGCTTCTCTGGTATCCATACGACCTCAAAAAAGCCATTAAAACCACCGACTTGCCTGGTAATGGACCGATCCAGTAGACACCGCCCCCAGGTGTTCTGACCAACCATAGCCGTGATTTATGTCCGACGTGCGTGCACTAAAGTCCGACATGCGTGCACGCGCGTATGATGCGCGCAAAAGGAAATGCAGCGTGGCATTGGAGAGGAGCACGTGTTAATTTGCCGACGTGCGCAGTTGGTTGGCTTACTGGTTCGGTTCATTGAATTTTCATTTCATTTTGTTCCATTTTGGTTCCATTTTGGACGCAGGGGTAATCCAGGCAATCCCTAATGTAAACAATTCCATTGTATGCAAGCCTATGTGAATGTACACAAGCAGACTAGGTCTTCACGCCAATTTTAACCCATCGACTAGGGTCACCCACGTGAAACCCCTCTTGTGGATGTACCATGATCCATACTAGGATCTAGTCAAAGATGACCTCGGGCATGGCTACCACATGGCTGGGACAATATAAAACATAGGAATGTGAGTAGACTGTATTCCATCCTACCTCCGACCATAATGATGATGGCAATGGTGATAATTATGACAAAGGTGGGCACACTGATGAAGATGATAATGCATCATGTCGGTGATTTTGATGATGTTAACAAGATGATGAAGAATAATATGACGCACCTTATCCACAATGTTGGTGAAAAATAAATCACATAGTATCTTCAATATTGTTTGCAGATGAGCTCTAATTAAAAAACAAAATATAACACTTACATGAAACACTGAAAGAAATTAGACAGTCTGGGAAGGCATTATCTGCCGAGGAGCAGACCACGTGGTGCGTCCCAACACCAAACACACCCCCGGTAGTCTCCACAGTGGCTCCATCAAAGGAATCTGTGCAAGTTATGTCGGAGCTAGTTCCCGGGGGGCCAAGCGTCCAACTAATCTCTACGGACGACAGTCTGTCCGAAATACAGCGGTTGTCAACTTCTGGACACTGCAGGTAGTTACTGTCTAAAGAACAAGCACCGACAAACTGATGAACCTTCCTCTCTGGCTCAGTCCAACTTGATCAAATGACTGCTTTTAACATTTAAAAATTTCCTGGTTAATCACAATTTACCACATTTGTTTTGTCGGTTGATGGAATTTGACCGCAGTCTTCAAACAAACATGGTCTGATTTTTTTTAGCTGTTTGGGCATTTCAGCCGAAACAGCTCTTGTTTTGGTTAAAATTGTGTTTTATTTTTTTCCGGCTCTTAACCTTAAGAGGGCTGGGGGCGGAATCCGCCCCCCCCCCCTCGACTTTTTCCGCTTTTTTACCAGCCAATGCATGGAATGGAAGAGGAAGAAAGTTGTGACTGTAGGCAAGGATTTTCGTAATTAAAAGAGGTTGATTTGCAAACTCATTGTACTCTTGGACGAAATAAACTTACCGCTATCACAGCGTGGTCCTGAGTATCCAGGATCGCAAAGATCAACATCTGTGCACTTTGGGTATGGTTTGCCTGGTCCTGTACATTCCACTCCCTCAGCTGATTCTGTTTACATAAAATATACCGTACATAATGGCAGTGCAGACACTTTAAAAACAAGTAACTTGGGGACGGATCTGTAAAAAATATAGCTTCCTCAATGAGAATCATATTTCTAATATGACCTTTGTAGTAAAGTAATTGTCATAGTATAGACACGAACACGTGTCTCTTAATTTTTTTTAGGGGTTTGTTTTATGCTAACTTAACATTTCAAGTTCGAAAGCACTGGAGTGATGTAATCTTGGAAGGCGCTTCATGGCATATTCTCTTTCGATGTAAAAACACGCAGTCACTCAGCCACGAACATTCGGACGTTATCCTAACTGCCTTTCATCTATCTTCGCAGTGGAGCACCCTAACTTGACGAGCTTTCCACACAACAATTTTTGAAAGTGTGATCTTTCCTGCATCTCTTATTACATTCATCTTATTGTTATTATGGAATTCAATTTGTTGTTGTTTTGTTTACTTACGAGAACAGTCATGACCACAGTGTTTGTAGGAGCAAGTGCAGTCGAGCCCTTCGTTTGACTTACAGATGCAGTTTGGTGGGGATCCAGTTTCTTCACAGAATGTTCCATCTGTTGTAATGATATCCATGTACACTCTTGTAATGTAATCTAATATTTGGTAGTGGCATATATACAATTTTCTCATAGTACCTGGGGCAAACTCCATCTTCATTTGGAGCTAAGTTTTGCCCATTATATTAATAAGGTCTTTTTCCGAATATAATCTCCGATGTTGCTACTTGTTTTTCAGGTCTCGTGTTCTGGTCTCTAATCACTGAATAGGCATTTCCTGGGTTAACACACTCTTCTTACCAGCCGTTGTGATGAGGTAACTGTAGCATTGCTCTCGGGCTTTCTTACTCATTGCATACATTGGGGTTCTTTATCCTTAAAGGGGGAGAACCTATGTTCACAGGAACGGAGTTCCCATCTCTCTTCCGAAGCGATTAAGCCAGACTCGAGTCCGTGAAATGCTGCTGCATGGGGGGATCACCACATCTCCTCCACAGCGAGTCTGTTACCTTTCCAGCATTGAATAATGCCGGTACCTATTTAACACCTGGGTTGAGAGGAGTGCCTTACTCAAGGGCACAACACGCATGGCCACGGCGGGGCTCGAACCCAAAATGTCACGATCATGAATCCTGTGCCCTACCGCTACACCACACCTTACTGAATATTAATTATCGCACACATCAAGCTGCACGTACCGGAAACCTCTGTCACCGTCACGTATGTATCACAGTGTGCAGTGGTTGAATTGTCAGTAGCGGTGTAGCGCACCATGTGAGGTGATGCTCCCAGACTGAGAGTCGTGGTGTCGCCCACCTCGTATATCGAGTCGCCAATGTTTATGCTAATGGTATACTGGCCGGAGTTGTCGGATGCTGATTGGACGTCGGGCAAGGAGACCGTTGAGTAGTCCTTTCTGCAGTCCGTGTAGACTGTGAAGTCGGCAGGGCAAGTGATGCTGGGCGGTTCCACATCTGGAAATGACCGTACAAATCACGATTCACTGACGATTTCGTATTTTTTGCTTTTGACGAAAATCCAGCCAGATTTGATACATTTGTCTCTTTAGGGGTCTACTGCTTTTCTTATTTGTAACTTCAGGTCAATTCTTTCATTAGGCAGTTTGTATAGCAGTTTGTGCATTAAAGAAGGTAATTTATTTGTGAACCCTACAAAATAAGATAAGAACAAAATATCTTTATATTATGCACAAGATTTTTATAAGGTCAGATGTGTACCTTCTACATTTTTGGTTATATTACATGAAGGTGTATTAATTTGTACCATTAATAATGTTGTTGTACAAACACAATGATTGATTAACTGATATTATCAATGAATGTTGTAGACGGCCTGCTAGACAAAAATGTTTCTAGAGGTTGATAAATTAACCACCATCTTCAGACAATAATTGATTCTAGTGGTGCAGCATGGTCACAAAATGCTTAAGTATTGTGCAAATTGTGATAACAGCATGAAACTTTGCATGTTAGTTTTTCATGCCAATTTTTCAGATATGGAGGCATTTCATACTTGACCTTTGGTGACCTTTAGAGATCCCAAAAGTTCACTTTTCGATGACCGAAGTCTATGTCATAGGTCTTCATACAATGCAAGTAATGATCAGATGTGGAAAAATACATATCTGACCTCTGGTGACCTTTGAGAGGTCAATGAACTTTGTAAACCTGTTTATAGCTATTTGTAAGATTCATTCTTTAAACCGCATCTTTTTTTCACGATTCATATCTAAACTAATGGTGTTCATGCTATAAAGAGCATTGTCATATATAGGTCATTTCGTTTTCAACCTCTGATCACCCTACGAGAGGTCATGACCTTTGTAAAACAATAGCCTACATATGGATATTAATAAGATTTCATAATTGCAAATGCCACTTGTTTCATGACCCAAGTCAAAAACTTGACTTTTGGTGCCATGACAAGAATGTTCAGATGTGGGGACATCATATTTGACGTATATAGGTAACCTTCGGGAGGTTGATGAACTTTGTATATCTTATTTGCCGTTATTTATCATATTTATTCGCCAAAACGCCACTTTTGGGTGACCCTAGCGTCAATAGTGCAAAGAACGGTATTGCACCTTTTAGTTAACAGTCATGTTATAAATTCAGACCCCACTGAAACTGTTGAGGTGACTTCTAACCTCGTTTCTCCTTGCGTTATAGTCAGACGCAATATGGTGGAGATTGGAGTAGAAATGTGTGGGTGTGTTTTGTAATGGAAATTGTACATATGTCAAGCAATATTGAATTTCGTGTACTTATTGCACCCTGCTGTATCCACTTGGACTTGGATAACCTTTTTACCATGGTCACTGTGAGAGAGTAATGCTTGTATGACGTGTCGCTTATATTCTTTCACGTTTGCGTCTGCCCTTATAAATAGGTAAATGGAGATTGGAGGTCATGTAAAAACATCTTTGGGGTCTGACTTCATGACACATTGTAGAGTAATTATTAAAATACACTCCATTTGCTCTGATTAGACTTTGATCATGAAAAATGACATTTGGAAGATTAAACATGATGAATAACGGCGATCAAAGTGCATTGACCTTGCAAAGGTCATCAGAGGTCAAATATGAAATGTCATAGGCCTCTCTACAAATTCAGGGAAAGTTATATTTTTAAGAATAATAGGTATAAATAGAGTAATCAAAGGTCATTGACAACTCAAAGGTCACCAGAGGTCAGATATGAAAAGTGCCTCCATATCTGAAACAAATTTGTCATGGCATGAAGAACCAACATTTAAAGTTTCATGCTTTTATTACAAAATGCACAATTCTGTCCCTATGCCGCACCACTATTCTTGTGTTTATTTCACAAAGAAAACATGCAATTTCAAGAAAAAAAACTGGTGTTCCAGTTACCTGTGCAATACACGCCGTTTCCTGCATATCCAGGTCTACAGGTGCATGTGAAGCCTTCGAAGGTATCATCGCAGATTGCATTGTCATCACAGTTGTGCAACGGCGCGTCCGGGTTACATTCATCGACATCTACAGGATGAATGAAGCACAAGACAACATTTACAAATCAGGTACGTAATTACTTTATCCTGTAACCATTAGACAAAGAAGTATGGGGAAAAATAAAGGCCCACAGTAGAGGCATCGAAGTAGTGAAAAGTGTTACCAAATTGTTTTATTCTGGCTGAAATTTCAATTTGCTGGACGGCTGTGCTCAAAACCACATCAACATAGAACGCCCTTCGTACAATTGGGCCGTGTGATAGACAGCACAGTCGGTGTGCTTATTAACCAGGTGCTTGGCTAGTAAACCACTCTCTCACGAAAGGAGAGGGAAGGAAGAATGTTAGTCAACGCACTCTGATACCCCCAACCGTCCCCTTGGCCGAATTTAAGGTTAAACAGGTGCAAAGTTGTATTGTTTTCAATTTTGCATTAATATTTGTTAACATAGGCCCTATGTAATTCTTTTTTTAATTTCTGTACTGATTGTACATGGAATTCAAATGCGAAGTGGCTCCGATATAACTGCCTCTGACCTGGTTGAGCGGTAGTAGTTGAATACATTGCGGTAGTAGTTGAATTCATTACGCAATGCTCAATGTAGTCTGAACAGCAGTCTCCGGTCAGTTCGCACGCAGCTTCGCACCAACAATCTCCATACCGATAATTGTCTAAAAGGCATCGACCGGCACAGCTATCTATGGAAAAAAAAAACATGTGTATGTAGAGTATGGCATAAATAACCATCTGAGGGAAAAAAATCATTTTGCCAATAAAATCAACGTTAGAAAAAGTTGGTATCTATGGATGCAACACAAGTGGCATATTCTGTCTTTGTCTATTTTGTGCGCAGTGATCAGGCGCGGCCGGGGGGGTTGAAAAATCTGCCAAATGTCCTAACAAAAAAAACCTGTTTACATTTTAGCAATTTTTTGATGAACAAAAAACACCTGCAAAAATTCCAGGATCAGCCCCAGAATGTACAATTTTAGTATTTGCTGTCCATTAACAGATACGTGGACTGCACACTCGTTTTTCTTCCAACCTTAAATTTTTGTATAAAATGATACTGTTCTTTTGTCATCACCTTTTACTAGCTATCACCATTTTGGGTTGAGTGGTGCGCATAATAATTAAGAAATCAAACAATCACATTGGGCAAGCACAATATGGTGTATTAATTAGAAGCGTCGATTCTCACCGTTCATCGCTAATTCAAAGCAAATTTGCAGTAACTAATCTCAGATGCCGATTCCTCTCCTATCTCCCTCTTTATCGCATTTGACTTTTACCCTATAGTGATTGTGCCCTATAGAAGAGTCATTTTCCTGGAATCCGTGACCACGTTGCGGATACCTTTTTTTCTCAATGGATTTGACAAAGAGGACCAATTTGAAGCTCCCATACACCTCCCAAAAGTGACGGGAAACTTTTTTACAGCACGTTTTTCAAAATGGCCGCCGACGCCACATTGAAAAACATAAAAAGTGATATCTTGGGAACAAGATGAGCCATATTCATAAATGAGGTGTCGATCCCTATTATTTCTGGCATGAAAAATATGATAGCAGCCATTACGTTTCGGGACTATTGTGACCTCAACATTTAAAGTGGTGGCTGGTAGCCATCTTGAAAAACACCAAAGTATTATCTTTGGAAATAGAGAAGCAAAACAAATATTAGAATGGTTATTTTGACGTCCAGAGACTACCATGACGTTTCAAAACGTCACTCTGCAGATGTTATTTCTTGCGCCAGAGACTCTTTGTATGTAACTGAGGAGCCATCCCTTTATTCCGCCACACCTAACTTATTTGAGTGGTTATTTTGAGTTTTGTCTTGTATTTCTTTCTGTAATTACAAATATTACTAAGTTTTAAATAGAAGGTCCAATAGCAGGTCATGGTAGTCCCTGAAAAGTCAAAATAACCACTCTAATGGATTGTAATGCCAGAATTAAGTGCAAATAACATCTTAGATGTCTGTTTTGCTGCTTTGGTTCCAGAAATATAATACTTTGGTGTTTTTCAAGATGGCCATTAGCCGCCATTTTGAATTTTAAAGTCACAATGGTCCCGAAACGTAGTGAATACCATTATAGCAGATTTGTCATGCCAGAAATAGTAGGAATCGACACCTCATTTATCAATATGGCTCATCTGGTTCCCGAGATATCAATTTTTATGTATTTCAATATGGCGTCGGCGGCCATTTTGAAAAAAGAAGGTCAAATAGCAGGTCATGGTAGTCCCTGAAAAGTCAAAAGAACCATTCTAATGGATTGTAATGCCAGAATTAATTGAAAATTTTTGCTCCTGTTTTGCTCCTCTGGTGTTTTCAAGATGGCTACCAGCCGCCATTTTGAATTTTGAGGTCACAATGGTCCCCAAACGTAATGACTACCATTTTATCAGATTTGTCATGCCAGAAATAGTAGGAATCTCATTTATCAATATGGCTCATCTGGTTCCAAAATTATCACTTTTTATGTTTTTCAAAAAGTTTGTTGTCACTTTTGGGAGGTGTAACCTGACTCTGCTACTAGTGTTTAGGGCTCGTGACTCATGATCAAAGAGGCAGGTGTTCGAAACCAGTTACTGGTCAAATGTCGTGTCCTTGGGCAGGCCACTTAACCCCCACTTGCCTCTCTCCACCCAGGAGTTGTTAACAGCATTAGCTGGGGAGTAGCCTGCGCTGGACTAGCATATATACCATCCAAGGGGAATATAAACATTCTCTTATTTTTATTTTCGTTACTTTATCCCAATTAACTACATTGATCTGAATTTTAATGACCTTTTTAATTAAAAACAGCACCCACATAATTTCTACTTAGCATTGGCCTACCGCAATTTTGTTCATCAATGTCGTCAAAACAATCTGGTTCACCGTTACATCGCCATCTCCCATCAATGCAGACAGAGTGACCGCAATCAAAGTTGCGCGATGAACATGGTATGGTGTCTTGAAGAGAAAAAAGGAACATAAAATGGACAGTTGTAGGTACAAGGAAGATTTTTTTGCTGATTTGTGATGTTAAAACGCGAATTGATGTACGGGAATACATGCCACATCGAAATAGTTATTACATGTATTAGTCATTTTAAAATATGCAATCCGCAAGTGATTTCGAATTTCACACCGAAAATGAACTTGTGTTTACAATTGATATTTACACAATTCGAATTATTGGTGCCCAACAATAACTCGGCCGTTGCAGAGGCCTTTTTTTCAGAGGTTGCAGAAGAGTTTCGTAAAATACAAACATCCTTGGGCAAACATCATATTGATGTCCTGAAATGAAATAAAGGGGCAATAAATATGCTAAAAGTTCCAATACAGCAACCGTTTGAAGCTTTAAATGGTGTCCTAAACAGTGTTGTAGTTCTGTGCTACACTGAAATTTGATGTTAAACAGCAAGAGATAAGCCCTACCACTCACATTGTTCTAAAATGCTTTATCAGAAAACAAAAAAGCAATGGTGCTTACAATTTGATTGCATACTAGAAGCAGTCAAGACAAATCCTCGAAAACTATTCTTGCCAGATTCCAAACTGAACCACATCGTCCGGTTATCGGAGAGTAGATTTGGTGGAAACCTACGGTTTGAAACATAGAACGTGTCGTTAGCGCCGCTGTCCCCTGCCTTGAATGTGCCGTAATGAGAAGAAACTGAAAAACTATGGAAAGTGACTAGGACCCTTCGATTCGCCTCTGTCTGTATGGTCCAGGTTGTTTCCAGGTTTGTCGGGTATCTCGGATAAAACGGAGAAGTAATCCGGACGTTTTCGTCCGCACCGAGAAATATATTGCGATCTGAAGACAAAGAAAGAAAGAAAAATATTCCTTTAAGTTCATTATTCCTTCAACTTGTGCAATCCATGCTCACCTTGGGTGACACCTCAGGAATATCGATAATTAATTTTAAAAGGATTTCCCCCAACCACTTAGAACAAACCAACATTACCTAATAAGAAAAAGAAATGGATTGATGATATTTAGTAAATGATAGTCGTTACGGCGCACCGAACTTAATGTTCTGAAACATTATGATTTGCAGTGTTTGGATCATTGTTACAAATGCGTATTATCTGTGTCTAACTGGTTCGGCATTATGGAGAGTCCACACAAAGCATTCCTGGTTAATAGTCTATTTACACTTAAGAAAACCCTAATATTCATTCTGATGTTTGTTGACAAAACACCATTTTGGCAAAGCGCCAGATTAGGCCTAAATGGCAATTTCATTAAACCTTAATACTTTCTTTCATTTTTTTCATCATATATTTTGTTCCCAAAATTGTGTTGACATGAAAACGTGTACAAATGTAATTAGTCAGTTGTGTAATTATGTTCTTACTTTCACAATCGAATTCATCACTTCCATCCAAACAATCATTTATTGCGTCACACTTCGAAGAATTACTTATGCAGACTGAATGCCCACAGTCAAACTCGTAAAGAGAACACGTCATTTCCTCTGTACGACCAGAAAAAAATCAATGGAAGTAATATTAATAATAATAATAATAATATTCATAAAGCGCACGTATCCACCTGGACTGGTGCTCAAGATGCTACATCATAATTACCCCTGCTCATTGGGCCAATGAAAATTCCAAATACCCTCCCAGCTCCCTGGGAAGTATACAGCTCGATGCTGCCTGTTAGGCACAAGGAAGCTAATTCCATCTCAAAAACCATCTCTGCCCTCACATGTACCAAATTACTTGTTGGGTGGAGAGAAGCAATGAGTGACAAAATGCCTTGCCCAAGGGCACACGCACCTTTCTGTCAGCATATAATTGTGGAAATGAGCCATGAAATTAGGTCAGGTAGATGCTTGCAATACCTGTAGCTGGCACGCTGGCAACAGACAACAAAAATCCGCGTCCATTGTAACTGCCATCTGATTTGAAAGTTAGCCACATCACCGGTCCAAAGGATAGCAAATCAGGCGGAAGCCTATCCCAACTCCATCTGAAGAAGGCGTTGTCTGTGCTCCTGTTGCCGTCTCCTGCCTGGACAAAATCAGTCAGGTGCTCGGTTTGGAAGTCGGAGAAACGGACGCGAATCTTGTGGTCTTCTTCGGTGTGGATGATCCATGTAATCTCGATGTTATATGAATAACTTGATGGATAGTTTGTAGTCCCTAGCTCGCCTGTTTCCATTGCCCCAAAGAACAGAACACGATCGTTGTCTAAAGAAACCGAAATACAGGTCTTTAAGTAGTTTGAAAGACTCCGTTGGTATACTTACATTCTTCAATTATTGGAATTTAAAAATTTTGAAAATTAATGGGGCATATCGCCTTCTTCTATTCCCTTGTTTTAATATTTATCTCTTTCTTGCATTTAAAAGAATTCCAATTGGTTAAATCTGTTTGCCATATATAAGAATTTCTTTTCATAAGACACTATATATTAACAAAAAGACCGCCAAGTTGGGTGCTAACAAACAGCAAGCTAACCAGATAACACATATTCTTTTGTTTGACAAACATTAAAAAAACTTTGCTCAAAACATGATCAATGTCAAATGAATTATTTACCACAGTTATGCTCGTCACCCTCTGCAACTAGCAAGCAATCAACTTTGTTGTCACATTTCCAAATGTCAGGGATGCAGACAGAGTGATCACCACAGTCAAAGTCACTTGGGGAGCACGTCAAGATTTCTGCAACGAGATAAGATGTGTTGTTAATCGATCTTGGTTAAATCCCATCCCCACCCCCCCCCACCCCCCAAAAAACCCAAAATACAGGAAAAAGCAAAATTACGTTATTAATTAATGTTAGTGTTTCTTAACATGAACCTCGACAACAAAAGCCTGTCATCTGTCCGACCAAGACCTTATCAGCGTTGATTTACAAACCAAAATAATAGTTACAAGTTATGCAGTTTTTGTTTTTCATGCACTGATCGAGAACGCTGGCAGAAAATTCACAGAGTTGTTTTATATTTTTAAGATAACCAAAGAGGATGTCTTCGACACCGGCAGAAAATTCACAGAGTTGTTTTATATTTTTAAGATAACCAAAGAGGATGTCTTCGACACCTTGCTATATGAATTTAAATCAAAAACATGTACACTTGGTAGATTTGCTTACCTGAAGAAGGTACAGCAGAAACCACTAAGGAAAATCCAGAGCTGCTGTAATACTCGTTAGAGATAAATCGAAGCCAAATGTCACTGCCAATGGATAGAAGATCCGGAGGCATTCTGTACCCATGCCACTTAAAAAACTGAGTGTTGGCTGCAATGCTACCATCTCCGGCATGGAGAACATCACCACCGTAGTATGAAGTATGGGCTGAAAAGCTGGAGAATTCAATGCGAATCTTCCAACCCACTTCGGTTTGAACGATCCAAGTGATATTGAGGTTGTCGGGGTAGTTGACTGGATATAATGTCGAACAAATGCGGGCTGTCTCATTGGCCGGAATAATCAGCAAACGGTCTTTATCTGAAAAGAAACCCGAAACAAAAAACTGACTGTCTCTCCTTTGTAGGGAACATCATGAATACATCTGATTTTATTTAAAAATAAAAGAAATCATGAAAGGCATACCTCGACCTTAACAGCAAAAAAAAATCATTATTGCCTAAGAAAAGACTACTGTCGGCTTGTCGCCCGGCGATTCACTTGCCTACTGAAGCTGGTTTGTTTTCTGATAGTGGGTATGTGGGTAGGAAGAGAGTTCCATACTCGGGCCGTAGGTGGTTAAAAGAACCTTTGATGAGCAAGTTTGAACTTGTTAACTGAACTGTCAAGTCTGGTAATCGGACAGACTGCCGAATGTATGGATCTAGATTATACCTGTGTAGTATCAGCTGGCACAGGAGTACCAGAACCTCCTGATATTTTTTCTCTTAGCAAAACAAGTGATTCACCAAAACAACGTTAATAATTGTATCGTTACCGCAGTCCAGCTCATCAGTGCCATCTACGCAGTCTGAGATGGTATCACACTGCAAGGCGTTGCCAAAGCAGACCGAATGTCCGCAATCCACGTCACCCAAGGAACAAGTCAGAGCTTCTGAAAATCAAAGAGAAGAAAATCAAGAAGAATATTTTGTAAATCTTGACATATATCGTCCCCATTTTCCGCTACAGCCTTATGGCCTGAGACTGACCAGTCAGTGTACTACACCTCATTAATATTCATGATCAAATTGGAGCACGTCATTTGCCGATTCCGGCGCGTGTCTGGGAAGTAAAAATGATACGCAGGTGACGTCATCCCGGTGAGCATCCACTTCGCTTCAGTGCGGTATTTTTTTTTCTGGTTGCACCGAAAGTTCCCTCCGGAACCGACCTCGAAGACATGTAGGCTTAGCTGTGGCACTAGTCTGTTGTTGTGGACCTTGTAACTACTACAGTAAAGACACATTAAAGAATGCTGGCACCAGACAATTTCATTGACTGACGAAGAAATATCTAGTGCTGAAAAAAGATTCAGTTATCGACAAGGCAGTATAAAGCTACTAAAAGGCAGTCAGGCTACTAAATATTTATGAGGTGTAGTAAAACACAAATACAGCATGGCTTGTTTTCTGAAAAATGGAAGGAATAACTGGTCCATCGGTGTAGGTCAGCTTGACTACCTCCATCCGCTTCGCGACGAGAGGTAGTCAAGCTGACCTACACTTTGGGACCAGTAATTCCCACTACTTCCCTCAAACCATGCTTCACTAATAACTGATGATTTTCGAGTAAAATATGGAAAATGAATTTATGCATTATGGTTTCATCATAACCAGTTCAAAGTGCCTTTTTTCTGTTCCTGTTACATGGGAACTTTGTAATTTTTCATTAAAGTGTCATTTATGTTGACTAGATGGGTTTTTATTCGTTGAGGATGATTTGCTTCTTAATAACCAGTTTTGGATTAAAAGGACCGCTACATTAAAGAGCGCACCCAGAATTACAAACTCATAGAAGTCAGATGTAACAGGAACAGGAAAATGTGGACACCAGAGTATTTCAGAGAAAGATCCACAGATCAATTATAAGCCTACCAGTTAACGGAACGCTCGTAGCCAGTATGTCGAAGTTGTGTGAGTTTAACGACTTTCCGTGCTCGAAGGTAACCCACAGCTTATTCCCGTCTGACATCAGGTCTGGGGGCCTACGTTCTTCAGAGCTATACCTTCTCAATTCAAAAAAGATATTTGTGTTGTTGGTACTATCGTCACCATCACCGGCTCGCAATACGAAGGATCCATGGGAAAAGAAATGACCGGTGGGAAAAGTGATGAGAATTTTCCAGTCTTCCAGAGTCTGAATGAGCCACACAGAGTCAATGTGAACGGATAAAATTCGTATGGTGGCTGTTTCACTTGCATTGAGATATATTTCATGAGTACCTGTCAGAAAAAAAAATGAGGAATATAAATAGGTGACCAATTTCCGAATGGCCTTGTTTAAATTGAACATTGTTGCAGCTGACGTATGATCCCCTAGTCCGATTTCTGTGAATGCCCATCCATACCTCGTGTAAAATAGGGAAAGTAAATTTGATGTGACAAATCGTGCAATGAAAATTCACCGTAGTTGAATTACAGTCATGTTTTGCAATTTGTTGTTTTTGTCACAAATTTCCTTTACATTTGCGCTCCCATGGCAAATGGACCATTCTTCACCAAGTAATTAGGTCTAAGTATAGGTGTACTCCTTTCTGCCGGCGAATTGGGTTTGTGACCTTAGACAAAAGCTTTGAAAGTGGCCCAAATACTGGACTTCATCCGTTTTGATTTTTCCTACCGGTATGGAAGATTTTAAGTCTGTTCCTGATGCCTATCCAGATGCATGTCTAGTTATCCTGTGAATTTTAATACAGAATTGTCCAAGTCAAACTTAAAAAACGGTCTCGAATTTGATTTCCTCAGGACAACTTTTCCCTCATATGTTACTATCACCACTGTAAGGCCCGATATGGAGAAATCTCAGTATTTTAGCCTCACTGATGAGGCTACCAGTTGACCAGATAATTACAGTCCTGCTAATTGATGAATTCTATTCAATTATCAATGGGGTTTTACCACAGTCTTGTTCATCGCGTCCACCAAAACAGTCTGCTACTTCGTCGCACTGCCAGTAAGAGGTGATACACACAGAATGCCCACAGTCAAACTGGTCAGGGGAACATGTCAAATTGTCTAAGACAAATGGGTGAAATGAAAGGATACATTTTAGTGACAGAATCGACGTGTACACATTTCAAAATGCTGGGCCCATTTGAAACTTGGCAAAATGCCCCCTTCGTCTGGTTTTAATGCACTTATGAGGATTCTTATCGTTGCCTTCGAGTGTGCCGCTCTCAGCTCGCCCGCTCCCCCCCCCCCCACTCCCCCAAGTTTTAATCTCCTATGGGCAGTCAGTCTTTTATTGAATGAATGCCCACCACCAACAGAAACAGTTCACTGGACTGAACGACGTTAGATCTGCCTGAACCATGGAGAAAGGAACAACCCTCCAATGGCCTAAACACATCAAGCGTATACGATTGGTTTCTGTCCAGTAAAGGAGCTATCTTCATATTCTTGTTGTTTTAACGTCCAAATTGCGCACAAGTAATGGATATTCCGAATTGTGGAACTGTGCACATAATTGTGGGCACATAGACTTTCATATACACTCGGCTCACATTCCCTCTCCTCACAACTAGGCGTGTAAAAGGAAAAATCACCTCATGCATGTTTAGATGACCAATTCAATCCCTAAAAAATGAACCTTTGTGTCCCATTACATCTTATTTTCAAGTTCATTTTACCATTTTCAACGGTATTTTGGTGACTTTTTATGCTAATGTAAATTTCTGTTTTCATTAGCAAAATAAAATATGTCATTTCAGACACCTCCTACTCCAGCGCAAAAGGTTACCAGATTTTATGATATTTTGATGTTGTAAATGTACTTTTCTTTGGTGATTCGGTGTAAGTACATGGCAATAGGCCAATGAGCAAACTCGTCTCAGACATGTTTCAATGAGCAGATGTTTTGCTTCACATTTGAACAGAAAACGTCTAGACTGAACAGACTCTTCCCGAAATCGCATCACAGCAACAGCGCCCTCAGTAGTCCGTAAAAGCAAGGACAATGTTAAATGGTAAAAGAAGTGCATGCACTTTTGAATACAGGCCTTATCAACAAAGTTGCACAAAATGTGTTCCTACGAAAATTCCATTACATTTCAACAACTCTGTTTTTTTTTCAACGAGCAATACCGTGTAAAGAGCTGCCTGAAACGGTCAGATCATACATCTTCATTGATTTTTTTTAACAAAAAGATCGCATTGTAGCTTACCAGAGGCAGGTATGCTGGATACCGTCAGCAGAAACCCTTGATTTTTGTTACTTTCGTCAGTAGTGAACCGAAGCCACATGGTATTACCAGCTGACAGCAGATCGGGCGGGTTTCTGTACCCACTCCACTCGAAGAACACATTGTGGGTGCTACTGTTGCCATCACCGGCCTGGAAGACGTCATACCAAAACTCGGTACTAAACCGGGTAAAGGAAATGCTGATCTTGCGAGCTTCCTCGGTTCGGATGATCCACGTTACCTGGATGTCATTGTCGTAATAGTTCGGGTATTTCATCGAGGCAAGCTCGGCTGTTTCCGATGCTCCAATGTAAACGAGACGGTCCTCGTCTGTGTATTAAATTTTAAATATGTTAGTAATAACTTGCTAATAAGATCTTGTGTGTACATATTAGCTTGAGCGCAATTTTTGCTCTTCTCCTTCTTGCAAACAAAACGAAATCACCAAGTGAACAGAAACAAACAACAATTCCCACTTATTTATAGCAAACCTCTTCCTTTGTGGTTAATATACGAAACCTAGTTGTTTAGCTTATATGTACAGGACAACAAAACGGTTAATCAAAAAATAATGCATTTTAGTGAGTAAACATTCTGAACTTGAGCAATGTCAGTGTGTTTACAATGTGAGCTCAATTATGAAAGTCACCACTATAGGTCAGCCAAACTTGTAGAAAGTTTGTTTCACCTAAATGTTTTTAAATTACCTTTGACTTAAGGATGCAAGTAAGCTATCCACAGAAAACCGATAAATCACTGTTTTAGATGCCAGTACAATGACAGCGTCCAAATAATGTTTGTATGCGTAGTTATCCGGCATGGGCGTCACCAGGATTTTTTTTAAGAGGGGCGCAAAGCAAATTTTGTTCCCCCAAATCCATATATTTCCCAGCATTTTCCTGACTGATTTCCTCAGAACACCTTTTCCCTCATATGTTACTATCCCGACTGTGTGGCTCGATACGGAGAAAGATTTTAGTCACGCTGACGAGGCTACTAGTTAAACAGTTAATAACAATCCTGCTCATTGATGAATTCCATTAAAATATTAATGGGATTTTACCACAGCCTAGTTCATCGCGTCCACCATAACAGTCTGCTACTTCGTCGCACTGCCACAAAGAGGCGATACACACAGAATGCCCACAATCAAAATGATTAGTGGAACATGTCAAATTGTCTAGGACAAATGGATGAAAGGAAAGGGTACAGTTTAGTCACAGAATCGTCGTGTACACATTTCAAAATGGCTCATATAAAACTTGGCAAAATGCCCCTACCCGTCAGGTTTTACTGCGATTATGAGGACTCTTATCGTCCCCTTCAAGCTCCCCCATCTCAAGTTTTAATCTCCGTGGTGTAATCTATTATTGAATGAATGCCCTCCACCAACAGAAAAACATTCACCTGACTGAATCACGTTAGATCTGCCTGAACCATGGAGAAAGGAACAACCCTCTAATGACCTAAACACATGAAGTGTATACGATTGGTTTCTGTCCAGTAAAGGAGCTATCTTCTTATTTTTGTTGATTTATCGTCGATTATGGGCACACAGGCCATCATATATATTCGGCTCAAAGCCCCCACCCCTCATCCCCATTCACCTAGGCTTTAAAACGAAAAAGAAAAGCCCTCATGCATGTTCAAAGGACCAATGCAATCCCTAAAAATGCACCTTTGTGTCCCATTTAACATTATTTTCAAGTTCATGTTTTTATTTTCGAGGATACTTTGGTGCCTTTTTATGCAAATGTAAATTTATACATTCTTGAGCAAAAAAATTGATGTCATTTCAGAAACCTCCATGTTACAGCTACTCCAGCAAAAAAAAGGGTTACCAGGATTTTTGATGTTTTGCTGTTATTAAAATGATCTTTTCTTCGGTGATTCGGTGTCAGTACATGGCAATAGGCCAATGAGCGAACTCTTCTCATCATGTTCTCAGCAGATGTTTTGGTTCACATTTGAACAGGAAACGTCTAGACTGAACAGAGACTTCCTGAAATGACATCACAGCAACAGCGCCCTCAGTTGTCCGGAAAAGCAAGTGCAGTTTTATTTAAATGGTGAAAGAAGTGCACTTTTGAATACTATTAGGCCTAACCAACAAAGTTGCACAAAATGTGTTCCTACGAACGATTTCAGTACATTTCAACAACTCTTTTTACTAAAAGGCAATACCGTGTAAAGAGTTGCCTGGAAAGGTCAGATCATACATATTTATTGATTTGGGTTTTTTTTACAAAAAAGATTGCATTGTGGCTTACCAGAGGCATTTACGCTGCGTGCTGTAAGCAGAAACCCTGGATAGGTGCTATATTTGTCGGCAGTGAACCTAAGCCACATGGTATTACCAGCTGACAGCACTTCGGGCGGGTTTCTGTTCCCACTCCACTGGAAGAACACATTGTGGGTGCTATTGTTGCCATCACCGGCTTGCAAGACGTCATTCGACTGCTGGGTGTAAAACTTGGTAAAGGAAATGCGGATCTTGCGAGCTTCTTCGGTTTGGATGATCCACGTTATCTGGATGTCGTCGACGTAATAGTCCGGGTATCTAGTCGAGGCAAGCTCGGCTGTTTCCGATGCTCCAATGTAAACGAGACGGTCCTCGTCTGTGTATTAAAATTCGAATACATGAGTAGTAACTCGCTTATACTTGTGTGCACATTTGTTTGAGCGCAATTTTCGCTTTTCTCCTCCTTGCAGACAAAGAGAAATAACAATAGTGTACAGAAGAATCTCTTTTTTCCCACTTATTGATAGCAAACATCTTCCTTTGTAAAGAATAAACGAAACCTAGTTATTTAGCTTATATGTACAGGACAACAAAACATTTAATCCAGAAATAATGGAATTTAGGTAAAAATTCTTACCTTAAACACTGTCAGTGAGCTCTTAGTATCAAGTATGAAAGCCACCAAGCCCAATTTGGAGAAAGTTTGTTTCACCTAAATGTTTTAAATCACCTTTGGTGGAAGGATGCAAGTTAGCATCCAGAACAAAAACCGATAAATCACTCTTTTCGATGTCAGTACAATGACAGCGTCCAAATAATATTTGTTTACATTGTTATTCAGCATGGGCGTTGCCAGGATTTTTTGCTAGAGGGGGGCGCAAAGCAATTATGTTTTCCCTAAATCCCTACATTTTCCAGCATTTCCCCGATTGATCATGTTTGCGAGGGTGGGCACGGACATTTGCCCCCCCCCCCCCATTGAATAAACAACAATGACTTCGCGCCTCTTTTTTTCTTTGTTGTTTTTCCCTTTCCCCGTTTTTTGCTTGTCAACCCCCCCCCCCCCTCGCGATGCTCATGTTTTCAAGTACTTTCGGATTTTATTCATACACCCTTTACATTATAAAGTCACATTTTGATAACGAAATAGTCAATCGTTATGCTATTGCTTGTTATGCGATTTTGGTGCACTCTTAGCTTTATACTAAAACAACATTTAAATTGGTTAGCGTTGTAAATTGGCTGTCAGGTGAATTATTGTCGTCACTATATGGCAGCAAGTTAATGAGCAAAATGTACGCACATAATGTTTGCAATGCGAATTTTTGGGTTCACAATTTGAACAGAAAACTCCTAAACCGAAGAGTATGTGCCGGAAATGACGTCACATCAATAGCTTTCTCGGTACAAAGGAAACGTTTGGAACATTTTAAAGAGCAAAAAGTTGAAAAGAAGTGATTTCAAAACAGTTTTCATATCACAGGAATGACAAATTCGAGTAAAAAACTAAGTAGAGTAAACTAAGTAGAGTAAAATTGATGACATGAACTCTTTACGTTTACATTATCTGCCTCTTGATTACCGCAATTTAATTCATCCGTTCCTTCAAAGCAGTCATTTACACGGTCACACTGCAGGGTGCCACGGATGCAGTGATGTCCACAGTCAATTTCAGTACGAGAGCAAGTCAACATTTCTGAAAAACAGAACGAGAAAGAACGTGGGCAAGGTCAATGACAGGGGCTAGCTGTATTTATAAAACATTTTTGAAAAGCACAGCCGGGTTTTCACAGAAGTATTTTTTTTTGCAGTTTTAGAACACCGATAAAGATGCCATACATTTCTCTTCACAGGTTTAAGTTGCCTCACACAATAATAAGGCTTTTATGACTTTTGAAAAATTTGTGAACCGCAAATGCAATAAAAAAAAATCAATAATAGATCATTTCAAGTATTTTCATATTACATATATACAGTTTGAGTTTGTGCGATTAGACTACTATTAGAAATGGACTCTTGTCAAAAAGAGTGCACAGACCAAACGGGGATAAAAAAAAAAGACGCATCATACAATGTCAATAATTTTGCTTGGAAAACTTGTTAACAAATTGAATTTTCCTCCAAAATGTGGTTTCCACAGACATGTTTTTAGCACGATTTCGCTATAACAATGATTATCACTGATATTCTTTTTATCTTAAAGATGCATTGCGTCCTGAAATCCAAAAAATGTTCATGTTTTGGATTGTTAACTCATCCTATTTCAAACATATGGTTGAAAGGAAACTAATGTCTTACTGTTCCCGAGAAAAGACGACAAAATCGATTGTTTTACATCGGAGTACAATCTTCCTGTCGTTTCAGTCAACACGTTGTGTATGTCACATAGAATTACACACAGCACCAATGCACAAATGTGGTTTCTTGCATGTCCGCAAAAGGTGAACACAACGTAGCTGGAATCACAACTAGCATGAACAGCCCGACTTTTTGGGGTCGCAAAAGTGGACCCCGAAAGGCTTTCTCGCACGCATAACACAATAATCAAACAAAAAACACCCAGTTCTTTTAGGATAGTCGTGTCGGTCTTTATATCCTACTTTAAAATGTTCTTTCCGATTAACAGCATTTCGTTCAAAGCGCGTTTTGTGGCCCGATTGGGCTCATTCTACAAGGCAGTGTCCCTTTAAACACTATTTGTAACCACTTTTTTCCATCTGAATGGCTTTTAATTCGGTCCAAACTATACTTTATATGCTTGGTAACATGCTCAACATGCCACAATCATACGCAAATCTAAAACATTGTTCAGCTCTATCGTGGGATAATAGTTAGTACAAGTGTTTAGAAATGTATTGAAGCCTGTTACAACTGATAATGTAGTAACCAACTGATAATGTATCACCAACCGATAATGTCACACAAATTGACCGATAATGTATCACTAACCGATAATGTAACAGAAATTGACCGATAGTGTAGTAAATGTTACTACATTATCGGTCGATATTTGTTACATTATCCATTAAGACCGATAATGTAACAACAATCGACTGATAGTGTAGTACATTTTACTACACTATCAGTCAATTTCTCGGTTATAGTAATACAGTATCGGTCAATTTGTGTGACATTTTCGGTTGATGATACATTATCCAATGGTTACTATATTATCAGTTGTACCAAAGCCCCGGAACACAATTAAACCTTAACATCAATATACTCCACACAAAGAGGAGTAGCGTGACAACAGACAGTGTCTGTTACATTGCGTAAATGGCAATAGGCCAATGAGCAATCTCTTCTCACACATGTTTTCAGCAGATGTTTTGGTTCACATTTGAACAGGAAACGTCTAGACTGAACAGAGTCTTCCTGAAATGACATCACAGCAACAGCGCCCTCAGTTGTCCGGAAAAGCAAGGACAGTTTAAAATGGTGAAAAAGTGCACTTTTGAATACAGTTAGGCCTAACCAACAAAGTTGCACAAAATGTGTTCCAACAAAAATTTTCGTTACATTTCAACAACTCTTTTTTCCAACGAGCAATACTGTGTAAAGAGTTGCCTGAAAAGGTCAGATCTTTGTTGATTTAAAAAAAGAAGATTGCATTGTGGCTTACCAGAGGCAGGTACGCTGCGTGCTGTAAGAAGAAACCCTGGATTGCTGTAATATGTGTCGGCAGTGAACTGAAGCCACATGGTATTGCCAGCTGACAGCAGGTCGGGCGGGTTTTTGTCCCCACTCCACTGGAAGAACACACTGATGGTGCTATTGTTGCCATCACCAGCTTGGAAGATGTCATACAAACGGGTATTAAACTGGGCAAAGGTAATGTTGATCTTGCGAGCTTCTTCGGTTCGGATGATCCACGTTATCTGGATGTCGTTGACGTACCAGTCCGGGTATCTAGTCGAGGCAAGCTCAGCTGTTTCGGATGCTCCAATGTAAACGAGACGGTCCTCGTCTGTATATTAAAAATCGAATACATGAGTAGTAGCTCGCTTATAAGATCTTGTGTGCACATTTGTTTGAGCGCAATTTTCGCTTTTTCTCCTTCTTGCAGACAAAGAAAAATCACAATAGTGTACAGAAAAATCTCTTTTTCCCCATTTATTTATAGCAAAAATCTTCCTTTGTGAAGAATAAACGAAACCTAATTATTTAGCTCATATGTACAGGACAACAAAACAGTTGATCCAAAAATAATGGAATTAGGTCGGTAAAAATTCTGAACTTAAACACTGTCAGTGAGCTTACAGTATTAAACAGTATAAAAGCCACCCAGGCCAATTTGGAGAAAGTTTGTTTCACCTTAATGTTTTAAATCACCTTTGACTGAATGATGCAAGTAAGCTATCCATAGAAAACCGATAAATCACTGTTTTCAATTACAGTACAATGACAGCGTCCAATTAATAAATGTTTAAATAGTTATCCAGCATGGGCGTTGCAGGGATTGTTTTGCTGGAGGGGGCGCAAAGCAAAATTGTTTCAGCCAAATCCCTACATTTTCCAGCATTTCCCCAATTGTTCATGTTTTCGAGAGTAGGCAGGAACATTTGCCTCCCCCATTAAAAAACAACGAAATGACTTCGCGACATTTTTTCTTTGTTTTTCCCCCTTTTCCCTTTTGTTTGTTTGTTTGTCGGGGGGGGTGGAAAGAGTGCACCCTTGTCCTCCCCCCCCCCCCCTCCGCGCTGCGATAACGAAATAGTCAATAGTTATGCTATAAGCCATTTGCGAGTTAAATTTGAATAAAATCTGGAACGCTGACTTAATACAATGCTTTGCACGTTTTAACCTAGCATTCTCCCGACCAAAGAGACTGTTACTATATCACGTGACTCGGGGCAAGCCTTATGCTAGCAACCCCCAGCTCAGGCATGGTCTGGTGTCTTTGTGCCATTCTCACCCATTGTGAACGATGTATTGGAGCTGAGCGTCTCTTACGTAACTATGCAAGAGCTTGCCCCGAATCTTGTGATTAGCAACAGTGTCTTTGGTCTGGAGAATTCAAAGTTAAAATGTGCCAAGCATTCTGAGCAAGTCATTGTACCAGACGTTTTTCAAATGCAAATCCCAAAGGGTATAGGTTACTCGCAAATGGCTTATTGCTTGTTTTGCGATATTGGTGCACTTTTAGCGGTATACTAAGACAAAATTTAAATTGGTTAGCGTTGTAAATTTGCTGTAAAAGGCTAATTATTGTTATTTCACCAAATGACAGTAGGTCATTGAGCAAAATGTACGCACACAATGTTTGCAAAGGGAATTTTTGGGGTTCATAATTTGAAAAGAAAACCCCTAAACAGAAGAGTATGTGCCGGAAATGACGTCAAATCAATAGCGTTCTCGGTACAAAGGAAACGTATGGAACATTTTAAAGAGAAAGAAGTGGAACAAGAAGTGATTTCAAAACAGTTTTCATATTACAGGAATGGCAAAATCGCACAAACTATTGTTTAGTGTAAAATTGATGTCATTAACTCTTTACGTTTAGGTTATCTGCCTCTTCATTACCGCAATTTAGTTCATCTTTTCCTACAAAGCAGTCATTTACACGGTCACACTGCAGGGTGCCACGGATGCAGTAATGTCCACAGTCAAATTCAGTACGAGAACAAGTCAACATTTCTGGAAAAAAAACCAAAGCAAGACAGAAACTTGAATCATGGGTAAGGTCAATGACAGGGGGCAGCTGCATTCATAAAACTATTTTGAAAAGCACAGCCGGGTTTTCACAGAAGTATATTTTTTTGCAGTTTTAGACCAACGATAAAGATGCCAGACATTTTTTTTCTTCACAGGTGGAAGTTGCCTCACTCAATAATAGGCTTTTATGACTTTTGATAAAGTTGTGAATTGCAAATGCAATAAAAAAAATCACTAATAAATCATTACAAGTATTTTTGAATTGCAAGTACAGCGTTTGAGTTTGTGCGATTAAGGCTACTATTAGAACTAGAAATGTACTCTTTGTCAAAAAGAGTGCACAGACCGAACGGGAATAAAAGTAAAAATAGATGCATCATACAATACCAATAATGTTGCTTCCAAAATGTGGTTTCCACAATTTCAATATAAGACCAAAAAAAAAAATTATTCGGTCTCTGGTCAGACCAAAGTTCCGGAATTGACGCGGCCACGCGGATTTTTTTTTTTTTTGGCTGAAATAGAGGGCGCTGTTGGAGCTACCGCGGAACATTTTGGAAAAAAAAGATCGACGTGCATGATTAAAATCGACGCGCGCGCTGACCGGAGACCGATTTTTTTTTTTTTTTTTTGCCTAACAATGATTATCACTTATATTTTTTTTTCAATTCAAAGGGGCACTGCGTCTTGAAATTCATGAAATGATCATGTTTTGGATTGTTGACTCATCCTATTTCAAACATTTGGTTTAAAGGAAACTAATGTCTTACCGTTCCCGAGAAAGAACGACAAAAACAGCTTGTTTTACATCGAAGTACAAATACGTTCTTCCTTTGGTTTCAGTCAACACGTTGTGTATGTCACATAAAATTACACATAGCACCAATGCATAAATGTACAAATGTCCGCAAAAGGCGAACACAACATAGCTGGAATCACAACTAGCATGAACAGCCCGACTTTTTTGGGGTCGCAAAAGTGGACCCCGAAAGACTTTCTCGCACACATAACACAATAAAAAAAACCGCCCAGTTGTTTGTTTGTTTTCAAGATAGTTGTGTGGGTGTTTATATCCTACTTTAAAATGTTTTTTTTTCCGATAACCAGTATTTCGTTCAAAGCGCGTTTTGTAGCCCGATAGGGCTCACTCCAGGACGCAGTGTCCCTTTAAACACTTTTTCTAACGTGAAAGAATTAGTTAAAGTGTTTAGAAATGTATTTAAGCCCCGGAACACAAATTTCAACATCAATGTAGCGTGATCAACAGGCAGTAGCGTGATCAACAGACAGTGTATGTTACATTGCATACCTGTCGAGGGAACACTGGCAGCCCCCAGCACAAACCCATTGCTAGTGTACCGGTCATCGGTAATGAATCGCAGCCACATCTCATTCCCATTGGACAGCAGGTTGGGCGGGAGCGTAAACCCATTTTCCTCGAAGAACTGGTTTGCAGTGACGTCCGTACCGTCGCCAGTCTGGAGGAAGTCGCCGTCATAGTTCGTATCGACCCTGAACTCGAAGAAGGTGATGGCAATCTTGTAATCCTCCTCAGTGCTGACGATCCATGTCTTGTTCACATTGTTTGGATAGGGGGCCGGGAAGCTGGGAGACATAATTCGGGTTGATGCATTTCTTGCGATGGTTACATTTTGGAATTCTGCAAATGGAAGTAAAATACAGCGAGTTATACACATGCCTTTGCAGTAAGAAAGCAATTTTCACGTGATGCAGTTTCACTACTTGTGTGATGGAAATTGGAAATGAGCAGATAGATTTCACAAATTAACTGTACGACAAAAAAGGATGCATGTAGTACTATAGAGAATAACACCAGTCTTCACCTCGTATTGCCATATTGTTGAAAAGACATTGACATATTATTGAAAGGACATTGAAAAAAAAAACACATTGAAAAGACATTGGAAACTCAATTGATTTTCATTTATGTACATAATTATAGGTCGATATTGGAGGGGGGTTTGGCTAAAAACGTGATCAAGCTGATATTTCGTATGATTCGTAGCTGACCACTGAAGTAAACATGAGGTATGACCAGAGATCGAACAAGTTGAGTTAGGGCGGAAGGAGGGAAACCGGAGAAAACCTTGTGGCACAGGAGAGAATCAACAACACCGCTACTTGTTTAGCGCCCTCTGATGTTATTGATTTGAATATGTACCCAGCGTTTTGTGCAATCCATGTCATAAAAATACCCAAGAACGTTCATGATCTATAGGTCAATGGGTTTTGGAATTATGGCTAATTAATTATTCCTATGTACGAATGATAATTGTGCTCTGTGTTCACGACGTATATGGGAAAATTCAGGTTTTATGCCGCGTAGCGCCGGAAAATTTTTCGCTGCACGGCAACCCGTGGTCCGATTTTTATGTTTTTGGTATTACTATCAGAAGATTCGCAAGGCTCGAGGCTAAAAATGTCATGACAGCTTGGGCCGCCAAAAAAAAATTAAAAATCAAGGCTATCGTGGAAAAAGTCGAGGAGGCAGATCCCGCACGGGCCTTTTAGGGTTAAAGTAGTTTTGGGCGTTCTGTATAAATAATGCTTTAGTTGAATTCTGAATAAACAATGCTTTAGTTTACAACACGTACTGATTCCTCTTTTTTTAGGCCACTTATAAAGTGTTATCAGAAAATGCAATGTAATATATGCTTTGGAGGCGATTAGTCTAGATTTTCGCCGTGATGAAAAGCTGCCGTCATAAACTGCAGCTCATTCGGTAAACATGTATTGTTTGCTTAAAAACCCTGTCGAGCCATAAACATGATGCAAAGTGCATGTAGATAATAGGGGTAAATATTGTTCACAATGCCTCCCCTATCTCTGACTTCTCAGATGTTGTGTACATTTAGCTCATTAGCATGATACTGACACAACAAAAATTATTTTTTAGGCATTTACCCATGAAGCAACTGGTTGGTGATACATGTACTTATCAGATAATAAACTACTTTAAAATGTTGCACATCTGCATAATTTTAACCCCTACAGATAAAAATAGGTTTAGCAGTTTTAACTCGGTTATCACGTTGAGTGCACGAGGCAAGTCGCTTTTTACCTACTACCTAGCTATACCGCGCGAGGCGCCCTTCCCAGTCCTATCTTCCCCTCTATAGTATCTTTGGCTATATGGGAGCCTGGGCATACGACATTGCAGCTGTACACCGACGTCTTGGACCAAGACTAGGACAACCTCTGCTATATATTTTGTCTCGAGCCTGAGCAAACAAATGTGCGCGTCTCTGGTTGCCATAGAGATATAGTAACTATAATTTTTAAGTAGCTAGGCACTGGTTCAGATTGGGACCTAATTCAAACTAGGGCAATATGAATGAGTCCTCATTTGCCTAGGATGCACCATTGGATCTCACCGTAAAACTGCACTGCATATGTATTGCGCTGCTCGCACATATGAATAACGGTGCCAGAGGGTAATCGTCAAGTCGTTACAAGTAGTACGTACGATTTATAAGTCGTTATAAGTAAGCAGTTATAAGTAAGTCGTTGTAAGTAAGCAGACATGATAAGAGACATTTTTCACTTTATCCCTAATACAGCTTCTTAAAATTGAATTGCTAAAAGGGGAAATCTTTGAAACAATATTTTGGAAAAGGTTATTATCCCCAAGGATTGTTCAGTGTGACATTTTTTGCACTCACATGTTTTTCAACAAAACGAATTATTCCAGTGGTTTTCAGTTATTACAGTGCTTTATATCAGGTTTACTTCCCGTCGTAGAACGGGTTTTATTCTGGTATGATGGTGTATCCATCTGGTTCCTTTTAAATGTCCATAAACATGATGCAAAGTGCATGTAGATAATAGGGGTAAATATTGTTCACAATGCCTCCCCTATCTCTGACTTCTCAGATGTTGTGTACATTTAGCTCATTAGCATGATACTGACAAAACAAAAATTATTTTTAGGCATTTACCCATGAAGCAACTGGTTGGTGATACATGTACTTATCAGATAATAAACTACTTTAAAATGTTGCACATCTGCATAATTTTAACCCCTACAGATAAAAATAGGTTTAGCAGTTTTAACTCGGTTATCACGTTGAGTGCACGAGGCAAGTCACTTTTTACCTACTACCTAGCTATACCGCGCGAGGCGCCCTTCCCAGTCCTATCTTCCCCTCTATAGTATCTTTGGCTATATGGGAGCCTGGGCATACGACATTGCAGCTGTACACAGACGTCTTGGACCAAGACTAGGACAACCTCTGCTATATATTTTGTCTCGAGCCTGAGCAAACAAATGTGAGCGTCTCTGGTTGCCATAGAGATATAGTAACTATAATTTTTAAGTAGCTAGGCACTGGTTCAGATTGGGACCTAATTCAAACTAGGGCAATATGAATGAGTCCTCATTTGCCTAGGATGCACCATTGGATCTCACCGTAAAACTGCACTGCATGTGTATTGCGCTGCTCGCACATATGAATAACGGTGCCAGAGGGTAATCGTCAAGTCGTTACAAGTAGTACGTACGATTTATAAGTCGTTATAAGTAAGCAGTTATAAGTAAGTCGTTGTAAGTAAGCAGACATGATAAGAGACATTTTTTCACTTTATCCCTAATACAGCTTCTTAAAATTGAATTGCTAAAAGGGGAAATCTTTGAAACAATATTTTGGAAAAGGTTATTATCCCCAAGGATTGTTCAGTGTGACATTTTTTGCACTCACATGTTTTTCAACAAAACGAATTATTCCAGTGGTTTTCAGTTATTACAGTGCTTTATATCAGGTTTACTTCCCGTCGTAGCACGGGTTTTATTCTGGTATGATGGTGTATCCATCTGGTTCCTTTTAAATGTCCATTCCCCGGATATTATAGGCAAAAGGACAGGAGAACTGTAATGGGATGAATGGTCTTTTGTACAGAGTATGTTTTTGTCAGGATTTGAATGGTCAGAAATATTAGCATTATCTAAAACAGATACATGCAAATCTTTAGCACTTATCAGGGAGACATATATAACCAATCAGATCTATTCCATAATTGTATACAATTTCGGTGATCATCTCATTAGCCCCACAAGTATACAGAATATTGTTGCAGCAAATCTACTACAATGGTAACAAAATATGATGCTATAAAAGTGGAAGTGAGCCCAACACACAAATCTATAGGGTGTTTCCCTCCTCAATGGTAACACGATTAAAATGGTAACAGCAAAATTTCAAACAGATTTATCTGGAAAATGCAAAAATCTATGGGCCTTAAACAGCCTTGACTCAAAATTGCAAGGCACTGATCCCTCAATGCCGAGGTTTTTGCCCTCAAGCCTCGAGGCCAAGGCCAAGGCCCTAAAGTCCAGCCTTAAGGCAGCATTAAGGCCAAGGCCCAGCATCAAGCCACTACATCACTGGTTAATGGTTGGCTGATGGTTCTCCGGTTAACATTTAGCTATTGCACTGGCATTAAGGCGTCGATTTTACAATGTATTTGCTCCAGACAGTGTGTGATCCAGTATTTATTGTCCTGTGAAAACCTCAAATGTATACGAATCTTAAGTGAAAAATAGTGGCACATTAACAGTCGGATGTTAGGCACCTCAGCAAGCATTTTACACGGGAAAAAAATCACCACAGAAACGAATTTCTGGCCAGGGTATTACGAGGGCTTGCTTAACACAAAAAAGTGAATACTCGTGCAAAAACAGTTAAACTTGACATCTAACTATTAGCCTGCTTGCCAGGATATGAAAGCGCCAGCACCCTTAAAATGTAAACATGTTTTACAATGAGACTTCCTCTGCATTGAACCACTTTTGAAACAAATTACCCTCGTTTCACACAACCTGTATATGAGAAAGCTTGGGGAGGGGTGGGGGTGTTAGTTCCATTTCAAAGTTTATTTTCACAGTAGTGTTTTTTTATTTTTCGGATGTTTTTTACTTTTCAGATACCATAATTTTGATGCGTTTTGGTAGCCTGTTTTACAATATTGAGATCATTGGTTTTGTTTTGTACTTCAATATTTTTAAATAAATATGATTTTGATGATTCTAAACTCTTAAATGGCCACCATCTTGATGTTTGTCTGCCATCTTGGATTTTTTTAGTGAACATTCATTTTCTTAAATGGAACACCAATCCTATACATTTTTGTGAAAAGATCATCCCTTTAACCCTTGGGCTGCATTATTCTCCTGTTTATATTGCAGTTGCGGGGGAAAAAGGGAAAAACCAGAACAAAAACAACAACTTTCCGCTTTAAGGGGACAAGCCAATACGATACGTTAGACAACCTTGTTTGTCTCGATAAATAACTCAGACGATGTCAAAGGCCAATTATTAAGTATGTTTGTTCAGTAATTTAGTAAGATACGTGACAGAGCTTTTGCCCTATCTGTCAACTCGGACTTTAGCTTCAATTGTATGCCGATATGGCGGAAGCTCCATAGCATAAGTTGGTTTATGGTTATGGTTTATTTAAAAACATGACATATAGCAGTTAGAAACTGAATTGCATGACATTTACAACAATAAAAAAAAACAATTATAAAACACAAATAAATATTACAAGTATTTAGACTTTGAACTTGTTCCCCAGTACCTATGATCTCCAGTCCCTAACC